CCCTCGAAGTGGGTGTATTGAGTTCATGTGATTGTCATTATTCCCTCGAGAGCGCATCCGGAACTCGGGGAAAGGGTCGGATCAGGATCGGCGACTCGTCACGTCAAGGTCGGAACGGGTCTATGGAATACCCCGTCGTCGCCTCCGCGTTGCAGCCGATCGAACCGGCACGGGAGCTTACACTCCCGGGCTTTGTTTTCACTCGAGGAACTCTTACTTACATATTCTCCAGCGACTCCCGATGCCGCCGAACAACAAGATTGTGCTTCTTCCAGTCCATTACGGACAGCTCCAGGGGGGCCGGGCTCTCTGAATAATAAATATTCTATTTTGAATACAGGCACGTGCCCTGAACAATGAACGAAATTCCGAATACTAAAGAGCGTTAGACAACCTGAGGTGCTCTCGTTGTTCGGACTTTGCCAAACCTCCCCTCCTTCCCTCGCTTCTTCCTCCTGATCTTCCTCCCGCTCAGCAGAGCTGCGAGAGACCGTTGCAGGGTCCCCCGCTGCTGTCAGCTATCAATGATTATTATCTCTCTTGGATGGCACTTCGATTCTGCGCCGGAGCTCCAAGTGACGACTCGCTGCTTGAGAAGTATTGCGGGCTGGAATTCATTACGATGATCTCGTGTCCCAATATGCGACCCTCCACAATTCATTGACGGCCTCAACGAGGACCCCTCCACGAGACCTTTCCGGGACGGTGTCATCACAGTGCCCGTTGGGACATCCGTGAGAATATCCCTAAAAGCTTATAGGCATCCGAGTCGACTGTCAGAACGAAGAAGCGACTCGGCGACCGATTGTCGAGGCAGATCCCGTCAGAGCGACGCGCGCTCAAAGAAATATTCTTGCGCGACAAGAATACGCGCATCGGGGAAGTCCGTATCTGTCCTCAATGAAACGGTATCCGTGACAGCATCCAATTCACTCGAAACTGAGGCTGGTTCGATGCGCCGGAAAATTTCTCGCCCGACATGAGAAACGATCGAGTGCGAAGCAACGAGTATGCATCGATTGTGATCGAAAATGACCGAGAGAATTCCATGATTCACCATCCTCCATGGATCGATCTGTTTGTTTATTCGAATGAGTGCAGGAACTTGAAGGAATCCCCGAAACCCCCTGTAATCGATGCTCTTGCATCTCTGCACCTCCCGGATGTGCGAGTCGAGCAAGTACGGCAAATGAGCGAGCGCCTAGTCCAAGAGCGAGGTCTCCTTGCGCTTGATTTGCCCGTCTGATAAAACATCCCCCAGGGTCCCCAGGGCTCGATTTTCGTTTCCTTTCGTTTCATGGAAACTAGATTCTTCCACGAGGATGGACGTCTTCCGAACGAGCCCGGGGACCGCTCCACACAGGCAGTCAAACGAAGCCATTCCCTGGGGATATCCATCGTAAAAACAGAATCGACTCCAGGTTTCATCGTCAGCGATCAAAACGACGTCGTATGAGACAGAGGAGGCGGGTTCCACCCGGAGGCATGGGTAATACCCTCCTCAGAGGCTCCGCAGCCGGAGTAAGCACAGAACAAGCTGAGGAACTTGCATCCCTAAATCGAATGCAGGCTCTCGCTCGATGAGGGCGTGATGAGGTCTTGGGTTGTGGGACGGGAGAGAGCCTGCAGCCTCGTAGGATTTACTGCCGTGCCCCCCGGCACGGGAAGACAAAGAGAACTTCGGAGACCCTCCTTGAAAAAAGTTATTTTGATGAGACCGCCTCCTCTCAGGGCCTGTTGCATCATCCGAGTTCGCCGTCACAACGACTACCCGCACGCTTCCTAAAGGTACACCTACGACAGTGAACCGAGGCTTGCACGAGAGGGGATGGATGAGCGAGTCTCTGAGTAGACGAGTGAAACGCTAGAAACTCGTCCGCCCTTGTACGAGGGGAGAAGACAACTGCTTGCTGGACTACTTGGGAAAGTAACTGAAACGACGGCTTGCCGTCGCAGTTCGAGTGGAAAGTTTTAACTGATCGTTTCGTAAAGCCTCCATCATCAAGGTTATCTTCTATCTAATAGAGAGCTCCCCGAAGCTTCTGGTTGCCGGATCCGCTAGTCAGTGCTGGCTGGCCTTGAACTCCCACGATCAAGAGCTTCTTTCTGGACTCCAAGCTCTCGCTGCTGGAGCAACAGGATGAGCTCTTCCGAACACGATAATCCAGGGGAACGCGGACGACTATCGAAGGCGTATTCTCCCGTAGATACCCACCCGACTCCTTCCCACGAGAATAGCCCGAAATTAGCGGGAGATCTACTTTCCTCGTCGCTCATTGTGGAGCGCATCATCCCAATTAGAAGAAAATTCATAAACTCTAAACGTTCCTTCCGACAACATCGATGCTGCAAATCCTCAACTGCAACGATGCCTCTCTGACGATAAAGTCTCAGGGATCTGAGATCGGCGCTGGGAGGGAACGCATATCGTATTGAAGCTCAACTGACTACTCGTGATACGTGCGAGCTGCGAGAGGCTTTGTCTTGCTCTGGACACGAAAGGAAGTGCTCATTTGTCTTCCTCACTTAAAAAACGGAAACCTCGACCGGTCTCGAGTCACTCGGCGACAATGTTCGAGTCAGTGCACCATGTCCAGACTCCAGACCCTAACTGGAACTCTGCGCAGAGCTCGCTTCCCTTTTCAATGTCCCTCATCGAATCTGCCTCGAGCGTTCGAACGTGCACTTTTCGACCGGATTGTTCGATTCCAGCTGGACGCTCAAACGAATCGAGATCGGGGGAGGAGTCGCAGGGCCTAATATCGTGGATATTCGTCGGCCTTAGATACATCGGACACTCTGCCCGGTTCGGAATCAAGGAACGCGGCGGACTCGAATATTCGAGACGCAATCAGCCGTCGGGATCCCCTACTATTGGGTACCTGCATAAGTTTTTAGCCCTCTCTGTCGATCCGCGATATCTCGGCTCCTGGAGGCCGTAGAAACCTCCCAATACATGCGTTTTGCGCGCAAAGAGGCCAGCTTTCACACAGACTGGTCAAAATTGTGATTGGACGAGCTGTTCTCGCGGAATCGCCAAAATACTGAAACTCACGAAATCGGCAAAATTGACTTCCAGAGGTAAATTTTTCAAAAAGTCCGAAATCCCCCGAATTAACATGCCCATTCGAAAGCTCGTCGAAAATGCAGTCAATTCATTTTTTTACGAAGGATTTTCGCCCATTGGAAGATCTCGCAATCGAGATCCGAAGGTTGAGATCGAATCATAGCGTCTCATAGCGAATCATAGCTCTCAGCGCGTCCACCGAGCCGAATCCCGACCGCCCTCTCTCAAAAAGAGAGAGACCGCCTACGCGCGAAGAATTCAAAAGCTCGAGACTCTTCGGACTGGCTCCTTTTTTGATTTCTTCCTTTTTCCCTGTTCGGAGTGACGCTTCAAGTGGCACGCTGGGTTGCGTTCCCATCGCTCCTCGGTCGCTGCTGACGTTAGACGCCGTGCACGAAGTGGGGACTTCCAGACGGAATTAGAGATGGAATCGAGCGGAGAAAAATCGATCTTGGGGTCTATATTTTCTGCGTTTTCCACGAGGAGAACGATGCGCATGTCGTCATGCGACCAGGAAAAGCCGGGAGCGGCGAGACGCTATGATTCGATCTCAACCTTCGGATCTCGATTGCGAGATCTTCCAATGGGCGAAAATCCTTCGTAAAAAAATGAATCGACTGCATTTTCGACGAGCTTTGGAATGAGCATGTTAATTCGGGGGATTTCGGACTTTTTGAAAAATTTACCTCAGGAAGTCAATTTTGCCAATTTCGAAAATTTCAGTATTTTGGCGATTCCGCGAGAACAGCTCGTCCAATCACAGTTTTGACCAGTCTGTGTGAAAGCTGGCCTCTTTGCGCGCAAAACGCATGTATTGGGAAGTTTCTACGGCCTCCAGGAGCCGATATATCGCGGATCGACAGAGAGGGCTAAAAACTTATGCAGGTACCTAATATAATTTTCGAGTTCTCAAGGTGGTCTTTCGACCAGCAAAAATTGCCATAGCCGACGGTATTTCACGTCGTCTCAGCGGGGTATTGGTAAAAGTTTTCAACTAGCAATAAACGCTCCTCGGTTAAACCTCATTGGATACGTTAACGCCTCTGCGCAAAGATGCGGCATCAAACGTGCAATCTGACCACATTCATTCGCTGGTCCAATTGCCGCCACTAATGACCACCACCTCTAGGGCGAAGTTCGCGACAGTCATGATGGGATCGTGATGTGTTTTTCCACCGAAAAGGGAGTCCATCCGGAGAAAGGAGATTCTATAAGGTCTCTCGCCAGCTACGCGAGTCGACACCCGAATTGATCGGGCCTTTTCTGGTCGCCAGTCGCCGAGCCGAGACGTCACAGAACAGCTGAGATCTTCGCCGCGGTTGCTGCCGTGTTCCCCGGATCCGCAGCACGAGTAGAAATCGGAAACCTGCGGAATGCTTTGCAAGGTACAGTCTCCGGGCGATCCTTCCGTCAAACAACGCAGCGACTCCAGGGACGTTTTCGAATGGACCTGGTAAGTCATGCCGATGAGCATGCAGATTCCCGCCACATCGGCTCGTTCCGCACCTTTTCGATCACCGGAACAATCAAGGCAGACGGAGATAATCGTGAGCAAGCGGAATTGAGCACGCTTCGGAAGGGATCAGGAATCAAGGTCGCCGCTGGGAGTCTACAGATTCGGTTGAGAATCCACCGTGAGATCTCGGAGTTGGCGACATTTCGACACGAAAACCGTGAGAGTAGCGATGGCGCGGGAATCTCGAGAATGGAGTCTGGAAGGTCCCCGTAACTCCACTGTTGACCAAGGCCAAACTTAGGATCCCCGGGACGAGCGCTCCATGCGTGAGTGAATGAATCCAGAGCCGATGGTCAGAGGAGCTCCCGTTTGATGGGAGGCTTCGTTTGAATTCGGGGCACGATATAGCACATCTTCTCGCTATTTAATTCCATGACACAGACCTGAACATGTCAAAAGAAAAACAGCTTCTCCCCATTCAGTAAACAGGTATATTGTATTGACTGCTTTCACAACGATCCTACAACCAAGCCCAAGACTCTAAAAATCCTAAATGCCGAAGAAATCGGGAACATCTTTCCGCAGCGGGTCGACTCGCTTATATTTCCGTTCGAGTTCCTTCAACTTCTCTGTCTCCTCCTCATATTCATCAAGAGCTTCACCCATCGCATCTTCTTTGAACATTTTTGGGAACTCGAAGAAAGATCCTTCGTGCAGCGTGACCGTGGCGATCCGGTAGTCGTCGTTTTTGACGAGGTATCCTTTCCACCGTTGCGGCTTGATCTCGCCGAGTATCACTTCAGTCTTCACGTGAGCAACGGGTATTTTATATATCTTTTCCAGGTAGTTTTTGACGTCGAATTGAGTCATCTGCAGTGGCACTTCGAATTTCACCATGTTTTTTGGAATATCGACTTTACTTTTCACGATCTTCATGAAGAAGTTCGGCAGGAAAACCCGTCGTTGAGGATTGCCCCTCCTGTAGAGGGGATACAACCTCGTCGACATTGTGAGTCGACTTCCTGATTCAGTTGCACAGATGCCGCGCAGAAAAAGACGGTCGATGCTCGCAAGCTCGTAGGGGGACACCCGGCTCCTGTTTATTGTTTTTGTCGAGCTCTCCCAACACAACTCTGCGCGGAAAGGTGTGGATCACGATGGGAGGACACACAGAGGGTCGATAGGCCCTGTGTGGGACGTAGATTTGTGAAACCTTAAAGACCTCAAGCTCAGCGGACATCTCTGGAGGCAGTGCCCGTGGTTCCGGGATTCGTCTAATATTGTAAACTCATATGTGGTGTTATCCGGAAAGGAATCTTTTCCGACCGACTGAGGGAAGGTCGTTGGAATTTAAAGCTCATTTGGAAGTCCCATCGACCGGGTTTCCGAGTGCCGCGAGGAGACCCTATGGCAAGGCTCGACAATGCCGCGGGCGGGACCTTGTATTCAAGGAATTTGACTCTCTGTCAAATGACGCAGACTCCACGGGAGTTTCCTCGGGACGCCCAATTTTATTCACTCACGGAGGCGTCATCGATGACATTTCGGACGATGGACGGCTATTCAGTGAAGGCCGATGCTACCCTTTCATGATTTTCCTTGAATCTTTATTTCCCGGCTTTCTCCGGAGTTTCCGAACGGATTTCGGCTGACGAAAAAGAAATGTGGGGCTCCGAGTCTTAAAGATCAACTGTATTGAAAGTCTGTTCCGTAGAACTTACGAAAAATACACTGGACGCAAGGGAGCGAAAGTTGAACTCTGTGCAAAAAAAAATTATCCGCACTATTCCGATCGACTCGAAGCAGCTCCGGCGCTTTACAATTGAATCTTTTCCAACCACGATCGCTGCTGTGATCCTTCAGACAGCGTACGGAACCTGAGAGGAGATCTGCTTAGCTGAGGAGAAGACATTCAACGGGAATACTTCTCGGTCGCGTATTCAATCGGATATAAATTAAGAAGTAGAGTGCCAATTCCAATGATCTGCTGGACATCGAGTCTGGCTCGATTGAAAAGCAGCGGGCGCTTCCAGAGTCGATCTCGAGAGTTTGGATGTCAGTCAAGTTCGAGTGAATATTGTTCCAAGCACATCTGCAACGCTCGGAGCTCTGACGCGATCCGAGCGTCATAGGCGTACATGGGAAGGTAGAAGTTTCCTCGGGTTCGGTTTTCGCAGGCCTTGAAGTGATGTTCCTTGTCGGAAGGACACTGCTTTCTATCTACTCTCTACTGTCGTCCATATCTAAGCGGAAAAATTCCTCCTTGGTGCTCCCGTGTCTCGAACCAAGGCTGAGCTTCTCTTGGAGATCATCACAGACCGAATCACTATTATCTTCACTGGAGTCGGACAGAGATCGTGTCCTCTGGGAGCGACGTTTGATTGAGATCCCGCCCGGTCTGCGAAGGAGAACGGAACAAATCTCGGTGAGTCGTCGTTCCAGGCTCGATTCCCCCATCGTCGCCGTCGTAGGAAACGAAACAGATGTACTCACTTGTATTTGGTTTCGAGAACCTTTTCATTGAATGTGACCTTCTTGGCGTCGTCGAATTGCATTGAGGAGCTTCGAAGACTCTCAGACAGATCCCACGAGCTGAACTCCATAGATTCCGAACATTCGCTCAGAGTTCTCGAACACAGTCGCCGGTTCTTCAGAATTCCTCGACAACCGTCGTTCGAGAAAAGCGACTCACAGGGTGCACTGAAACGTCTCTGGATGTCCTCGCCTCCGACGGGGGCGCAACTATCACAACTCTGCGAAGATCCGATCGATGCTCGGTGAGGAAATCATTCAATATATGGAGACGGGACCACCATGAAAATTTCGCCTCCGATGAATATTATCGCTAATAATAATAATAATCCATCTCGAATCTCATTGAATTGTCGTCTAGTGATTCCATGCGGCTGAGAACTTGCCTTGTCAACTGATTCGTCTACCAGGGAAAAAGTTCGCAGTTCCGAGGTTCCACCGGCACCAACGACGATTTCCGTCCAAAGATTGTGCTGGTCTTCAGCTTTTTCGAGATAAACAACGAGGGTGTCACGGATAACATCGAAACGAATCTTCTGGGGGAACAACAGTGAGCCTTCAATCGACGGGTGGCCCAGAACGATGCGGTACGTCGTGTGGTGCTCTGAACTCATGCTGAATTCGAGCCGGAGTAAGGAGTTGCAGGTACAGAATGACACGGCTAAAGAGTCCCTGTCAACGTTTTGGACGAAGAAAACAACCGTAAGCGTTGCCATCGTCTGGTGAACGGCGAACCTCGGTAAGCGGCATTTCTTCGCAGGAACGTCTTCTTGCAGTTCGAGCGCGGGCGTGTGATCTTCATGATCTGCAATCGGCAGGCAGAAGGTAAAGGAAAGTCCCTCGATTTTTCTGCCAGCAATGAGCTCTTCCACGTGGTGTCTGGAATCATCAGACACATCCACATGGGCGACGGAACGTGGGTGGGGACAAGAGGTCACGGGAAGTGCCGTGGAGACAACTGTCTCGGATGGAGATACTCACCACCGTCGTTGCTGAGATCGACGATTAGAGCGCCTCCGCCTTGGTCCCCAACGATTACAGCGTGTCGACCGCTGTTTAACCATGGCGTTTGATGAAGGACTTCTATGTCACAGTCATCCGTAATATCCTTTGCACCGAAGAGAAGGTGCAAAACCGAATGAGCAACCGGTTCGATGATTTCTGAAATTCCGAAGGGGGATCAAGCATTACTTTAGACTACAGATTCCCAAGGGAGATCATACACTCGAAGTCCTACAACCAAGCTTTATGATTTTCACATTTCTCCAATTATTCCACGGAATATTGCTCGTCAGACAGACGCAGTCGAAGCTTCCGCCGGATGCATTTCATCAATCTCGTGACGACCTTGAGACGGAAATTGATTGAGTCCACTCGCACACGTGGCCTGTATAATACTGAACAGGAGGTGATGCTAATAAGTTCCAACTCGTTTCTCTCCAGAGACGACGTTCGTTCGTCGCTTCAATTATTCTGTTAAGCATTCGGATGCTTTCTTCGTCGAAGAACTCCGGGTGCATTCGGGGGAATGTGGCAAGATCATCAGCCCGGACGCGTGGCGCTCGCTCCATTACGAGAGCTGATTTACGGTTTACGTGAACTCGACACAGATTCGACCGTTTCTCTCGTTTCTATGGGCCCCAAAGGTCCTTGTCGCTCTTTTCGAGACACTGCGATAGGCAGCGATGCACAGACTCAAAGAGGAGAATCCAGAAACCGCGCAGTTCCCAACGGTGTAGAAAGCCTAATGACCCGATTATGTCCGCCAGGCCGAGAAAATGCATGAGGACGACTCTAGTGATCACTGATCGCTCCGACCGCAATAGATTCCCATGAACTTCCCCCGACGATCTACCGCTGCTCTGTCTTCTGCGATCGCTAGCAACAACGAGCAGCCCACGAGCGATACGTGGCTTCGGCTGGACGGCGAAGCTTCGAGAAAGCCGTGCCATAGACCCTCTCAGAGAATCTTGTTTTCGAAAATCTGCTTTCGGAAATCAGCACTCAGCGAATTGTAGCGGCAATTGCAAATGTCACAACGCCGATCCAGAGAACAAAAGCCGGTTCCCCTCCGCATATGACCCCGATTCCGATGGTCAGTCACTACCGGCAAACAGTCCGAGCCATTCAACGACGCCGGGGACTGCTTTCTTTCGGCCCGTCGTCGTTCCAACCACGAGACAGTAAAAGTGTAGGAAAGAAGAATCAATACGAACCATTTTCCCAGAGTTCGCTGGGCAAACAGATTCTCGAAGATCCGCCATCGAAAATCAAGTCGCATAGGGTGAAGTCTCCGATGTCCAGAGAATCTCCGCAGAGTCGAGTCGCTTGGAGTTTTTCCGATGCTCGAACTTCCACAGCTTTTCCCGTACTGAGCGCGAAATTCAGCGACTGCTGATCGATGTCTTTTGAGGAATCACATGGTGACGGTTTACGTTTGTTGTTTCGCCGAGAACTACGGTTTTTCGTCATTGAAATGAAGACGGGCCGTGTCGTGTGCGACGCTCGAGTCGCAACTTGAAGAGCCAGGAGCTGCCTTGTGCGCAGAGGAGAGTCGAACCCACACACGCGCCAGCACACGTTTCCATACAGCAGCTTTCCTACCAGCGCGGCTCGGCAGCGGCCAGTTTATCCATAGTTCATGGGACGGGAGAGAATGAACGAATTTTCTGCCGCAGATGACAGTCTGATCTATGGGAAATCTTCCTCCCTGCGACGTTTGCCGATAAGAAATGGCGGGGCACAGCGATAGCCATTGATGAGTTCGCCCGAGTTTCAGTGCCGGGCAGCGCCGCTCTCTGGATTTTCTGCTCTCAAATCGGAAAGTGAGGAGCTATTGTCCGTCGCTAAGTGAGCGCTTCATCACATGAATATTGAGGTCTCGGGACTCTTGCGAGGCACGAATGCTACGGCTTACTGAAGTCTCGCTGCCCGCGCATCTCGATTTAGTACGGACACGACTTCAGTCTGTAGGGATATACTCTGCTCCGGGGAGATTGAACTCCGGTCGAAATGGGAAACGGAAAGTCGAAATTCCCCAGGAATCCCTCGGATCCCATCCACGACCTCCAAAGTCCTTCACGAAGCTCCCATATTTTGAGTTTTTAGCAGGGATTTATGGGACCCAGGAAACGTGTAATCACGCGTATTCGACCCGGATGCCGAACACCCGGATATCGCTACTGGTTCTAGGACAGTGTTCCTCAAGGATTTTTCGCTAGGCCCCAACTCAGTTTTAACTCGCGCCCCACCGTGTCCCACCTCCCTAAGGCTTCTATAGGGAAGGAAATTGTCCCACCCCCACCTCGAGAAACGCCGTTCTAGGACATCGGATTCTGTCACACGGAGTCTCATAAATAAGAACTAAATAGGAACATCGAACTCGGCTCTCGGATATGCGCGATGCAAACCCTTATAGCGGAATGATGATGCACTCTTGCTGGGAAGTGGCACTTTCGAAGCGGCGCGGCAGTTCAGCTGCGGATAGACAAAGATAGGATCTGGTCTTGGTTCCGGCTGGATAAACAATGCAGAACTCGCGAGATGTCTCATATATATTCCGATCTTCCAGGTCGATCTCAAGAGTTCAAGAGCAGGCGCAAGGGTACTCCTTGGCGATCGCGCTAGTCGCGGCCAGACAAATTTGGAGTGGCTTGCCAGAGCTGAGCTTCCCGCACATTTGACACCGCTTCAGATGCGACGGTGAGCACCCGTTAGGCACGCTGTTCCTCACAAAACTACGTCCTGGTCACAGCACCCAGGAAGAGTATCGCGGGCGGGTTTACGATTCCTCCTTCTCTTCGCCTAGATATCATTCTTCCCCGTCAGACCGCGATTGCCTTCCTGCCAGATGGGGCACGACTCCGAACGCAAGAGCTCAACCGGGACCGCGAGGGGCTGCCTCAAACCCGCTACGAACGCGGTTTACCGTTCTGGTACACTAATCACTGATTAGTAATCAGTCATCACGAAAATCAGAGTCGGTGCAGTTCTCCCTAATTACTGATTAAATGAGCTTCTTGATGACTGACTCCGATCGGAACGAGTAGATAAGGAGCGGGTAACAACAACCATGATCACCCTAAGCCATCAAACAACCTCCATTGAAAGAGAACATCGGTCGTCCGAACGATATTAGATATATTATAATATTATATGTTCAGTAGCGGGTTTTCCATCGTGGCTCGTTAAATCAACAACTCGTCATGATGTGATTCATCCGAGAAGGAAACTTATATCCTGGTTGTCAGTGAAGGTCTCCTTCGCGTCGTTGTGCCCTTCAGCAAATAATTTGGCACCGCGTTTGCCTTTCAATATGCATTTGTTCCCCTCAATTTCGAGCAGGCAGCCTTCGTACAGACCTGTAATGAACGGAATGTGAGGCTTTTCTACGCCTTCCCCCATATCGTCGAGAGTTAAGGATTTGTCTCCCTGGAGTGTAGGGAAACGGGTCGATTAGCGCTTGGTACGAAATCGGAACCCACCCAGAACTGGCCGGTTGTTGCCCATTTCGAGGTACTCGAGGATGCGTTGAGTGCGCGTTTCTCCCATGTGAGTGCTGGACGGATCAGGGTCCACGAAGTGCGGATTGATGTTGAAAGGGACCTTTCAAATGGGGAAGGAGGAGAGAGTTAGGTTTCCGGGGATCCTCTTCTCATTTCCGGCCCCGCGATGGCTTTCGGACGATTTACGGCGATCTATCATCTGTTCGATGTGACTCACAAGATTCAGCGCCTCGAAACTCGGAGGGTAGACGATCGGCATGTCGTTGGTTGTGTGTATGCTGGCCGTCGCAACGTTGGTACCGGCGCTGCAAATTCAGCTCGATTGAGACGACTCAGATTCTCCCTGGTGAATCAGGCCTCACTAATTGGTCCGATCAGAAAAGAGAAAGCAATATACTTGATATACCTTGCTCCCATGTACATCAATTTCCCGTCCATAACTCGTTTGTGAATTACATCGACGAGTTCATTATCGTAGAGCTCCTTCAAAAGCCGGAACGTGTTGCCCCCTCCCACGAACACGCACTGGGCCTTTTCGACGGCTTGTTTCGGCGACGGGAAGGTGTGGATGCCTGAGAGAAGAATGCTATAAAACACGACACTCGGCTGACGCTCGAAAGCTCCGAAGTGAAGAGATCAACGGTGCTTATCCAATTCATTGACTCACCACGAACAGTGAAGCCCATGGCAGCCAGGGGTTCAGTCATCATCTTGGTGTATTCGTCATGATCTTTCAAAGCGTAAGGCACGAAGAGGATGTCCGAGACACAGTGCTTCTTGCAGGAAGCAATTATCGTGTCCTGAAAACAATGACAGAGAGTCATCACGAAGTCTTGCGTCAAGTCCATAGGTCTTCTCCTCTCCTGATTTGCGCGTCTAACCTTGGCGAATTCCAAACGAGGTTCCCCATGGAGTTTCGAATTCGATAGAAGGAGGAGTTTACGCATCTGTCAATCGAAAGGAGGAATTAGCTCAATGGAATACGCCTCGAGAATCGGTCGAAGCAGGCGATGGTGACAGAAAACTCGATGCGCCCCATGGAAGCAACGTTGAAGGAGAACCCCCTCCGCCGAGTGAAACATCTTGGTGCTCACTTTTCGCTTTATTCACGATCCCAGCAAACACCAGCGGGGGTCAACGTGCGGCTGATTCGAGGCACTCTCGATCTCCTCTCTTACTGCCACCGGCGCCACATGAACAGCTGATTGAGAGAGTGACGTGAGTTAAGCAACGGATCGCGGGGCGTCTTAGTGCCCGTGAGGTCTGTGGCATCCCGACAGCTACTTCAGGATAGATGGCTCATGCTGCCACATCACACGCTGTCCTCAGACCGGCTGGCCCGACAGACGATGTGCTCAGGCGAGAAAAGACCGTCCGTCTCCGGGGACACGGAACATGGAGGAGCGCGCTCCTTAAAAGTCGGACAGAGTCGTCTGCTCATGCTCCTGGCGGGTGCTCGAAACTTACGCCGACTCCACTACTTATGCATGAGGGTATACCACTCCGTGAAAACGAATCTTCCTGATCGCTCGGGAGCCGAGGAGTCGAAATGGTACCGAGGGAAAACCGATTCGAAAGGAGTCGAGCGACTATCGTTTCTTGTTGAAATGCAATATCTATTCCCCAAGGATCCGCGCCGCAGCGCATCAACATAAGGAATGCTTCGTGGTTTTCATTGGCGATCGCAACATGCGATGCTGTGATGCATATGTTAGTCCGTATCCAATCTCAGAGCCTGATTCTGAAACGAGCGGAGCTAGTTGCCTAATCCGAGAAAACGTGTCGAATGTCGGGACCTGACCTTTGACGGGGTTAGAATAATGAATGTCTTCCCCGCGCACATCTTGGAACCTCTTCCTTCCCTGTGGGAGCCAGCCATACATTCCCGGGGTTCAGGGGACTCATCTGTATGCGGAATCGGAGAGTATCCTTCTCATAATTGGAAATGGCAAGTTTCTCGCGTGAAAAAAATGCGAGCTCCCATCCGCGGAACATCATAGCCGCCCCCATAACCCGTGATCTGTTGCTCGCAACCCCAGACGGTTAAGCTTCGAGCTTGAGCTTCCATTGATTGAGCCAGTCGATTCCAACAGTGGCCCTGTTCCTTCGCGATGGACGCAGGGTTGCTGATTGGGGGATTTCGGAGGACACCGGTTGCTCACAACGCGAAAACCCCTATTTCTTGATCAGAATGTCGATCAGAAGGCTACGATGGCACATTGCTCATGTGATATGAGTTGGCAGCTGTCGGCGGAGCGACTCCGGGATCGCAGATGATAATTTTGGATGCGGCTCCTTCGAAACTGTGCGGAACGTTTAGGTTCCTCAAAGAGCTCTTCGCACCTTGAGTGCTTCCCATGGATGGACGAAGTACGACCTCCACGAGGAGCATAGCTTGAAGCTTGGAGATGGAAGCTGCAGGCATTCGGAACCAGCGAATGGTCGACAATGGAGAACCGGGATGCGGGGAGTATCGTTTGCCTCCATCGATTGGGCAGTTTCCGTATCCGCCCTCCTGGAGGGTCTCGGGGTTTCCAGCGAGAACGAGTCCAAGTGTGAGCGAAGCTCGACCGCACTTGGAAAATGTTCGCCGTTCTTGGAAGTTTGGAGCTACCGGAATAGGTAGAAAAAGGAATGCATTTCGGAAGCTCGACCCGACTGTGAATGGACCCGAAACCCTGCGGTTCTCGTACGGGAGGATATTCTGGTTCCCAATGATCGTCGATGGCCGGGTCCCGAAGTGCCCCTGGGTCGTGGGTTCAGGGCTAGGCTCATCACGAAGCGATAAGAATCAGCATACTGCAATCCAAATCATCGAATTCGGATCCCGTGACTAGATTCACCGGATCGATAGTCTTCAAGATACATAAACCGATCCGATCTCTGTCCTCGAAGGTAGCCGGGAATGATTCGTCAAGCGTTCGGGAGGCGAACCATGCACTCGGAGCAAGATGGCGCAAGTTTAGTGGGAGAGGAGGTCTGGTGGGCGGTTCGAAAGAGAGCACAGTGAGGGTCGGAGGCCCGAGGGTGTCTTCAGGCTCTTCGCGCGATACATTAGAAAGCTTCAATCCACTTCGAGCATCTTGTGGGCATTCGAAGGATTGCGGTCTGCGATTACCCATGCCGGGTATGTGGAATATTGAATGGCAGACTTCACGCCGGATTCGAGGATAAGTTCGAGGAATGGCCACACATGCTAACTATGAGGGCCACAGAGTGCCAACTGATTCACATAATTGGAGTCTTGGAGATTATTCATAGTATACGGAAATCATCTCGACGGGTCCTGAAGTGAACAATGATAATACAGTATTTGGATTCTAACGGTCGCAAAGACGGAAGAGAAGGATTCGGCGTCGGCCGACGCCAATGCTGAGCGCGGCTTCCATGTGCACCCACTTCGACGCGGAAGGACCACCGCGAGCTAGAGACTCTGATCGAGAAGCACTTACATTGCGTCTTACGTTGACAAAGATTCTCTGTCAGGAGTGAGGTTTCACTAATTGAATGGTGCGCTCGTGTGATAATCCCAAGCGGTCTCTGGAGGACTGGAAGGGGAGCTGAGAAAAGAATGGAAGAGGTCAATTCAGAGGGGGAGGCCACCGTTCCTTTCCCGACCCCAGGTCCTGAAACAGAAGACGAACCTCCTACTCCTAGCGCTCGCGAAAATAGGAGCTCACTGCGAAAGAACGAGAAACAATGAAAACTTGTGGAACTTCTGTGGCAGTGAGGAAAGGGAATCAAGATTCTCCGCTGATTATCGGTGGCAGAATCAATGTCGTTCATGGCTTAAATGATAGGGCTACCGGCGGCAACAATAATTATGCTCACATTATAATGCTCGCATCGCCGGCTGCGGATCCTTTTCTCCAGGGGGCCTTCCTCGGGAACAGAAAGGGCATGATCCAATCGTCAGATTATAATTCGTTTCGGAGGGACAGAGAGAGCCGTGATCCATTCGGAATTGTGCTCAAGCAGAACCAGCAGACTGACTAAATGACGCTCTCGGATTACCGAGAATCCCACTTCATTGCGAAGGACGTCTTCATCACTGGATTGGGCTGCGAGTCCTCAAAACTTTACACGTAGCAGTCAGGAAAGTCTGCCGTAGCGTCGTCCTCGCTTTTTGATGGGGGTCGGGGACGTCAGAGCAGATATCAGCTCCGTATTCGGAAGGGATGTATCGCTCTTACGCACTGGCATTCATTTGTCAAGACCGCAGCGAAATACTACCCCGATAGCTCTGACCGAGGCATGCTGTGAGGGAATAGTTTTCTTTATCCATGTCCAGTACCTGGGAATAAGTTCCATCAGAGTGCTCCGACAGTCGCAAGCTCGCGCGGGCATGCGTGATATTACTCCCTCGAACCCGACAAATTCATAAGTAGGTCCAAGACGAGGTGTTTCATGGGAGCACCGCCGAGCATCCTATTTGTTGAGGCAGCGCTTCCCGCTCTGGCATACTTCCACTCCTGGATCGATTTAGGACGAAATATCAGATGTACGCTAACTCCGGTATCCGTGAATGGACTCCACCCAGTCCCACAGAAAGTAAACTTCCCGGAGAGCGCTTCTCGCGCAGGATAAACCGTATGCAAAGCGATTCGAGCACTCATACTCGTGCGGAGCAGCTCCGCGAGCTGCGTGCAAACGATTCCCCCACGTCAGAAGAGTTAGGAAGTTCGCTCCTCTCTGTCGATAGCCCTCGGTGCACCCATTGGGCAAGGTAGAGTGTTATCATGTTAAGCTAATTGGATGAGTCGATTGAATTCGTCGCCTCACAATCAGGCGATGCTACGAGCTCGTTCAAAGCCCGTGAAAAAGCTCCATGGAACAATTGTTGTGCCACAAATAGGCTTGATGTTCGGCTGTTGGGTGGCCACAATAAACAAGGCTAAGCTCCGGCCAAAGACTTTTATGAGGAGACATCGTCTACCATTCCAGCCTTGGAGCTGTGTAGAACAAACGTTTACAATGGTTCTGAAGCCCCCTTTCGAGTTCAGTGCACGGAACATGATGGAACTTCTCCAAAATCCTCCCAATACAGTTGCATTACTCAGTGTCGACACGAAGATAGTCCGAAGATGATCCCGACTCTAATCCCCATAGAATGTGGGAATCTGTTTACTCCCATCCCCATCTTCTTGTTCTCGTTCGGGTATTTTTCAAGTTTCGTTCGAGTTTTGCTATCGCGCAGAACAATCATGCAGATCGATGAATGAAGACGGGCGTGTGACATGTGTAAGTTATCTGGTCTTCCGAGCAGGGCGGACGTCGATCCGATGTTCCCCGACCCAGGTATGAATGAGGCTGTGAATAACGACGTATTATGAATATTTGATGAGACGGCCGTCGTCATCAGCATGCGTTCCCGACTTGATGAGTGTCTCCGTGAGGAACGTCCCAATGTGCGGATCCGCAATCACAGGGATGGAGGAAGCTCCTCGGCATGAAGGGTAGCGAGATGAGCGAAGTTTCGCTCTCGAAATTCGGAGACATGCACCGGATATCGGAGGAGGCCAGTGCCGCCGGGTTCGCTCCTGATTCAGTGGTGGAGACGGTAATCTGCCAGTTGTTGTCAAGTTGCCTGGAGGCAACGGTGGAAATTGTTCCGGTAGCAGTAATAAGAGATCCGGCTCGCTTCTCATCTCGTCGCACCAAGCGAACGAACGGAACAAGAAAAGTCGATAGGGGAAGCACAGTCGGCCGAACCACGAAGGAGACTCAGAGAACTGTGAGAAGACAGCTGCTGGGGCAAGCACCATCAACCGGTGGCGGCTGCTCCTGGTATCCGTCGAAATAATATAGACACTGATAGTGTGCACTTACATATACCGACAGGATGAGCGGCCGGACGGCGGGCTGGGCCGAGCGCCCGACCGGCCCGCTGGCCGGCTGGTAGGCTACCGGGTCATCCACGGAGAGTCGGACGGACAGAGCGAAAGTGGGGACACACCGACCGACGGACGGACCGGGCAAGGAAGCACCAACAACCACTACCAAGCGACATATATACACATTTAGACAACATACATACGTGCGGTGGTAACTGCGACACACATATATATCTTCCTCCGCGCACATATATACACCCCACTAGGGCCCCTGGACCCGCCCATGGAGGAGAGGTTTCGGGAGGCGCCGCCTTCGACCGTCAGCTCGCAAATCTCCTTGCTGAGATATCTTCTTACTTTCTCTTATATAGGAATATATATCTATTTAATGGATATATCAAGACGACAGCAGGATGCCACGCTGAAATGTGACGTGCGCTTCGGTTTGTCCGCCACTACTGCAAGCTGACTGGGATACTTTCAGAGTGCTCCGGAGTGTTCGGTGATCAATCTTCTAGTCAAAATGCCGCGAATTTAGTTATTTACCAACTCTTCGGGCAATGCTGTCGTGAACTCGTGCGGAGCAGTCTCTCAACCGAGTTTCCCTCTATCGTACTCTTCATCCTGCTCTCCAATCGAATTCGTCACCTATTTGTTTTCCGCTTGCCTTCGCTTGCGTCTCTCGATTATTTATCGAATTCTTGGTTCCTCGACAAACGATTCTCGGGAAGCTATGAACGCGCTCAATTAGAGCGATCTCTCTTCGAATTCACGCCTCCTCATCTGGGTTGTCCTGCGTGACCGTTCACCCCATCGACACCCCGATACGTGACACTGAAAGTATCACCGGAACGACGCGGTGGACGTACTCCGAATTACTCCTGCTTAGTGGGTGCGTGTGTGTAGTTGACGTGGTCACTCCGGTCGAGTGGAAAAGTGATTGGTGGAGTGCCAACTTTCGAGTTCAACGTCGGCAAGATGTCTTCGTACTACGACTACTACCAGACGCAACAGCCGAGGCGGTTCGAGCCTCCAAAGGACACGAACTACCGCTGTTACATGAACTATCAAAAATTTGAGCCTCAAACAACGCCATACGGAGATAGCCGCGCCGATTCGTACATGGCTCAAATGCCATGTGCTCCATGCGAACCGACACCGTATTTCGACGCTTGTCCGAAGACCGAAGACGCCCTGTCTAATTCTAGCGAAGATCTGTGTTGCAACGACTTAGCTGCGCCGCAAAGCTCACAAACCAGCGCTGGAACTTACCCCGTTTCGGCTGTGCCACCTGTGCCGCACGAGGATCGGACTTGCAGCTCATTGAGTCCCGGCAGCCCGTATTATCCGGCGACACCGAATGAATGGGAGAGGTATTTATTATCGTACCGTCAATGATATCACAACGTGGTGTTGCTCGTCGCTTCAGGTCAATGGAAACGATTAGCGTCTCCATGTACTTCGAAGAAATTTCTCCGTATCTCCTATCGATTCTTGATGGGGGAAAATACAGGGGCGAGCTTAGGTCAGTGACATAACCACTAGCTAAGGGGCAATGTCTTGCGCCTTTGCGTTGATCGAAAAGACGATTTGGAGCCCTCTGACCTAATGAATTGTTCATGGATATATGACCGCAAAGAGCGACAACTTACGGCTAGGTGGAGGACGGACTACACCGAGCTGGAGAGCTAAGCCTGGGTAATGACGTTTTCACGTCGAAACTGCTCATTGAACGAGTTGTGTGGCACGGAGTGCGGGTAGCCCTGGTCCCGTCCCCCGAGACAACTGATCGTAATGCCGAGTAAGGACCAAAACGGGCATAAAGGCGCTCATTACCGTGCCCCCGCACAGGTTGCTTTTACAATCGGAGAGCCCCTGTGATGACCAGCAATCGTCGGTGTCACTTATATCGACTGCTTTTCGGAATTGATACGGGAGCGAGTGTGTGGAACGACTTCAGCTTATCTCCACCCTTCAGAGGGAGCGAATTTTCTGCTCACCAGGTGGATAAAATCCAGAAGTATTCATCGCACATTGATCAGGCTCGCCACCGATGCGAATAGGGTATAGGTATGAAGAGTCTTGTGGAACAAAGTCACTCTCTCTTTGAGCTCTTAATCAGTGGAAGATGGAAGGAGGATATCGATCGCTGGATTCCGTTCTGTTTTAGGATTGTGCATTTAAGTGCATGATATTTCTGTTCTGTGACCGGACTCTCGTTGGCGCTGACGATGCAGCGACACTCCAATTAAGTCATTGATCACGATAGCGTTCCGAATGCGATCTCCTGCCCTGGTCACTTCCGAAAGTAAACAAGTCCCGACAAGATGAGGTCGTTGCTGTGAAATATTTGATGGGATCTTGTACACGGTTCACCGCTTGTTTGGCGGCCACTAAGCACGAAATATACGAGCATGCCCTCCCACCATCCGTGGCCGGTTGTATAAGCCTTAGTTTCGGCCTTTTAGCTGAATGACTTACCCGCTACGGCGATACATGCCAAGACATACGACCGCATGAATCTCATTGACTTCTTCGGAAGAAATATCGGAAATGAGCGTGTCGGACTCCGTCAAGTTCTTCTTCGACTGAATCACGGACGGCAGTATCGGAGCGACGGCTCAAGCCCTGGCTTCTTCCAAGACTTCCCTTGAGCTCTCGAGGACTCCGACTCAGGAGAGGGTTGACCTTCGATGAGAGCAATGGGATTGGAACATGAGCGGCGATTATCTACGTCATGTCTCTGATGGAACTCACCTGCAGAGCAGAAACGGAGGAGTTGTCTTGGGACATGCGGATATTTTTGTTTTGATTGCGGAGGTCGGGAAACACCCCTGACCTCCTCGAGGTTTTTCGGGAATTGCGCTGAAGGCACGACGATTCTCGCCTATGGCTTGGACTGGGACAGTCGACTCGAATGTTCAAATTAGACATGAGCGCTGCTGTCTCAATGTCTAGGGGGAGTAATCGGGTTTTGCTCCCAGCTCCATCATCCTTCCCCATCGTGCTCCGCTATCCCGACTCTACTTCCGATTTCCGAATACATGAGTTTCCGCAGACCCCTGAGAACTTCCGAAGTCGCTCCTTGATTCTTATGCTTCATTCATGTGTCAGTGGCTCTGTGGGGAAAAGGAGCCGAGTCACAACGAGTGCGTCAGAGACTAGGACAATCTATCTACTCTGCCATCACGAGTTCTTGACGTTTTCTCGTCGTCCACACCTTGCGTACTCAATGCGAGAGAGTCGTAGACTATGATCGCGATGAGCTTTACGCGGTTCGTGTACCGAGACCCGGGAGAGAATGAGGAAGCTTCCGTGCCGCGGGACTTCACATTCCGCATTCGTACGACCAGATTGAGCCCAAGCGTTTTCGGATCTCACAATCATTCAGAGAAAATTGCGGTCTATGAACGCGATTTTCAAATCTTTCTCTGGGACCTTCAGAACGAAGCGCCCGACTAATCCCGGATTTTCGAAAAAACCCTCGATTTCCGCTCTGCTCTGAAAAGGGGATTATGTGAACTCTCTTCCGTGAATTTCCCCCTGCAACTACAGCTCTCTCGAAAAGTAATTTGTGGACCACAACCTGTGGACTATAATTTGTGATTCTTCTCGACGTCATGAAGCAAACTCCTGGGGGCAAGGTCCAAAACGAGCTCTACACAGCGGGAATCTACGGAGCCTACACAGCGGCGATTTCTACCCGTAATGGCGAGATCCGCACACTCCATCCTCTAGTTTCTAACTATGTCTTGATTGAGGGCTACTGAATTTCCAGGCATTCGACTGGGACCCCGGAAAGTATGGTTCCCCAGTGTTATCCACCTCAGCAACCGCCGCCTGGAGGCGAATTCACACCGCAACAGGTACGACGTTCAGAAAATCATGGTTCATGTTTATGCCAGCAATATCGATTCGAAGCTTCCATCAAATCATGGTCGGAGGGAAGGATAGTCCATCTCATTCATTTCCGAGTCGATTGCGAGCGTTTGTGGGACAGTATATGGCAATGAACACAGAATGATATCACATGCGTGAATATTCCAATTGAATAGCCATCTCGAACATACGAGCAGTCTCTGATGAGCGAGCCACATTGGAGCCGAAAATCAGGTGTTCATGTCCAGAAGACTGAAAAATATCTTCGGCGAGAGCTTCAATAGACGATTCCGTACTGCGTATTGGTACGTCGGATTCTGGTATGATTGCACTCAGAAGGAGCCTTGTCCTATCCTCATCTTGGGGAATGAGCGAAAAGAAAGAACAGCCTTAAACATACGAGCAGTCTCTGACGAACGGGCAATTTGAGGATGCTCGGAAAGTAGACGAGCACGCTCTCCAATTATAATATTCACGGTATGAGGAAGGGGATACTTTTGGAAGTCCTCGTTCTAGCAACCAATACCGACGGAGGAGCGGAGGTCCTTCGTGAAGGAGTCCCTAACAGGGGGACATCGAAGAGAGAAGAGGTCTTCGCGACGGTGGTGCGCGGAAGAAGGACGAAGAGATCGATAGGCTTACGCCTCCTAACCGAAGTTGCAACTCGAGGGGGGGGACAGAGGAAAGGGGAGGAAGGTTCACGTCCTTGGAAAGACAGACGGGCATAGCGATAGATGTAGAGCTCATACCACTTTGAAAGAATGGAAGTGACGGGTGATAGAAGTACGTCGACGGAATTCCAGGACTGCTCGACAGGCAACATTTCGGCTGATTCGAAAGAATTTAAAAAGGGCGTGCGCGCAGATCCCCCGGCAGTGATTCCACATAAGGGGAGACACAGAAAAGTGATTCGTCCGCTTGGCCTCGAAGAATGCGCCGGAAGCCGCGGCGTCCAATGCGGTGGAGGCAGATTCAAAGGAGAAACATCCGATAGCTTCGCAAACTTCGGGCTCTATTCGTCCATCTGTCGGCCGACCTATCCTCCTAGACTGCAGTGGATGGATGCTCGACGATACGGGCTATGATTGTGACGATGACATCCATGTGCACAACGTTCCATCTCTTTTTGACCGCGAGCCGCAGTTCGGAGAATACCGCGGCTCCGATTCAAAAGTCGATCGGTCCGCTCTCGCGAATTCGCAATCGCAAGCAGGTTCACCTTCATTTTATTTTCTCCGGAATCGTCTAAGTACTGTGTTCACGAGTGTGAACCAAGTCTTCGTTTCATAAACAATCCTGGAAGAGTAATGTGGCAGACGTCGCGCTCGTTCGTTAGGGGAACGAGCCGATAAATCTCTCTTATGTTCGTGCCGGAACCGAATGTTTGGAGATTCCCGAATGGCTCTTCGGGAATGAAATCGACGACCTCGTTGGCACATTTTCCGAAACTGATCGCTCGAAGAGATACTTTTCGGGGAGCATTCGGACTCCGGTTACAATGTTTCTCCAGCTGACTCATGCGGAGAGATGATCTACGGAGGATTTCTTTGATTTCAGCCCGAAGACTGCAATAGCGACCAAGGATCGTCGAAAGACTGCAGCCTCTTGTATCCTTGGATGAGAAGTCAGTTCGGTGAGTCGAGTAATGAGGTTTCACACTGCAGCGATGGATACGATCAAATGTCGATCCGCAGGAATATGCTCGAATGAGCAGTATGTTGACGTTTCCCGGGAATAATCTTTTCAGCAGAGCGCAAAAGAGGCCGTCAGACCTACACGCGTTTTCAGACCCTGGAACTGGAAAAAGAGTTTCGCTTCAATCGATACTTGACCCGTAGGAGAAGGATTGAAATCGCGCACGCGCTTTGTCTCACCGAGCGTCAGATAAAAATTTGGTTTCAAAATCGGCGCATGAAATGGAAAAAGGTTAGTTGAAGTCGAACGAAAACGAGGGAAAAGTCGAAAGCGAGGAGCTCCGTGGCAAGTTCGCTTCCTTCCACTTCTCAGAGTGGTTTCCTCTATGGTCGGGATTATTTCCGACGGCGAAAGCGCATTAGATCAAGGGAAACCAGACTCAGTTCACCCGCCTTATGCGGTGATCCAGGGACGACGCATCTAAACTTTATGGAGCGCACACTGTGGGCTGTTGTTGCGAGCAGGCGTGGCGATAATCAATGGCGTGGAGTGCGGATTTCAAAGCCATAGACAGCACATGTTTGCAACGTGCTGTAAGCCTACTCCAGACAGGTAGCTGGACGGCTCACTGGCTTGCTTGCTTGCTTGTTGGCTCGTTCACTCGAGGCGTGCGGGTGGAACCGGTGTCTGCAGGGTGGTACTCGAGTGAATGCTAACTTATGAGATGGATCCGCGGTCGAGGATCACCCCGCGGAGGGCGATACCGTTACCCCAAGCGGCCCTAAGCGGCCATAGAGTTTGTCACCCCTCGCGAACCGAACGAGCTTCAGCCGAAATCGGCGTGGGAAAGACGACACTCAGAGTTCAGATTACATGCAAAAGCCTTTGCCCCTGATCTGCTGACATTAGCAAAACGTTTGTCACTCCCCCAATTTAGGCCCCCGGAGTCGACGAGTTTTCTCAATTATTCCTCGCAGAGAATGACTGATTCTCCGTGGTCAGAGTCGGGATTCGACATGCGGAATTCCCTTGAGACGCGATGACGCTTTGATGAGGGATCGATCGGATTGACATTCCCCAGAATAGAGTTCTCATGAATGGAGCATCTTCGCGAATCCTTTGCCGTGGGTGTATCGTACTAGGTCATTCTGGGTCATGGTGTTTCCACTCGATGCTCTAGCTCCGCGTCGCTCAGAACCGCCTAATGATCAACAGAAGCAGAAGAAGTACAACGACCATGTGAAGAGGTTGTTCTCTCGTAACGGGACTTTTATCGACCATAGAGGGGGATGCCGTTAGGAACAGATGACTGTTTCCCTCTACGAACTCGCGAGTCAGGTTGATGAAGCAGGCTCGTTCAGAGAGGGTACAACCAGTAACATACCTGAAGACGATCGGGAGGATCTAATGACATCCTCTTTCCAATAAAGACACACCCGAATTCTTTCGCTCGCCTACTCGCTCAGTCAATTCCCTCTCTTTGTTTCTCTTAAGCTGCAATCCCTTAATCGTGCAACGCTCGATCGTTCCTCGGTTCTTGCGTCTCGTTTCTGCTTTGCGTTCGCTCTTTTGGGTATATCTCGGATCCGCAGGAAATACTGACTGATTTACTGAGTCGGGCTCCAGACGGGCGAGCGGGAAAGCAGCAGCGATACGAAAGGATAAGTCTGAGGGAGGGAAAAAGCGAACGACAATCGTATGGTTCTTAGTTATCATCTGCGTCCCCGTCGACACACCGACCGACAGACTGAGTGAGTCTTTCCGTTCGCGAAATAATCCAGGGATGAGAGACAGGACGGAAGCAGAAGGAAGGAAGAGAGAACTGAAGGCGGGAACGGGGAGAAAGAGCCCTGGAGTCGTTCTTCCCCGTAGCAACGGCTTCTTCCTCGCCCTCCGAGGCGGCCGTGGCCGCTGGTGGATTCTGCTAGGCAGGCTGCCAGGTCGGCTTGAGCAGTGCGCTGCTTGGGAGGCAGCTGCAGCGACGGTGGTGAACGAAACACCGAGCGGGCGAACAAGCGGACGGAGCAGGCGTGCTGGCTGGCTGGCAGGCGAGTGAGCGAGCGGCAGCCAGGAGCCCGGCAGCAGCGAACGAGTCCGCATAATGTTGCCATTGCGGGCCATATAACCCCCATATAGCCATCGTAAATCTCCCGTCCGACGGAGAAGCCGAACAGCCGTAGGTTGTAAATTATTGAGGCTCTCACTCGCGTCTTCTCTCACTGTTCCGATCTCGCTGGTTCCGCCTCGGCTGCTGTCACCGCTTGGTACGGCTGAAGCCGCTTCCACTGGAGCTTTCTAACTCAAAGAGATCCAGCAGCTCAATCTTGCTCTCAGCTCTGATGTGAGCTCATATTCACTCCGGTGTTCTCGATCGCTCGGAATCTAGCTCGAACCTAGCCTTGCTCCGATTTCGCGGCCCCGGATTCGGCTCCGATGGATCTCGAGCTAAAGCTCGGAAACCATCTCGAGTGACCGCAAGCGCGTATCGGTTAAGAGCTCGAATATTTACGTGAATCGTTTATTGGAATCAACATTTTAACGGCAGTGATATCATCGGCATAGGCTGCGGGAAAGACGAGAGGATATCTCGGAGGAGCTGTAGGAGTATCGAAGCGGTATGAGAGACCCTTCTGAAGCCATAGATGCTCCAAGAAGGACTCATTCGAAGCTCTAAGCATTCCTACGAAACGAATTCCTCAATTTCGATCGAAAGCAGCAATAAAACGCAGTTCCCGGTCGATCTATGGAGGCTCTCTACCCCAATAAGGAAATCGCGCTGCTCTTCGTTGTGGTGAAATCGCTACTAGAGGTCGTTTTCTCTCCCGTTCAACGAATTGTTGAGCTGACGCGGCCTGATCCGCGGTCGAATCAGTTATGTAACTCCCGACGAGATGACCCACAACGACGCGGTTAGTTCTGCCCACCGCCACCAACACCGCGGTTGCTCCTCTCGGGCATATCATGGCTTCCGGGGTGATTCAGGTTTTCACGAACGGCCGCAGCAATCGTCATTTTACACTCACTGGTCCAGGGACATCCTTGGGGTTGTAAAATCAAGCCTCCAAAATATTCTTGCGAATTCTGTCGCGGCATTATTCTTAGTCTAGCAACGAAGCTTAAAACTAGGAAATGAATGCAGGCTATTCTACCCATGCGGAGATCACGAGCTACAACCCTCTCGCCGGATGAGTCTCCACGATAGAGGAGGCGGGAGCAGGTCGGAATCGCCAGGTCGGAAACATATCTATCTCATTCTCTCCGAACGGGCTATATTTATCCCCATGTTCAGTGAGATATTGAGCATTCGACATCTCCAGTGGAATGGAAAGATTACAGTAAGGAATGGAAGGGCGGAAACTTCGCCCCGTAAGCTTCGCGAAGCAGCATCAAGTTTGGCCCAACGCTCTCCCGGACGCATTGGAGATCTCGGCCGATGCTCAACCTGCGAGAAATAAGCCTACGGAGCTGCTCGCGCCTGGCTTGCAGACTTCACGCGGCTCTGCCCTCGATGAGCTTTGCATTTATCTCGAATTCATCTCGAGAATTGGAAGAGCACTAAGCACGCAGTGCCTTCAATCAGTCCTCCCTCCCCCCCCCCGGTACCTCCGGAGTCCTGCCGAAATGAATCTTCCGCAGATCGAGCAACGTGAGGATCCCCGGGTCGGATACCTAATCTTCTTTTAAATTCGTAGTCGTCAATTACGACTTCGAGGGGACTTCGAAAAAACGAGCTGGCTACGATATTCGAGCCAGCGACAATCAGCAGACGTCAACGTCCATTCGGCTCATCCGGATCTGCATGCGATATGCTCCCTGAATTATCCGACGGTCCGTCAACCCGGATAACATCGGCCGAGCTGCTTCCAGTTCAATGAGAGGGATCCGAAGAAGATATCGACGGTGCTTCCTCATGGTTCATACGTGCGGTCGACTTGTAGACGGCTGGAGGACGAGTATGGTACATCCCTCGAGAAAACGCATCTTGAATTCCCTCAACCACTTTGGGTTCTGCATATGTATATTCGCGCTCCCGACCGAGAAATATATCTTACCAGCTCGTTGAACACTCCTGGGAGATGGCATGGCGGCAAAGTCAGCCCCGCATTCTTCCCTTGGAGCATAAATGCTCATGTGGGCCATCGGAGCCCGCCCGGAACGCGCAAGTTTGAGTCTTTCAATTGCCTCGAATGTCCCGATTCGCAGGATTCCGGACCTCCGGCTGCCTTCGTAGCGAGATCGAGTCGGAGTTTAATTCGATTGCAGTGGTCGGCTCAATCTACACATCCTTCGAGGGATTTTCTTCTGAATGAGGGCTCCTCGTTGCGTACCTTCCGGGCACGATGGTCGGCGAGGCGATCCCTACCGCATGAAGCGTCCCGAGAGTCTCTCTCGTTGTATTATTTGGTCGCTGGATCATTATCGAATCTTTGCTTTCACCGTACATACTGCGTGCGAATCATGCGGAGTCTAGAAGTCTTCTCGTCGCTTGTGTCTCGAGTGAAGTTCCCTAGACTCTCTAATTCGATACGCTTCTTCCCGCTCCTACCATGGCATCTCTCATAGAAGAGCCCGTCCTCGGAGTGAACAGCGACAAAACATATTATGATGGCGACTCGAGGGTCGTTCTCGAGAATTTCCACGAAGTGTTGATCCAGCGTGGTTGAGTTCTGGCGGCAAAAGCGTATTCTCAAGGACTCTCCTCTGACGTCTGGCGGAGTGAATGGCTCGAGTTTTTCGCACGTCGAACCATTCATTCACGGACGAGCATTCCAAATGCCATTCATGAACATATCGAGTAAACACCCGGCCCTTTGGCATGCAGTGGCCCCGAAGCCGAGAGAAGTCCTCTCATGACTTCGAGCTGCGATAGGCCGCCGCAATAGATGCAATTGACTCGGAGACTCTTCTCCCGCTGGTACGGAATGCGCCCCGGAGCGGAGCAGAGGAGCGAGATTTCTCCGATCCGAGTTGTCCAGTTGGGGCCACATAGATAGCCAGGCAGTGCAACCCACCGTACGAGCTCCCGAGCAAGCGAGCGAGTCAGCAAGCGATCGACCAACAAACCCAACCCCCGACAAACAGATAGACAGTCAGCCGGGCAGATAGACAATTCGAATAGAGGCGCGCGAGTTGTTTCTCGGCTTCTTGTATTCCTTCTCTTCATCGTCGTAGGGGGGGCGGAGCCTTGGGCTCTCATAGCAGCAGCGGCAGCAGCCGCTGAACAGAGAGAAGGCCTTCCCAAAATGATATGGCGGCAGCTTCGACCGGCGGCGCTGTGAGCTCTGGGTGTCACAACCGCTCCCGGACTACCGAAGGAGATGCTTGCGCCATTCCGATCTAAGGAGAAGTTGTTTCTCCTGACTCAAACATATTTTCCCCTCTCGAATTGCTTATTCGTGTGGGGATCGATCGGGAACCCTACCCAGAGGCCATTTAACCTCACAACGCTTCAACGCTGTTGCTTGTGACTAGTCAACAAGGCCGAGTAAATCTTCAGTTGTCCAGCCGACCTCGAGGGAAAAAGCACGGACGCGTCATTCATCTCAGAGGAATAGAACTCTGATCCTTCCTCCGAGTTCCGAGCGGCCAGACACCTCAAAAACATTCCTGTGGGTGTTTCGCCGCACCGAATATCGAGAATCGAGAACGACAACCAATGTGGCTCTCTGATTAATCGTCGACGTACACTGTTGAAGATAAGGCGCTTGATTGCGCATGCTCCTCGTCTCCGATAGATGGGATGGAGTGTTCTCTGACTCCAGACGTAGATATTTCTCGTGGTTCTGACTGTGGCTTCGCTATTCGATCTGTCTGGATCGCTTCGTTGCGATGCTTCTTGTCAGTAGCTTACGCAACGGCTCATGAGCCCAGCACTCCTGAAGGCAGTGGCGCATTTAGCGAGGAAAGATAGACATCTGATGCATACAGATATCTGGTATCGTCATGGAATATTTAAGATGAAGACAGGCAGACAGTTGAGAATCTTATCCCGAGACTCCGGAAAGCTGAGGAAGTAGAACAGGACGACGTCAACTGGGAATGAAAGGATGCGAATCCTCCGGGGAGTAAATGAGAACAAGCCTGATCCGACGAAGATCAAAGAGAAAGTCGGTCGTCATGAGAAAAGCCAGTGCTCCGAATTCCAGCCTGACAGACGCTCCGCTCAGCATGCTGCTAATCGCAGTTTGTGTGCTTCAGGCAGTAGACGCGATGAACGAGCATTCCAACTCCAATGTGCAGTTTTCTAGTGCTGTCAGTGACGACTAACTTCCCGAAACAGTAGCCTGTTGGCATAGGTTTAACCGGAGGAACTGGTTTGTTGAGCATGAGGCTCTCAAGTCTCCAAGATAGATCATCTCCGCGAGCAATCGCACCTGGAATGGTGTTGGAATGGGTCATTCCTAAAAGAAGGAGGGTGCCCATCAGTGTTCGAGAAGGTGACGGTTGACTGTATCGCAGAGGTTTCCGGACTGTGCAGAAGATCGCTTTAGCGAATGCTGAAGAAGGAATCCAGCCCCCTGACCTGTCCAACGAACGATCCGGACACGCGGACCCGAAGCCGTATGGGGAGGGGGGCGGGGCTCAGTGTTCCTACTGCTTAGGCGAACCAAAAAAATGGGGTTCCGCAATATGGAATTAACGGAAAACGTCATTTCGATTTCAGGAAAGCAAGACAAAATCTCACGAAGAGGTTTTCGAGCCGGAGTACAGTGAGACGTGAGCGACCTTAGGACTGACGAATTGTCTCCAGCTCTACCACTTTCACTTTCGTCTATTCGTATCAGTAATTCAGTCAGGCAGTCTGTGTGTCTGTCCCTTGATAATTCGACTTTTCGACGTGTATTTTCTCCGGAAGGATTCCGGAGATTTGAAACTCGTTCGGTTTTGTTTCACGACACCCCGACAGCGACAGATGCCTCCTCAGCAGAGAGTCGAACCTCTTTTCTACCAAAAAAAGCGAATTCTGGAGTTCAACGAACAAAGAGTCAAGAAGGAAACTATTCCAAAGAGTGCGAGTTGCTTAAGAAGGAGCGAAAGTGAAACTCGCGTGTGTACGTTCACAGGGTTGACGCGACGGGTTCGACGCAGCTTTTGAATGAAATCAGCTGACTTCGACGCGCGGGATACGATCAAAAATAAGAGAATAAAATGTCATAGTGAATCAATCTCACCACATCCAGTCCGCTAGTCAATCGACCGGTTTAATGATTCGCCGGCTGGGCGGTCAGTCTGACCTCCGTGCAGTCGATCTCCATGCAGCGATCTATCCTTTTCTTCTGATGATAATTGACCTACCACATAGATTTCGCTCTATACCGCTCTATTATCATGATAAGAAAAAAGATATTCAGGACCTTCAAATCAAACCTTATCGAAAACTAATGAAGGCGTCGAAAAGGAATGAGATATGGTATCAACTAGGAAGAGTACTGAGACTTCGGCTATTGGTGACGACTCGAAGATCATTATTGATGACGATACTGATAAGTAAATGGAAATAATATCATTAATAATATATACAAAGAAGAGAAAGCAACGATCAATACGGAGAGTTTAGCTCTGGCGATAATGATGGAAGTTTAACCAAAATATTTAAGTAAGCAAGGTGATGACGACGGAAAACTTGAATTGAAGTTGAGAACGCGGACCTCAGACGGACGAGTTCGAACCCACAGCATTTAAGTCGACGTCTAAGATCTCAAACCTAGTAAACGCAATGTTTCTTAAGCAATCAATATACGAGTGTTTTCATTTATTGAGAGGAATTAGGAAATCCAAGCAGGGGCCGCGCGGCCCCTGGACAGATGCGCCGGCGCCGCTTCACCTCTGTATGGCCTTGTCGCGGAAAAGCGCGACTCCGATTCGAAGAGATTCAGTGGGTGTGAACTAAGCGCACGCAACGGGGTCAGATTCCTTCTCGATGCCAGCTATGACGACGTCGACGGAGAGGGAGCTCGGCCGATTAGAGGATGATGAACTCGGAGGTCGGCGTAACCGGCAGATTTCGACGCTTCTCCCATCGCGTACCTACTTCGGCAATCCTAGCTGGTCTGACGCCGCGGTTGTCGAATAGACCCCGCACTGCCCTCCTTCAGTCCGGAGTTACGCACTCAGTTAGAGGAGGAAGGAAGTGCCGGCAGTTCTACCCTACGGGGAAGTTCCAGCGCTGCGGAATACACGACCTGAAGTATCAAACAGCGGAGACTCAGGGGAGCCTACATCGAGCGTGAGTCACACGGTGGCACAAGACCGACACCAAGAGCTGCTCGAGCTGCTCGTGGATTCGACACCGAAAAATCTTCGAGGAGACGAGGGGGAATTACTTTCGGGATCGACGGAATCCTCCGGATTCTTGATCATTCGCTAATTCGAGTCGCCCGGGGGTCTCGTTATGATGAGGGGGGTCCATGATATTGGGCTGATAGCGGCTTGCCGCAGCATCTCGATTCTCCACCGTTCCCCAATAGGATTGCTCAAGAGATTCGCTGAGGATGGCCCCTCTAATGGGACAATCGCGGTCGAACGTCAAAGTTTCCGTTTTAAGAGGTAAATCGCCTCGCACGACGTATTGAGTCTGCTCAGTCAGAGGACTACAGAGCCCTACAGGGAAAACTCGTGAGCAGGAGCGCGGTAGAATACCATTGGGTGAGAACATATATGGAATCAAGCTGACAGATGACGACAGCGGAAAGAGCCTCTAGCTCTCTGAGTGTACGCAGGCCGGTCGAAGGCATAGCTTTCAAGCTTAGCGAAGAATTATAGCTCGGCACCTCTGGTTCGAGCGATGCTTACAAGCTAGAGAGCTAGAAATATTTATATTCCTGATTCGTGATTGGGTTTTCGATGCTTCCGGGCCCTTCTCGTCAATCATGTTTCGGAGCGATGCACTCCCGCGAAAGTGCTGATCGACGAGGAGGAGAACGTCTCGTCGAATGTATCCATTGCTCGGTCTGCATCGACCCTTAGATACCTTCGATGTGTGTCAAATGCCCTGCGCCCAAGTGAATGCGTAATCGGCTGGATGCTCCCTCGTTGCGTCGCGTCGGTGTCGTCGCAGGTTTCCAGGACTCGACTCATCGGTAGTTAGTCATCAGCTCAGGAAATCTTCGTGACGCAAAATCATCGCAATCGAACTCAGATCAAGGACACGCAAATCTGGGGATGTCTAGGATCCGTTCGCGCTCTGAGATTCTGCTGTCTAGTATGCGTGTCCTCATCCTACGTAGGCTATACAAATTATGAACTCTGCTTGAAGAGAACCACGCTGTTCCTCCATCTCTTCTCTGTATTGGGGTAGGGGAAACATTCTCCACCGCGGTGCAGTGTCCGTACCCTTCAGTCGCGAGCAGGCTCTGATCGCGAGCAAGGTCCCAACTCTCACACAGACCATATTTCCTATCCTTTCCAGCCCTCCGATGGTCAAGAATGTCTCCCGAATGGCCGTTAAAGCGAGCGCCCACGACGCGGCGCGTCTCGACAGGTTGGAGTTTCTAGAAATACGTAACCGGGAGCATTCCGGAGTTGCTCGGAATACGAGTGCGGATGCCCGCGCAGGAGAAATCCGGCCAGTTTTCGCGGGGCTGGTGGCACGAGAGAAATAAGAATGGCAAATCAAAATGGAGTATTTCCATATCCATAACACGGATGACACAGTTAGATTGCCTCATACAAGTTGAAGAGTTCAGGGAATCCACATTAGTTCCGCCGCATGGGATAGAGCTCTCCGGGGAGCCCGGCTCGAAGTTTTAAGCCTAAAGGATGCCGCGCGGTAAAGCAAATAAATACAAAACCGATGATTCGTGTTGCCTCGATGCATGCCATCATTTGAGAAGGTGTAGGCTGGAAGGAGAAACGCTGCAAAGCTCAGGAAATGCCCGATGTTGCTGGCACCGGCCCCATATGCCCTGATGCATCTAAATGTGAAGTTTTCAGGACGCCCTAGACGGCAATTAGCAGGGCTGAACTTTCGTCGCGGCATGTCAGCCCAGAATTCATTCTTCAGCTCCCATTGACTCTCTATGGGAGTGTGATGTGGAAAATCACGCTTCCAGGAACGACTCCGGCATTGAATAATAATCAGCTTCATGGGCGTAACTTCTCCGAGATTCAGAGAAAACGACTATCGGACTCCGTCACGGATTCCTCTCGGAAGCAAGACTCTAAAGTTCACGAAGATGGCCTCCAACACCGCCTCGACGATACTTCGGTGACAGCAAATGCTCGACAGGCTTTCCTTAGCAGAAAGACGAGCATTGAGCGAGTCAGAGACAGCCGCGGAGGGGGCGTACTCATTGTTCCCCGTCGCCCGTAGTCATCTCTACGTACATCGAGCTTCCCTTTCCGGAACCGTAGCATACCTGTCAAAGGAATGCTCTCTGCCGTGGCGGAAACTCTCGGGGGGGGGGGGTCCTTCCTCATTTTTGAGCCGGATCGAGCGAGCTTCGGGAGGGGATTTCGACATGCGCCCGTTGTGCGCTCCCTCGGAGAACGCACACAACAGAAAGAAGTTCCGAATTCGAAGTCTCTGGCGGAGCTTCTCGAGAAATGGAATTGCGCGATTACTGATCATCCCTCACCCTCAAGCACAAGAGGGCCCGGACGCGATCCTGACATGGCTCCAGCTCCCAGCGATCCGCTCCCTCCGGAAACGGCCTGACCGAGTGCGAAACTTTAACCTTTGTGAATCTAAATGGTGTTTCGATCTGCTGGTGCAGAAGCGCTTGCCTGTCTAGTGCCCGCAACAGACGTGAGGCCCTATACCAAACTTCCGTCGGCACCGTCGGCGCTCTACGGCGTCAACGGATGAACGACTGACAGAACTCGTTGCCTGGACAACGGCGCTGACTCGCCCCACAACAAACGAAGCGGCAGAGGAACTTGTTGGACCCGCTGACGTTCGCCGGTGCTCCGTCCTCCGACCTATCTCTGTACCTCCGGAAAAAAGTGCGCTCAATCCTCAAGCAGAATGCCGATTCTCGACCGGTGTTGGAATCCCTTGATGATGTATCACTTCACCAACGTGAGGTTTGGGAGCTACTACTGCGCCGTCTACACCATGGTACGTGATTCGCTGATCCAGAGCAAGCACCTGCCGGTTTGAAACTCAGATCTTTCCTCCAATTTGCTACGTCACAAAATAAATTCTCGTCCCTGAAACATTCCGGAGCTTTGTGCCATTTTGAGACCGCGCGGCCGCTTTCGGTGGTGCGGAATGGAGGCGAAACTCCGCGTAAGCGCTCCTCGAGGCAAATGACTTAAACGGAATCATTCTCTCGATCGCAGGTCCTCCATATCGTATTCATTTTCTATGCGATATACGCAATTCAAGGCGGGAGAACTGAATGGTTCTTTTCTCCCTACTTCGAATACTCACAACGAGGAACTACTGCAGCTGCGAGTATCACCATCGTACTCTGTCTCATCTTCCTTTTCTTCACGTTCCTGTTGTGCAGAGGCGTGCGGAGGGATAATCGGTGAGCTTCCCCGTTTTTCCAGCGGTTCGTGGCAGATCCCCCGACCGTATCACGAAAACTTGCAGCGTCGTGTTGCCCTAACTGTTATTTCACCTGTATATTGAATTGCAGGTGTATGTACTTCCCATGGATGATGGGTATGACGATCGAGATTCTGTTGATGATCGGTGTGGGGCTGTGGTACATCGTGCGCTACTACCGGAACGTAAGTGAATACTCTGGCTCTCTCTGAATCGTCTACTCATTCCCAATCACCCGAGGTGCCATTCATTCCCGAGAATGATTCCCAGTATATTATATCTTCCAGCTTTTCTCTGTGCTCGCCGCGATTCTACTCTGGACCATCGACGGATTTCACATTTACTGTCTCCTCATCGTGATATCTCAGTACCAGATCGTGAAGAACTTGCAGGAACCCAAATTCGAGTTTCTTTATCCCTGAAGTCGCTGGAGTCGAGACGCGATTCTGATCCCCTGATCAGAAGAGACTGCCAATCAGATTAATACCCTTGTACATAAAAGACGTGTTGAGGTCGGTCCGTTCCACCAAGAGGACAGCCTCGTATTCCCAAAACGTACGCCCGCTTGAAATTATCGAAGTTTACCAAGGATCAGCTTTCTTCTCGACTCGGAGTTTTCCGACAGTTCTGTCCTCGATTAGACATAATTTAGGATTCGATGCTGCTGGAATGCCACGTCCCGTCTGGGGGCTTATTCGGAAACAGACCAGGATCGGTCAGTGATTCGCCAAACCTTTCCGAACTCCGTATCGATTCTTTTCCGCAGTCATAGACGATATGGTTCGTCTATCGCGCGAAATTAGGGAGCTTCGGTAATTCAACTGATTCGATAACCACGAATGTTCGCCGCGATGAAGTTGACGAGGCAGGATTCCTCAATGGCCCGATGCTATTTTAGTCAATCTTGAGATCGGTACAGTCCTAGAATGATACGCATGATTCATTGCCGAAGTCTCGCTGTATTTAAGAATTTCCGGGAGGAGATCCGGGCCAAAACCCAGTCGGACGGAACTCAGCGATCAAACCTGCCGACCCTTACGTCACATTCCCCCTCAAGCGCAGCTCCCATGTCCTCGGTCCGTGAGTGCTCGATTGCTTCCCCGGTAAGCGCCCCGGTCCAGGCAGGAAGCGAGATTCGAGAGGAGGGGAGAAAGGCGCAATGATCTCATGGTTTTGATGTGATGTTTCATTGACTTTCGAGTCACGGACGCTAGCACTGTACTGTTCCAAATGTAAATATTGTCTTCATCATCTCCGGCATGTACTTAATAGCTAATAAAGTATCCTCTAATATTTATCGAATGCATGAACGACGCTCGAGTCCTCTTGGGTTAGCTGGCACTAAGTAAGTCGCGCAGAACCTCGCCTGAGCTGGATCGATTGACTTCTTGAGAATCATCGGCGGAAGCTGAAATCTACACCTGTACACTTCACGATTCGAAAATATCATTGGCTCAGCAATAGTGAAGGCAATTAGAGTCGTGACGAGAATCTCGGTCCCTACCATCTTCCTTCCTTCTTGGAATCCAAGCTCTATCGTAAACTAAGTCATGACCGGAGGAGGCTCATCCTTCCTTCTTATCCGAAGCTAGAATCGGTCAAGCATGACATCCGCCCAGCCTGATCGATCCAGTGAAAATCCAGTGGCGCATACAGAATAGCCTCCATCGGCAGAAGAATCAGCCGTCCGAGGAAATATCCACTCGAAGTTCCGAGGAACCCTTACTCGTTTGTTGCAATGCTCGCTCCGAGAACGTAGGATCGCCCAGCTCTGCTTGTCTGGCTATGGGAACAACTCGACTCCACCGGATTCCGTGATATGCCCTGCTCAGTTCGTTCCTGTGAAGGCTGCGCGGAATTTTCCTTCAGATATCGGGCGCAGAAATTCCGGTCAGTGACCCTCCAGCGCGGGACCCATGCCTCTTTCAAGAACCGGCTGGCGACTTCGTGGCTCAAGTGAAGCTGCGCTGTACCGTTAGCCCAGAAATGAGAGAGTTGAATATATCCAAAGGAGATCCGGGCAGAAAAGCCCATTGGAATTCAAACTCAGGAGGGGGGGGGGAGGGGTCGGAGGTACAGAGGAACATTCCATAAGAGTACGAAAGAAATCGATTGACAGTGCAGCATCGACGGTCAGCTGTTCTCCGTTCAGATCAAGCGCGCTCCCGAAGACTCCCGGTTCTGTGAGGATATCTGACCGTGAAGAGAGCCTCCGGGGGATCTCCGGGGATCTGACATACTGTGGAGTGGACGCCTTCCACGATTCCCGGCTGGATTCGAATGTCAAGGAAGTTGGGAAAATAGTTTCTCATTGCCTCTCCAAAGTTCTGACGAACTCGTTGCCCAGACGACGGTGGCGACTCGCCCCACAACAGAGCAAGATGCCAAAGAACTGGTCTTACCATCAGCGGTTGCCACCACACATGACTTTGACAACACTCGGAAAAAATTCAGAACGGCGAATGTTGTGAGAGCCTGTCCTGGATCAGGGTTCAAAATCGTTGTTAATGGCGAGGTAACTAGACTTGTCGCGATTCTTGAGGCTCTTCCCGTTTTAGGGAATCCGGTGTATTTCCAGTACAACTTTCGCTGCAGAGAGTTATCTTAGTGCTCTTCGCTATTTGACCGGGAAAATTGCCTCGAAATGCCGATCCTCGACCGTTGCTGGAACCCCTTGATGATGTATCATTTCACGAATGTACGCTTCGGAAGCTTTTATTGTGCCGTGTATACTATGGTAAGTCACCCGAGTCCCGGAACATTCCACCACAGAATTTCTACTCTGTAAGAGTGACTTGACTGCGTGAAGTCACAGTGTATGGGGCAACTGAGAAGAAATTTGCTAATTACAGGTCATCCATATACTATTCATATTCTACGCAATCTACGCGATTCAAGGAGGACGGACGGAATGGTTCTTCTCCCCGTATTTCGAGTACTCACAGAGAGGAACTGAGCGAGCCGCATCCCTGACCATTGTTCTATGTCTCATCTTTCTCATGTTCACATACATGCTCTGGAAGGGTATTAAGAGAGACAATCGGTGAGTATCTCGACGCGCCTGCGAGGAAACCAAGAGACCAGCGCCTTATGAGAACCTCATCCGATCTTGGTAGGCTCCCCGATGCGTATTTCATACCTTCCGATTACAGATGTATGTATGTCCCATGGATGTCAGCGATGACCATCGAAATTCTCCTCATGATTGGCGTCGGACTGTGGTTCATCGTTAGATATTATCGAAATGTGAGTTGGCAGTTAGAGGGATCTCTCTCAGTGTCCGGATTTCGTTCCAGATTCAACCTGACATTCTCCCTCTTTCCTTGCAGCTTTTTTCCGTCTTAGCCGCTATTTTGCTCTGGACCATCGATGGTTTCCATGTGTATTGCCTCCTTATAGTGCTGTCTCAGTACCAAATCGTGCGAGATCTTCAGGAGCCGAAGTTTGAGTTCCTCTACCCTTGAGTGCTTGTCGAAATCAGGGCGTCAGTCCAAGACATGCGAAGGCGTGGAGTGTCGACGGTGTGGAGTGCTTGGGAACTGCCTTATCGGTGCCACAGATGGCTGATGCTTCGAGCTCGAAACTCGCGAACCCGCAATTCTCATTGTCGCAGCCAACTCTATGCACAGAGAGACTGCGATTCTCGACCATCCATCCATCCATTCTCCTATGTCGTCATACTCGGATACGTCATGCTTTGAGATACTGCCCCATCGATCGACAGGATGAGAGTGGCCACTATGGAGGAGTCCCGAGGGTCAAATTGTTGAACAGCTCGTTCGGGCGTGGTAGATTTTGTTTGCATGGTCTCTGTCGGAATCCCGGACCCGTGAGAATGATACTCCTTAAGCGAGAGCTCCTAGCAGCGCGGATCTACTTCTGAATAAGTCATACTCAAGTGTTTTTCTCTAGGGATCCAATATATATTACCGCAAATCAAAGTTTTTACTTTTTATACCTCTTCAAATGAAGTCAGAGCGCCTCTGTAAACGTTCGCGGAAATATTCAGTGCCTATCCCGCAGCATTTATGACCACATTTCATCGCAGTATCGATGTGTGTGGGCTATATCGATTGATTCAGCGAATAAACGAGGTGATAATTCTCGTTGCTCGGGGGCCGGAGCTTCTTCTTTAGAGAGATATCAAGCGGACAGATGATGCTTCTCTTCGCAGGCTCGACGCTATCTATTGATGTGTCGCGTCGACTCTCAACGTCTCGATCGTTGAGGGCTTGACTTCAGTGTAGGTAAGTTCTTAGAATCGAATTGAACAACACAATGAATCAGCTCGGCTTCTCAGCGTGCTCAAGATTTTCCTTGACTAACTTCGCGCGTGATGGTTTTCGCATCAAATATCAGAATTCGAGACTTTCTCATGAATAATTCAAGGGCACCTCCCGTATCATTCCTGGATTCCTCCCCGCATGTTCCAGATTTTCCGGTAGAAACTCTGAGCTTCCACGATCCCGATGGAGAAGCCAAATCGATGCGGATAGGGAAATCCTCTATCGAAAATCTCGAGATGATCCCCAGCCAGCGGGGACACTCGAGGTTCAGGGCATCTTCGATCCGCTTTCATAACCCTGGGAGCACCATAATGAGACTCACACCGGGGCATGTTTTCAAGAATGATCCGGGGCGGAAATACATGGAGCTAGCAGAAGTCTCCTGTTCCACGGGTACCGATCACATATCGCCCCGCACCCTGATTCGCTGAGTTTTCAGATTCTATGCAGTCGAGAAGCAGGTGGCTTCTGGGCTGGGCTCAGAATGAGCGAGTCCCCTTCGCTTGAAATTAGAATCCGCCCGTCTTGTGCTCGCTCCGAGCTCCCGACTAGAGGTTTCATTCCCCTGGAAGTATGTCGATTCGGTAAACAGTGCGCTCAAGGAACGCTTCGGCTTGAGAATTTCGGACTGAAGCCTTCAGAGCCCTTTCCACGTAACGCTCTTTCGCTTCCTGGAGGAGACCACGACCTTCCCTGCCAGAACCGTGTGCATCGAGCGATCGGAGTGGAGAGCAAATTCACAGAGAGTTTTCCTCGAGGAATCCCGTCGACATGGATGACTTGCAAGCCGGACTCAACAAAATGGTTCTCGACACCAGAAAGAAGGTTCGTGTTGTAGAAGCTAGTCTGCGAACGGCAGCGACTTGCGCGCTTGCTTGCGAGCGAGCGTGCGTGCGTGCTTGCGAACTGAAAGCGGACTAATTGGAATGGTGCTTCGCTGAGAGTATTCGAGACGTCAACCGAGGAGTGTCGAAACGTTTGCCATCGTTTCCCTAAGGGACAGATCCTTGACATTTCGACTCCCCGACTCATGCTCGCGGAAAGGAGAATTCTGAAGGTTATCGACATCGAAAGAGTGGCATGGGAAATATGACAGCCAACATTCGAACTCGCAGTCGACGTCGAGTGTTCTGAGAGCGTCAGGAGCGGGAAGCCGCTGCGTTCGTGATCACGTGCTCTGCCGACTGCGTTCTTGCAGCCCCGACTCGGATTTCAGTTTAGATAGCGTCTACTCGATCTATTATGGGATATTCGAGGAGAAAGAGGCTCTCCTGCTCGGCCTTCATGGATTCTCGGTGAACACACTTCACGAAAAGTGTAGAGCGTGATAATCATTCCGCCCGCGCGACCCTTATCTAACCGGTATGATCGGTTGTTCCTGCATAACACGTCGGGCCATCGCTTGAGGTTCCATCACAGTGCGGAGGAACGCTCAAGACCCCTAGGGAAACCCTATTCGCTGACCTGAAACGATTCCTAATCTTTGACGAAAAGAAACAATAAACGTTCTCGGAATCAGCCCGCGAGTACAAGGAGGAATCACGACTTTCTGAAAAGCCTAGAGAGTCGGGTTCACTTCGAGCTGACAAGTACGCTCCCGATCTTGGCATTCGCAGAAAGTACTCCCATCCGATGCGCGTAAGCGATGACTCGCTTCGGAGCGTCGTGAAAGCTCGAAGCCCCGATAGGTTGATTCCCATGATAGAGAAATCGACGGATAGCTCAATCGGGGACCCATGAATTCGTTGCGGAGATTTCTGACGGCTCTGAAGTAATCTGTCGCCAACGCGTCCTTCCCAGTCAAAATTGAGACTGCAGGTCAAGAGCTTAATGAGGAGAACGCAGCGCAGCGCTACGAGTCCACGCTCACGTTCGCTCCTGGCTCATATGACCGTAATGCATGCCTTGACCACAGCGTGTTCTGACCGGGATGAAGGAATGTGCGGAGGCCTCAGCATGAATGCTCGACGATCTCGTCTGTGAGTGGGTTCACTACAAATAACTTTGTCGGGGGGAAAATCGTTTAGGAGCTATCCGGAGGAGCATCTCCGAGCTCCGCAGCTCGACGACATGCTCAATCCGTGATCTGCGGTGTCCGGAAAAGAAGTCGAGAGCAATGAAGCAGGATTGCAGAAAATCATCCATCGTACCGGAATCCTGAGTCGATTCCGCAACTCGGTGCTCATGACCCTCCATCTTGAGATGGAATCGGAGTCTACCGAGGTTTGCGGGGGACGTGCAGGCCAATCCAATCTCGCCTCCACGAACGTCGCAGCGTCTTATATCTGTCTCGAGGGATTCCCTTGGTGATGCTGATATTGCATGTGGCCATTCGTGGCCGGGTGAATGTCGCGGCGGAAGGCTGAAACTCCAATGCGTGAAGACATTGCGTGCGCTCATTTGCGCGATCTCATGGAGATAGATGCGGAGTCATCGGGACTCTTCGACGGAAAAATTGCGATAGGAGCTCGGCTTGACGAATGAGAAGCAAGAATCAGATTCTGTGCTCGTTTCTCGGAAGGAATTCCGGTGTTTATAGGGTTCCCCCGGAATCCCGAAGTGTATCGCCAATCACGCCAGACCAGACAGGCCTTTTAGGGCGCTTCCTCCTCGGCCCGCTTAGGCCAAACGACGTGAATGAGGACAACAGCCGAGGCACCGCGGGAGCTTGCCCACTCGGGCGGGATTCTACGTGAAGGACGATGCTTCCCGGATTTTCCTCCGCGATGCATTGGAGTAGCGGCATTCTGCAGCACCCTGGATGATTCCTACACGCGCATCCGTACGGGCAAGTCCTGATTCCTCGGATCCTCAGCAATCATTCGAAGATCAACGGCTTGTACACGAAGGATCCAGTCGAGTGACACCCTCCTAGAATTCATGGCAGGATCGCTGTAGTGTCAGATATGAGAGCTCGTAGAAGCACGTGCAAATTCGAAGCGATTCCGAGAGGGAGGGTGAAGCTCTCCTCTATGGCGAGGGTCACCTTCAGAGCAGGCGGTGCGCGCAGGATTCGCAATGACGCAGTACCGAGCACATAATACTCGTCTGATCAGTTCGGTGTCTATTCGCATTTTCTGTCGTTCTCTCTCGGGATCGTGGGACCGGACTCGGAATTCTCGTTCGCGGAAGAGTTCAGCATTAAGAAAGCTCCAATCGATGAAGTCTGAAACTTGAAACTTAGAAACTTTCGCGTTATCGACTAAAATCGTCGCATAATCACGTGACACAGCTGATTGACAGTATCCTCTTTATGAAGTCTCATTAGCGAGCTGGACACATGCTCCGATGACGCTAGCAATACAAACACTTATACCATGCTCAAGGACGAAATATGATTAGGAGCAGGCACAACTAGGCTGTGCAGTCGCGGTCGCACTTCGCTGCTGTTGTGGTATTAAATCCTGTTGTCGTAGAGGGCATGGCGTTTTCCTCGTCAGAGAGGGAACGCGCGGATTCGAGAGTGGATTCAGAGAGCAAACGGAGCCCCGAGTTGAGAAACCGAGAAGTCGCGAGGATGAAAGGTCTCCTCGATGTTCCCACGAGGAGTCGGGTAAATACGAAGCATTAATTTCCATCGGTAGGAATGATCTCGAACCCCGCTTCCGTTTAGCCGGCGGCGGGGGTCGAGATTTGCTGGGTTCGTTTTGAGCCGCATCGACGGGCCTCGGAGCGATGATCGTTTCTCGGCGATAATTTCTGGGGTAGCCGTCCGCAGACGCGATTCCAACCGCGGGATTAGATCTCGAGAAGTCGAGGGTCTCGTCTCTAGCTTGCACCACCTCAAACCTCAAACTCGCCACCCTTGCCCGTTGCGCTTGGCCCGCTTCTCGGAGAGGCGAATCAGTTTACACCTGGAGCCTTTCTGAAAGAGAATATGCCCTAAGACAATGCCGTCCGAGTGAACGAAGAAACATCGCTTTCTCCTGGCGCATGGATGGTGAGCGTCCCGCTCTCCATCGGCTCACTGGATGAGCTAAAACGATCAAATCGACGTTGTCGCGGAACATTGGGCTGACGTATTGACACGTCATGATTCAGCGCAGGGGAAAGTGGTTCGGTTCTCTTCTCTGGAATTGTTACCCTACAATTTTTGACGTCCAATCGTCGACGAAGTCACATATCCCGGCTCGCGTTCCTCCGAATTCGGGACAAAGATTAGATTCCGTGATTTGTTGGGCCGAGCATTCCGACGAAAGGAGAAAATCATTGGGTGTTAGGCGACGACACCGCTCGGTTGAGTTGTTCGAGGGCTCGATACCCATCCGCAGGGAGGGCGAGATCCATGCCAGCCGGAGCGGATTGGCCGTTTAGGACGCCGAGGAGACATTGAGAGCCGCGGAGCTCCACGTTTTCCCCTCAAGGAAGGAGTAGGTGCATGGGAATAGTAGCGGATCATGTCAGCTCCTCCCAAGGGTGGAATTCTAAATTGTAGACAACGACGTCATCGAAAAATTCGAGGATTCCGGAGGAAGATCGGACCCTTGTCCTCAAAATTAAATATGCACTGGTTCAAGAAGGCCAGGGAAAAGGTTCATACTATAGTCTCTGCTGAGCTTCCTCAATTCGCTTTAGAGTTCCCCGCATCTGCTTAGAATGGCGTATATCAAGTCGAGTCGAGACTGGGATTCGAAAATTGCTAGCGGAGCTCGCACGGTCCAGCCTCTGCTTGCTCGGTGGGTTTGATTTGTTCAGAGAGTGAGTCTCGACTCTGATCTCGATCTTTGCGCGTGCTGTGACGTTAGGCGGAGAAGGAAGGTCCGGCAGTTTCCGTAGCCGACTAGAATGGCGTGTCTGATCCATTGACGACTGGTTCCGTGCTCATGATGGGGAAAGGTCCAGCTCGCTCTCACCGCCGCCGCCACCGTCATCGTCGTCGTCGTTCAAGTTTCGTTCAGCATCGAACGATTGTGGCCGTGGTCCGAGCTGCTCTGAACGAGAGAGCCGTCTGTTTATTGTTCTTGCATCTGGAGCCACGGCTGCCTGCCAAACGTATCCAAAACGTTCGCTGTCTATTCGCCGTTTGATTTTCTGGTGTTGGCGGAACTTGTCCCGGAAGTTTCTTCACGCAAAGCTTCTGGGTGGCGCGCGGGATTTCTTAGAGGGCTCCCGACTGAGTGCTACCGTGTCAGTGAGCGGCTCAAATCAGCGCGCGCTTCGAGCTCGTTTCTCTCATTTCGCTCACGCTCCGGCTAAAGACGCAAGAAGCCTCGAGTTGCTCTCGCAGAATCCCGCGGCATCTCTGCTCAGAGCTCATTTCGAACTCGACTTCGATTGTTAGAATTAGCTCAGCCGCCGCCGAGCGGAGAAATTTCAACGGACTCACCAATCCTCGCTAACGTTCGACACCGCGCGATGCCGTCTCGAATTCCTCAGGTGTGTAGATTAGTCCATTATTAACCCTTTGCTCGCTAACACTTTCAGCTCGGAGTCGGTCTCGGCTGGGCAGAAAACACCGCCGCCGACGTCCAACACCAAATACAAGCTCGGCTCCTCAGGAGACAGTCAACGATGTCAACGGTATGAGATCTCCACGTGCTTACTCTTCCTCCGACCCTGGGATGCTGGAGTCAATACGAATCTATGTATTCGGACGCAAAACTCTATAGTAGTATCCGATCGTCGATTTTCGCTCCCATCCGAAAAGTTTCTCTTGAAACATGAAATGACTCTGGTAACGTCAGGATCTTTCGTAGCCTTCCCGGTCGCTTACTCCGTGGAGCTCCCGGAGTCTGAGCGGACTTGAAGAACATCAATGTGTAGATTTGCTATGGAACGACTTCCCCCTTTCTGATAGCTCTTTCTTTTTTGAGAGACCGCAGCTACAAACTTGCGTTGGCGACGTGTGCTCGCTTGAAGGATGCCGGTATGGCTTCTCCGAGTATCGGCTTGACGTTGTCGAAGCCATGAACGTCATACAATCGGACCTTTCGTCCGTCATCGTTTTGATCGCAGACGCTATTATTGACGCAATCTCGAGCTGCCTAGTTCCGGGGAAACGTAACATCATGAAATATTTTGAGAGTTTGCGGCTCCCCGAGATTAGGAATCAATTCTGAAAGGAACCCCCGCGGGTACTCTGTCTGGGTGTCTTGGCAGATTTTAGGACTAATCACCGCGCGTCAATTTAGCGGTAGACATCAGGACTCCATGTTCGAAAGTGACTCCGGAACTCTTATCCCTTCGAAAGTCGAAAATCGAACCATCGAGGTCTGCGAATCGTCGAGAGGGAAAACAGAGAGCTCATTACGCTACACATCGGATGCTTCTCATCCATAATTATATCGGTCCCGCAAGAATGAAGGACGAGACCATCGATTCATCGATTTGATCCGAGGTCATCTCGAATTTCGACGTCCCCTCAAGTGCAACGTAAGACGTTCCTGAGCGAAGGGCTAATCACTCGTAATTCCGGTAGTTTCTGTCCTATAGGCATGCCTCGACGCTTGACCCGTCGATTTACAGCTGTCGTAAAATCCGTTGAACTTATCAGCGATCAAGCTCAATGAGCGTCATCTGCTTGTAACCCTTGTAATTTAAGTACCCGAAGACACGACACCAAAAACATCGAATTCTCACTCAAAATATGTGCATTGGAGCGATCCCGCCGTGGGGATCTTCAGCCGTCTTCGAGATGGCACCACAATTTTCCCTCGTCCAATCCTCCTCTCTGTGCGCTGACAGTCTTGTTGACGAGGTTTCATTTTACGATCGGTTCCTTTTTTCTCGAATTATTCGAGTCCCCACTCCCCCTCTCCCGATAACGGACGGCAACTCAAGCGGAGTTTTCTAAAAATATCCTCCTCGTAGTCTCGAGCCAAGCGGATACATCTGATATCTCGTCTGGCGGTCGCATGATTCTTAAAGGCCATTTTCTAGGTGGTTCCGACTCACTGCTGCGGCGCTCGGTCTCTGTTTGGTCAGCCGAAAACTTCCCGCTCACACTGAGCGTTTTTTTAAACACACGCGCGAGTACAACACTCAACGCTCCAAACGAATGTCTTCATCTTAGTCATTGTCGTCCTTTACTGTTCATGCTCATTATAAGAAACTACTTGACAATAGGATTTCTGGTGGTACCTCGCTGTCGGCGGAGCTCTTTGCGGCGACGCTCCAGAGTATCTTCCGCCTAAGGAATGCTTCCCGTCTTCGCGTATCGGAAGCACACGGAAATCTTCAAGAGGGACTCCTCTATCTTGAATCTACTTCAAAAGGACTGTCGCGCATTACCTACGCGTCGTCACAGTCTGTCATGGTGGAACGCTTCATCGAGTTGCATCTATGTATAACGCGAGAACCGATCTATCAAAATAACCCGGTGGTTTATTCAGGGATACTGAAGAGAACGCACTGCCGCTCAAACGGACAGATCGAAGACGGACTCTCCCTTACCCCATTCATGGGGCAATGCCAACTTGTCTGTACATAAATAGCGGCTCAGAGGTCATTCCGAAAAGAAGAATAGAAATGTCCCACCGTTCTATTTCCGGTCAATGACAGCTCTCCTTCGCCCCGGTCTCTCGAGTCATCAATGTTCTCCAGCGTGAGATGGACTTCGAGAGCCGGTTTCATATGCGCGCCAAACGAACTCTTGCCGTAGTCATGATGTGATGTCATATTCTCACAGAGGAAGCCATCGCACCCTCTCTCGTCACTGCTTTATGTGTTGTGGCACAGCGAGGCTTGCGTGCAGTAAGCGTAGTGCGTGCGTTCGTGCGTCGAGCCCGAGCTTCCTAAATCTCTCAAATCGGAGCCGCGCAACAGATTGGTCTCTCTTGCAGTAGAAAGCCGAAGAATGACTATCTGCAATGGCAACTTGTTGACCCCCGAATACGCTAAGGTATGAAGACCACATTTCATGCTCAATCATGACAACATCGTCCAGCTCATTTCTCACCGCCTCCTGAATACAGTATCGAGAGCTACTTCCACTGACCGCGTATAATTTACTCGCGATTTTTCGGCGTAATATACTTATTCCGTCGCGATTCCGTCTTCACGTCCCATTTTCGCGCGCAAAACATGCTCGCTACTCTGTATCGCTCTGTTTGAGTTTCGGCTCCAGCTAACGAACGAATCTCCGACGCGCGATTAAAATCAAATTGTGCGCGAGCCGATCGAGAAGACAGCGGTCTCCGGTCACCGTGTCATTGGGAATATTTTTAGCTTCTGACCTCTGATGAGAGATGAGAGTTTCTCTCGATTCGATCGGTCCCGTGAGACTAGCCTAGACAGTGCAAATCGTTCTGGCCTCCGAACGGCGAGCTCCAGCCCCTGGGAGAATGACTTCTTCGCCGGAAATCATTCCAACTTCTGAGATTTGAACTAGATAAGCCACGGTCGGGCTGATATCGTCCTCTCGCGACTTCGGAGGATAGGTATCCGCGGAGCTCGATACTCGATAGAATTCTCTGCAGAAAAACCGTTTCTTGAAGGAATAATCGTCAGCAGCGGCTCCCGGACCAGGCTGCTCCTATTGCGGCTCGATGCCTTATTCGAACGCCTTATCAAGGAGTTTGCAGAGCAGCGATGCACAATCTCCAATTGGGTCGCAGTGAAATCCGAGACGATAGACCTGATTCCAGCCTGCATCTATAAATGTAGCCCCCTCGCTTCGGAGAAAGATGGACGAGTTTCTCTTCAGTTGAAATAGCGACTAAGCAGAGCAGGATAATGGGACAAAATATATTGCAAACTTCTATCTTGTATCGAGGGAACGTAGCTCCATTCGAAGCAGACTCCCATCTGCCCGCATGTTGTAGGAAACGAGATTGAAAACCGTGCTCTTCATCGTGGCTCTCCAATCAGATAGATTCCGATTTCTCTTCGGAGCCTTATTCTGACACTGAACTTCCGATCCAAGATCGAGTCGATGTACATCTCGACATCAATTCGACGCATGCCCGTCTCCGAGACTCCGGGGACTTGGCAGCGATCCCCGGAGCTGAGCCCTCTATTACACGCAACGTGCATGCTGAACTCGGAGGACTGCGGAGGGTTATCGACCGATAAGGATCTCCATTCGCGGCGAAGATGAATTTGGTTCTTATATGTTGGGCACATTCCTTGACGCAATCTATCAGAATGAGAAACACTGACGAAACAAAGCGGTCTCTCAGGCCGTCCTGCGAGGACCTGACAGAATCATTGAGCCGCTTGGATTCCCTATCTATGTATGGTATGCAGCATTCCTGCTGAAGATCCCGATTCTTCGCGCCATTTCTCCCCGGGGGAGCTTTGATGTGCTGCCTCGACGTTTGAACGGATGAGCCCTCGAATCCAGAGCAGAAGCCCTGATTCGTATAAATCATGACATCACATCGTCAAACGTTTCGATTCTGGCCAACGGTGTGGGCTCGACGTCTGAGCGACGGGTTGCAAAATATTCTTCATTTCTGAAATGGAGCCCAAACGATACAAGAGCAATCAAATGTAATGTGCATTATTCTCAGAATGACTGGCGCTGTTGCCATCCATACAATTCCGCGATTTCCGCAAACAACTGACGAAAGTGGATATTTTCTGTCAGTTGCAACAAGGGACTCATAAGATTATTATTGTTCGATATCGCATGGATGGGAGGGGAGCTGCCGATAGTTAGTACACGAATGCGTATCCGCGATTGCCAAAGCCCAGGTTATCGAGATGACAGGATCATCATGAGCGGAAGACCTCTTGACCTTTGTCAATCGGACTCTACAATTCGGCGCTCTTCGCTAGGGGCTGTACTCACTCGATTTGCCGTAATTATCCGTGGCCGTGATTTTTTGCGGACTGGTTTCCCGATAATTGGGACTATCGATTCGATCTGCGCACAACGATCAAATGCGGCAGGGAGTATTTCTGGTGCTATATGCTCATATGTACGCTCCGTCATGAGGTCATGAGCTCTTCGAGAGATCCCTGGCGCTGGGCAAAGGATTCAGGCATCGGCGAGGGAGGATGGGGGCTCTCTGAATCAGGAGTTGCTACAATCGTGAGCCCGTATCAATCACGGTCATCATCACTCTCTTGGTGGGACTGGATAGAGAGGGCAACCGATCGGTACGGAGGGCTAAATGAGCAGTGTTTCCGAACGCCGATCATAGCTCATCACGGAACGATGTTGTCTGCTCTCTGGACTGTAAATCAATTTGGACCGGACCCCCTTTCCCGACCTTGGCTGTGTTCGGTCGCTGCCGGTGGTTGCCACTCAATTGTGTATATATACAGAGAGAAGGGTTGGACACGAACTACTTCTTTGTCGGGGACAGCGTAAGCGGAACAGCTCAGAGACTTTGATCTTCGTTACACCTTGTCACCGAAAAGTCCTGCGCTGTTCCGACGACCGGTCTCGTGATCTCAGCATGAAAATTCTCTATAAGGTCGCTTCGGTCGTGGCCGGGAAATTCTGTGGTGCTCCTGTGGATCCTGTTAAGCGATTCGATGACATACTCAGGGTAGACGTGAAGAATTATGGAACGTAGTTTCGTGGTTGATGAATATCGCGCTCGAGTGCTTCTGGATTACACACCAAGTGTAGAGTCCCCAGTAATCGACTGAGGAGTTCTCAAAAAGACTGTTTCCCCCCAGGTGGAAGCCACCACTCGCGACTTGGAAATATCCAATGATGCCTTGGAGAAGGTCATGGGGGTACTCCTTGTCGAACTCAACAAAGGCCTCAAGAAAGAGACGAATCCAACGGCGGACATCAAGCAATATATAACATACGTGCGAGACGTACCCGACGGAAGCGGTAAGTTTACTTCTGCATTCGGAAGCTCCGAGGTGTTTTCGGGTATTGGAGAATATTCAGCGTCTGATCGGTTAGAGCCTGCTCTTCCGACAAGAGAGATTTTCTGGCTCCATTACCGCCTTGTTTGCTAAGCAGCGAAGCAGCGGGGCGTTCCGTCTCCCTCACCGCACAGCGGAACGCTCCATTTGCTAGTCATCGCCGAATAGAGTCCTTCCCGCGATCTGACAGTCTTCGAATCCGATTGTTTCGATGACTTCTTGAGTGAATCGCCAGAAACATGGAAAGCCCTTTATTAGGTTTCGGGGAACTTGTGGAGAGATTCGATTCTTTTAGTCTGAGCGATCGGGTTGATCGTTCAAGACGGAATATATCGCCCGATGACAGCACCAGCCATCATTCCGAAAATTATCCTCCTTCTGGAGCAAGAAACGCCAAGAAACACTTGGAATGTGGCCCAGTTTCCGGGCATCGGCCGAATGGATAATTTGAACTGTGTACCAATAATTCCATCCAAGGTCACTGGTACAGTGAGGACTCAATCGCGCGGGGCGAAACTCTCGGGAAATCCTATCTTCCGACTGAGTTCATTTTTCATCCACAGAACGGGGTAAGTTTCTGGCTCTCGATCTCGGAGGAACCAACTTCAGAGTCCTCCTCATCGAAATCGACGGAGACAAAGTCAAGATGGACACGGCCATCTACGCTGTCCCGCAAGAAATCATGCTCGGCACTGGAACGATGCTGTTCGATCACATTGCCGAGTGTCTCGCTACGTTCACGATGGGTGAGTAAGAACAGATCATCGGATCGCCTTAATGATCCCGAGACATAATGAGCTCGACGACTGAAATTCTGTGGTTCTTCGCTTCGATATCAATCGGATTTCCGTTGATTCCGAGACGTTTGATTTCCAGAACGAGGGATCTACGGTCAACGTCTCCCGTTAGGCTTCACTTTCTCGTTCCCTTGCCGTCAAGAAGGTTTGACGAGAGCTCGTCTAGTGCAGTGGACGAAAGGATTCAAGTGCAAAGGGGTCGAAGGCGAGGACGTTGTGTCCCTCCTCAGGGCAGCTATTGCCCGACGTGGTGATGTCCAGATCGATGTGATGGCCGTCGTGAACGATACGACCGGCACGTTGATGTCGTGCGCTCACAGAAACAAGGAGTGCAGACTCGGTGTAATTGTCGGAACCGGAACCAACGCCTGCTACATGGAAAAGATCGCCAACTGCGAGCTCTGGGACGGTGACGACCAGGAACCACGTCAGGTAATCATCAACACCGAATGGGGAGCGTTCGGAGACAACGGTTGCATCGACTTCATCAGGACGCAGTACGATCAGGAAGTCGATCAGGAGTCCCTCAATCCGTCGATGCAGAAATTCGAGAAGATGATCAGTGGAATGTACATGGGAGAGCTCGCTAGGAAAGTCATAGTTCGTTTAGCCGGCGAGAATCTCTTGTTCAACGGGAGACTTTCTCAGAAGATGAAGACGCCGTATCTCTTCAAGACGAAATATATCTCAGAAATCGAAAGCGACCCCAAGGGCTGCTTCGAGGAGACTAGGAAAGTTCTCGCCAAGCTCGACCAAGTTGGCAGTGACGACGACTGTCAGTGCCTCAAATTGGTGGTTTCAAGAGTGTCGTCGAGAGCCGCACATTTGGTATCGGCGGCAATCGCCACCGTTCTGAACAAAATGAAACGTCCACACACCACCGTCGGCGTCGACGGTTCTGTTTATCGTTACCACCCGAAATTCCATCAGTTGATGGTGGCCAAAATTGCCGAACTCACCAATCCTGATTATAAATTCGACTTGATGCTTTCGGAAGACGGCAGCGGCCGAGGCGCCGCCCTGATTGCCGCTGTCGCCGTGAGGAACATCGAAAGGGGTGGAAAGTCGCCTTGTATGGGTATATAAATTCTGTTCGATCACAACTGATTGATTGACTGATCGATTGGTCGGTTGTTTGATCGAGACATCCGGAGGGAACATTCGGATTGAGGGAAGCCACTAGATATACAATGTGTACCGAAAGCTAGAACACCGAAAATTCCGTATGTTCAACACAATCTCAGAATACGAGGCGCAATCTCACCACCAACATTGCTTTGTCTTTCAAGGCCAATTATTGTTTTAAAGGCCCTGCGTGGTGCTTTTGGAGTCTTCGATGTAAAGAGAGAGTAGGCAGACAGCTGATTACGGATCGAGTTGTTGCGAAACAGCGTGGGCTGTCGAGAGAAATCGAACAGTTCACTTTCCTGCTCCTCTCCGGGGAAAATCGACCTTTTCTTCCGATATGAGACCGGCAAATGGGACGTTGATTGGGCCGGTATCGGACGACCGGTGAAAACCGACTTCAGACTTCGGAACCCAATCCTTACTTAGTCTCGCCCCCTCGGATTAGTGGCGATATCCGTCGATACAGTGTAATGAGATGAAGACAAATACAGTGACTCGAGTCGAGATCACGTAGGCAATTTTTGAAGGGCTTCTACGAAAATTGTTCGCCGTAGCTGGCTACTTTGTTCCTATTTAAAGATAGAAAAACATGACAGACAGAGGATCGCTATGTTTGTTAATGTTGATTCATCAACGAAATCAGCAGTGACATCAACAAATTCAATCCGCGACGAATCGATCATTTAGCACGTCGAAGGATTGTATCCATAGAGCTAAGGTCAAGACGTGACGATACTTAGACGCATCGGAGAATGACATCTCCACATATACAGAGAGACGAAATCGATTATCTCTTCAAAGACACGAGGAGTTGATATCTTAGAAAGCTCGAGTTCGTTGCGAGCGACGACAGAGACAACAAAATCCAGGGAGGCCACTGGGAGTCTTCCATCTATGAACGAACTAGAAACCTGTATGATCACAGCCCGAAAACATATACATAAGTTAGGAGTCGCAGGGGGAGATGACGAATGCGAATCTGAACCAAGGTTCGAAAGAGCCACGCTGTCGGCCTTTCTATCGCTTGCGGAAGTGTCTCCGTTCGCGAGTCCGTGTTTCGTCTCTAGTCCTCCGTTCAACTGTTCAAGCTCAGTCTTAGCGAAGTTCGGAGACGAAAACGATCACGATCATATAAATTAGGACCCGAATTAGATTGGAAACTTATACTATGTATTTATTGAATTTTCGCGTTCGAGATGTAACTCTGACGATACGGTCGGAATGGCCGTCTCAGCGTACAGTAGACGAGAATAAATTTAGTTTCAATTAAATCGGTCTCTTCAGTCATTGTGCTTAGCATTAGGATCGTCCATGCCCGACATCGAAGCACATTTCGATTCTTTGAGTCTCTTTCGCTCGGGTCACACACTTCACGAATTTCCTGTAGCTCCGATCTTGGAGAGGCATCGAGGCAATCACGTGCGACTTGCTCAGGGGAGATAAGAGGGGCTTCATCTCGTCAAGATTCATGAAGAGCACCGCCATTATCAAGTGGACGTTCTTGGAAGCCTCCTCGATTTTAGTCACCACATCCAAAACCCTCGGAATCGCTGGTATTTCTGTCTCCTGGAACATACCACTCAGTTCCAATAGCATTTCAAGCACGACTTTCTCGTTCACTGTATTTATATCGATCAGTTCCTCCATCGTCTCTCGGGATATCCGATCACCGTCGGAGCTTGAGAAGTTTTCGAGCCACAGCTCCAGGTCACCGGACGCGTTGAGGGATTTCTGCACCTCGTTGAGCAACAACCGTGGATGGGTGTCTTTGCTGATGGTCGCGCCGCTCGCCACGGCGGTCTTTGCAAGCGCGTTGAAACCTTCCGAGATCGTCTCGAGCTGCTTGATGTCATCGTAGAGGAAAGTATGGAAGTTTCTGTCGTTTACACAAAGACAAAGTTTGAGCATAAAAAGCCAGAGCACTATCGGGAGCATTGTCGCGTTCACCTAGCCTTCCGGAGCTGACGACGATCTAGACCACAATCAATCTCAGCTCGGTCCTCGCAGACCCTTGTCGTGAACTCAATTTCCAGGAGAATTTACATAGATATTGGCCCAACCTGATTTGCGTCGTGTCGCGGACGGAGCTTAAGCTTGTCTCCCGCGACCTACGTAGGATTCTCAAAGTTGCTGACGAGCAGCAACAAATATCCCGAAACGGTATTTGCCTGTCAGCCGAGGGTAATAGGCCATAAAGGCAGAAATCCTTGACTAGGTCCCGGTTTTCATCTCCCCGACATGAAGACCCGGACCTTTACGAAAAAATATCTATCCTTAAGCGGCCCATGAAAATCGGCGGACTATACCTTATCTCAACAGACTCATCTATCAATTCAAGCCTGCGACGTGTCGTCAAATTATTCGACAGCAAATCCGCATCAAATAAGTACTCGCGGTCGGGGACTGCGATCTGCCGTATTCAAGGAGACCTTCTCAGTCACTCTGGGGAATCCGAGGGTAATCCGGGCAATCAGGATCCCGTGAGGGATTCTGTCTAGAGTTGTCCGCCGGACTGTCGTCAGGCCCACGTATGATATTCCCCTGCTCCGGAAGCGCGGACCCGGGGAGGAACATCCAGTTCTGAAGTCGCTCCTGCGAGGAACGGCCAGGGAGAGATTCTCGGAGTCCCGTCACTGGAGAGTCTCTCGCGATACTACCCCGAAGGAGGAAAGGAATACTACTTCTCGATCAACATTTTTGTCCTGGGACGCTCCCATCTTTTCGTGATAGAGCAGCTCCAGAGACGCATTCCATCTTGACGCTCCGTCAAAAAACGAGTCCTTCGAAACTTCCGAAGGCAGCACTGTTGCGAACTCGCGAGGGGTTTGGATCACCGCTGTTCGAACAGCAGTACCCAGACGTCACCCTCATCAAAGAAGGATTGGCTCTCCCTGCCTACGAGGTCTCCCTTTCAGCCCCTCGTGACTCCTTCAAATGCTGATATACATAAAATCGAGGCCATTTGAAGGCAATACGAATGAGCTGATTTTCACTTTCCCCGCACATTTCAGTCATCGGATCTTTTTCGTCTAGTCCGCCTGGCAGAAGACGGAACGGTTGGAACTCCTCGATGAGCGCTGATGCGTTTCTCACATCGATAATTCGTCCCTTCTGCCCACTAACTGCGATCGATTCTTCAGTGTGGTGATCGAAGGTTGTGACGCATCTCGCTGCTCCCAGAGGCGCGACTCGACTTCCGTCAGGGTCAGCTATGGCTCCGGCTCGAGGGGCTTCCGGCCGGACAGCCACGGCTTCCCCATGTGCTCACTACCGGAACCTTCGTGGAGACGCGTCGAGAGATCACTCCAATGATCACTCCGAAGGAAATGGAATGAATTTCGCGAGCGACGCGACAATGAGATCAAGGCTGACCCGTTACCACTGTCTCACCCTTGATAGCCACAGAAATTGTAATGTTTCGATGAGAAAGCCGATATTCTCGAAAGTTGCGGACTTCTGGTGATTCTCTGCCCTCGGTGGGACTCAGAGCGAATCGATCAATATGGCCATCGCACCGTCCACATATACCGGGTCAATAGAAACTTGAGGGATAGGATAACGATGCGCCTGACCCGCGGGGCGGCAGCGAAAAGAATCGAAGATTATGAAAATGAAATACTCCATGCAGACACGGTATTCCGAGCAGAATACGAGGCAAATGCATGTCCTAGGATATCGTATAGAGAGTTCAATCTCATATGCCTCATCGGCCAAGGTGGTTTCGGGAGAGTGTATAGAGGTATTCGAATGGAAAACGGGATTGAGAAAGCCTACGCGGTGAAGATACAGGTCAAAGACTATCTCCGCGAAGGGAATCGTCTGCAGAGAGCGATCAATGAGAAGAAAATTCATTACGCGCTAAGAAGGAGTCGCTTCATTGTGAAACTTTTTTGGACATGTCGAGCTCTGAGTAAGATATACATGATCACGGAATACGCCCAGCACGGCGACCTTGGTCAAATCTGTCGGACCGGGCCCCTCAAAGAAACAACGGCAAAGGAAGTCCTCGGCCAAGTCGTCATGGGCATCGAATACATTCACGCATGCAACGTCATCCACCGTGACCTGAAATTGGCAAATATCCTTATCTTCGGAAGGGGGCACGCGAAGATAACCGACTTCGGGCTTGCTATTAGGGGAAGCGATGATATGTTACGACGGGCGGGAACTCCAGGTTTCATAGCACCGGAGTTGCTTAAAGAGGAATATTCCTTGGTGACGGAGGCAGCGGACTGGTGGTCTCTCGGAGTGGTGATGTTCATGATCTTGCTGGGCTCACATCCCTTCTACGAGGGTGAGCTGAACGACGACAGGGGAATAAATGAAGCGGTCAGGAGAAATCAACTCCGAGATATGGGAATGGTCACCCCAGCAGCGAGAGCCATGATTATTCAGTTCCTCGAAGAAAATCCTGAGAGGCGACTTGGCGTCACGAGAGCTCGTGTCTCAGACGTCCAGAAGCACCCCTGGTTCAGTCCAGACGTGGACTTCAGTCGATTCCTCAGCGACGATTTCGAAATCCCTCAAGACTTCGAGAAAGACCCGCCGGTGCATCCGGTGACACCTAGTGCTCATGAGTTTTCAGGCGAAGATGATGGTGCCGAGGCGGAGTTCAATGATTTCTGAATTCGTTGTGGATATGGGCTGATGGCAGATACAGAGAGCCAAAATTCTTCCTTGAACTCGACCTGTCACTTCATATCCAGCTGAGATCTCTCGAGAACTGAGAGCGATCCCGGCTCCGTCAGGTGCGACTAGAGAACTCTAGGGAGTACTTGCCTCGGAACATTTCCCCTGAAATCGAGAAGGGCAGTAACGTGGCTCGCGGCTCCGACAGGTATGCTTAGACGAATTCGAGCTCGTGCCGCAGTATGGAAAACGAAAGGAAGAGCAAGGAGACTCCTCCGGACATTTCCATTCATCCCGCTCCTCCAGCCAGGGCGAACTCTCCGGACCTGTTAGACGAACAACCTGATCCACTCCTCGGGCAGAAAAAGCCCCTGACAGTCCTTCTGGTAACTCCGATCAGCCTCCAGGTGCACCTTGAGACTTCCGCATCGGGGCGTCGACCCGACGGCTTCTCCCGAGAGGTCTCCTGAGAATGAGTCCTGAGCAGGACAATCTGGTTGAAGCTCCCAGCTGGCGCTACGTCAGTACCAAGACTCGAGGTGAAGAGCGAGGCTCAGAATCCCATTCCAATTCTCCAACATTCCAACATCGTCCACCCAACCTGGCGCCCTTGTCACCCGAGAATCCATGTATTATCGAAGTTATTCCACAGAAACAGCGCCGCTTGACGGGAATTTACTCCAGGAATAACGGCGGGTCGAGTGACCATGTTTGCCCTCTCCTGGCTGGGCCATTGAAATTGCCATTTCAAAGTTTCGCGCACTCGACGTCTCGATGATTCAGCTCGTTAAGCTCCAATTATTATTGGACGATCGCGCGTTTTTCGGATAATCGGGAAGTCACAGGGTCCGCAGACTTCCCGAATTATCATTGGTGATTCTCATATCCGAAAGGAAACCTTATGGCCTCTAATGTCAGATGCGCCGTTGGCCGAGTCCCCATAATGACTTTCGAGCACTCATCCCTCGAGGATCCGCGGCTCTAGAAAGTTCTGAAAACGAGTTCCGATCTTGAGAACATGGGGCGGATGGCAGAGCATCGAATTCGACAGTCATCGCGACACCGTCCTCGTTTTCGGATGATCTTTGAGCATCGAAGCGCTCGCTCAGTCTCTCATTGCCTCAGGTTGCGTGTAGGAAGACTACCGACGGGTGGGAACAACTCCGCTCAGAGCCTGGAGATACCCGCTGCAATCGACATTCGTGTACTTGAAGAATTCATTCAGATAATCGGATGCGGACCGAAGTCCGTCCTCGATCTATTTCAAATGCAAGAGCTTGCGAGACTATATTTTCGATGTCCCATTCCCGACTCGCTATACCCTTCAGGTCGTACCTGATAGCTGGGTCCGATCCGCGCGGGATTCCCTCCGACACAACGCTAGAGGGTCTACTTAGTGGGGGCACGCTGGATGACCGAAGTTCCCGCGGTGTTCTCCTCCTGTCGATGATTCTCGTGGCGTCCGGAAGCGTATGGAATCGACGGCATCACGGGATTATGAGCCCCTACCTCAACCCTAATTGGGACCGCCGGCGCCGCGAATCTTGGACGACGGCTAATCCTAGACTATACCTGTATTCGCGCGAGCCGACATGCGGAGTGGATAAAGACTCAGATTTGTGAATTCCGGCGGGAGGTAATCTCATCTGGAACAGATGCTCGTTTGCCTTTGGAGATAGTTCCTCCTCATCGAGCTCCATCAAAGCAAATTAGCACCAACTGCAAAGTCTCGCAGGCTTCCGTTTCAGCACCCGCAGATGTTCGGAGGAAACAAGGGATTTAAAGAGGAATCCGCCGCGGATGACCGACCGTGACAGTAGGTCCGGGAAGTGATAATCCTGATTAGGCTGCGGCGCCAGTGTTACTCTCGTCTACATCCAATGACTCTCGTGAAATTTCGCAGCATGCAGGGTTTGATCGAAAATTCCGTTGCGGGTCGATCCGGAGCGAACACGACCTGAAAAACTGATCCCGATGCGGGTTGCACCAGTCTCGTATTCGTAGGAACGCCGCTCGTATATTGGGCCTTCCGGAGACATCGGAGCTCTCGCTCCGCTCTCGCGAGATTCCGTGGTTGCCGACGATGCCACACAGGAGGGATAACTCCCCGGAAGGAAACAACATTCACCATGTGATTCTGATGATGTAGGATACTGAACATAAGAATATTACACCATACACCTAATGCGAGTGACACATGATACCATAGGAAAATGATTCGATGCGCGATAGGGTCGGGAATCAGCGGCGGATGCTCCCGGATGCAATCACCCCTATTGAGGATGACGTTTCCCCAGAAAGTTTCATACTACACTCTGGGAACTAGCATTACCAGCTCCTCATCATCGGTCCCTCTGGGCATTGAGCCAAGCGAGGAAATAGCTTAGTTTCTTGGATCGTCAGCCAGCCCCATGCTAGGCGGAATCCCTCCCCGTCCCATTCCTCTCCCGGGACTCACAGTTCGCCCTGAACGCTTTCCCCTACCTACGATGACAACACCCCGTGTTCTTGAACGTGACTTGACCTAGGAGTGCGACCGAGAAATATTAGAGGTACCATATTTTGATCGGTTGTCAGGCTCAGAATCATCCCCCGACCCCGTGTCACTGAGAGCGTACAAGAACTGACCACTCTCTTGAGCGCTGGCATTAACGAATCGCGCAGGAGTGAGTTTCACAGTGTGTAATCCGTGGAAAGAGTTCGGTTCGTTTGCGCGGCGAGGCTGTGGTCGTTCGCCGTCCATGAGAGTGCGAAAAAAAGGGAAAGTCTTAATGCGCGATCGAAAAGTCAGCGACGACTCTGATGTCTACAACGAGCTAGCGTCAATCAGTTCTTATGCACGCTCCGAAGGCTCAAGTGCTGGCTGCAGCGAAAAGGATTTGATAATTATTCGAGTAGTGCCTGAGGAGCTCCATCGGCCATTGGGAAGACGCCGTCAAAGAGGAGACTTGACCTCGCGCCGCGGGAAGGTATCGGATCCATCCGCGATAGTGTCCCCGTGGGAAAGTTCTCGTTTGCGGAGAACATTCGTTGTTACACCCTGCTTGGGTCGGCATCTAGATGTCCTCAGATCCAGAAACTCCCACACAAGCTGATCCGAGCCTCAGCGATCACGCTCATCTAAGCTTCTCGGGAGGCGGATTTCTCGGAATCTACCATGCCGGAGTTCTACAAGCCTTCAAAGACTTCGCTCCGGAGATAACCACACGTAAAGTTCTCGGAGCCTCCTCCGGAGCCCTGGCTTCGTGTTTCCTCGTTTGCGATCTACCCGTCGAGCGGGCGGTCGATGTCGTTGCCCGCATGGCGGTCCACTGCAGGAGCTTGAGTCTGGGTCCTCTGGATCCTGGCTTCGACATTTTCAACATCATGAGGGATGGACTCGAGAAGTGTTTGCCCGAAGACGCGCATATTCGGTGTTCGGGCAGAATGTTCATCTCCGTCACCCGAGCCTTCAGTCAACGGAACGAGATCATATCGGTGTTCGACTCGCGCGAAGAGCTCATCAACGCGGTCATGGCATCGTGCTTCATTCCATATTTCTTAGGGATCATAGCTCCGAGAGTCAAAGGTGTGTTTTACATCGACGGAGGTTTCAGCGTCAACGAACCGGTGCACGACGAGTTCACCGTGACAGTGTCTCCTTTCCCTAATCGAGGAACCGTTATACGACCTCGGAAGGAAATGTTCCCCATCTCGACGATGCCTTCCTCGATAATTACGATGTACAAAACGGTAGCGGCTCCGCCGCTGGAGAAGCTCATCGAAATATGCCAGCAAGGCTATGAGGACGCTGTTCACTATTTGCGAACACATAATCTGCTCTCATGCCGAGAGTGCTCCGAATCGAGACGGAAGACGTCGATGAAGAAGAAGAATAAAAAAGGTTCCGCAATCGCTTGTTCCAAATGCGACAGCCTTATTTCGCTGTCGAGATCTCCACGGATGGAGGAAAAGTACCTGAAACCCTTCATCGATGCCGCAGCCGCTGAGCGCAAACATCGAGAGCTACACCCGCTAGTTTCAACACGTGCCGTGCAGACCCTAATTGTGCTCTTTTCACTTCTGGCTCTGCCTATAACATCTGTTGTGACATGGGCGCTGAGGGTTTATAGGTATCTCGTGGAGCATTCTACTTTCGTCGGGTACGTGAAGCAGATCACCTCGCAAAACGAGACGCACTTGGAAGGCTCTGAGGGTCGCGGGAAATCCTTCAGGGGTCGTTCGTATCCTCATTCTTGACGTTCCCTCAGGATCGTGCTCCCGGGAAGGAACTTTCTCCGCTTCCCGCCTCAATGAGTAATGGGAAGGGCTGGAACTGCAGCGCGGGCGCGCCAAAAGTCGTGAATTCTCATGGTATTCCCTGGCGATCATCGATGGAAAGTCTAGGGGGTCGGAAACCCGGCGGACTCCCGGGAGAAATGCCGGGAATAGGTCCCAGCCTTAGAAATGAGTATGTAATTGTGCGCAAACGAAGAACGTTGGTGTAGGGATTTCAAATTTAATTAAAGCTGAAAAGTTGTGTGGTGAACTCGAATCAATTCTTTCTTTTCCGAAGGGGGTCCCCTCGTCTGCCACGCTCGGCAAAGCACTCGATAATGATCATTGGTGGAATCTCGTTGAGTGGTGAATCCTACTTCGCGAATGTGCCGGGGAATTTTGATTAAAAAAAAAAGTTCGCCGCGGCATTCTCGGCGGGTATCCATGGGAGCTCTCCCCTCGCTTTCGTCGCAGCCACGACGGGAGGATACCCTACATCTGAAGAACCGATTTGATGGGCCCTATATTCTATAGGCGACGAATTGGGATGATCTTCGGACAGTTTCCCGCGGAGAAGCTGCTCTTGCTTCCGTTTTGTGGGTATCCAAAATTCTTGCCTGGCTACAGCCCGGCGGTTTCCTGTGATTTTCCCTCCTTCGGTCTGTTTCCGCCTGTCACGCATATGCAGTTCACGCTTGCGCCTCAGAGTTGGTTAGATGGGCGGGACCTCAGAGTGATATTTATATGGGCGGGACCTCCCTCGTTGTCGCATCCGGCGCCGGAGGTCAGCAAATTGTTCTGCCACTTCCGGCATTGCTCCCTTTGAACTTTCTATTCTATGGCGCGGCTCTGAATCCGTTCAGCTGAATGAACGGCCTATCCGATTGAGGATGGAATTGAATGGAATCGATCAGGTCAGAAACGTCTACTGTGCGCAGAGATACTCAAGGAATTGAGATCGAGCTTGTGCCTTGACTTTAGAGGCAGAGCTGCTAGTTCAGCTCATGCCGTAGCCTCCGACGCCAATTTGCGATTCCAGATGCCTCCACAGCCGATCGGGGAATGTCTGTCCGCATCCGGTCTCCGAGCTTTCCTGCCAGAGAAACATCAATCCACTCCGCTCAGACGGATCTGTGTTCAGGGAGAATAGGGTCAAAGCCAGGATGCGGGTACAATCGAAATTTATTCAATCAAGCAGCTTTCACATTTTACTTCTGCTTATTTGTCACATGGAGTGATTCATAGTACCTACCAGCAATTCTTCTCGAAGCCTCGGAACTTTGGCGGTGTCAACGAAGGACGTTGCATTCATTCACCCGTTTTCCATTCGTTCCAGAAGTACATATTGTACACATATACACAAGTCTTCCAAGCTGTACGCTGTTCTAAGATAGGATCGGTCCCGTTGTGATTCCGGGGATCGGAATCGATTCTTGATCGCACCGAATGTGGACCTCGACTCCCTAGTTTTACATAGATAGGCATGCCTCCCAATCATTCAAATCCTGCCATAACTCATAGTAACAGTGATTCGCATAATGATTTCTCCCGAATCTCAATACCTTAATAGTATAGTATTTAAAATAAATACACTTAAATAGCAGACCTCTAAGCAGAAGTCTCTTTCAAGCCATACTCTTCTTTTCCGTCCTTCTCTTTCTTGGCCCGATTCAATCTCTGTGCTCTTCGCCTGTAGATGAAGTATGCGAATACTCCGATGCCGAGGACCACGGCAAACAGAATAACGCTTATGACGAACCAGGGCGTCGGGATCGCAGCCGGGTATGGATCGGCTTCGGGAATAGCGTTCGTAGCGTTGATCATGTAGCCCAAAGACCACCCGAGGTTGTATCCCTTGGCCTCCCGCAAGAAGCTGACCCGATTCAAATTCTCGTTGCTGATGCCGAAGTTTTGAAGTAGACTGGTGACGTAGGCGGCTCTGAAACAGCCCGTGGAGGCGAACTTGTCTTTCCCTTTGTATACCTCGTCTTTGACCTCTTGGTACGGCCGTCCGCAGAAGTCGTAGACGGATCTCCCGAGCTCGTCCATTGAGGTCCCATTGAAGCCCAGCTCGTCGATAACATAAGTGAAGCCAGAGAGCGCCGAGAAATTGGCGTTGGGGACGGCGATCGGCATCCTTCTGAAGCATTCATTGAAACCGCGGAATCTGCAGTCCTTTTCGGGGAACAGGTTCGATACGGTGCTTTGACAGACAGCGCTTTCGCCGGTGCCAACGATTCGGAGCTTCTGCAAAGGTTAAGAATGAGAGTACTGATTTTGAACTCATGAAGATCGACCTCGACGATTTCAAGAATCCTTGATTTACGAGGACGTATCCGCTCTTCTCTGGCTCACCGTGGCTTTCTTCTGGTAGAGATTTTCAGGCATGTCCTTGTGAACCGTGCATGGAGAGAGAATTCTCTCGAGGTTTACGAAATCTTTGTAGCCCTTGTTGTGACACGGAGAGTCAATTTGTCTACCGAGATCGTATTTCTGCAGAATAAAATCCGCCCTTGAAAAACTACGCAATGCGGAGTCCTTGGCGTATGTCGTCACTTTCTTCCTCATAGCGCGATTAATATGGGATTCTTATTCCTATCATATGGAAGAGAAACCAACCTGCTCGCTTAGGAGCAACATAATGTAACGGGAGAAGGCCTCGTTGAGTCCGAAGCATAAATAAGTTCGCGAGAACACGTTGTATTCGTGACCGTATAACTTCATGAGACGGAACTCGGGATGATTCGAATTTCGGTCAACTTCGAAGGCGATTTGCGTCGACGCTCCTCCGCAATCCATGGCACCAACGAGATCTTCCGGTTTCGTCTGAAATATGGATATAAAATTGATGAAAAAGCTCCATTTCACTGTCGCATATCTGATTCTTCGTTTTTCCGAATCTCGATTCGTTTTTCCGATTTTCAAGTGAATATCAACGCAGGGTCTCAAACGCGAGAAGTCGTGAGTCAGCAAAGTCATGTAATGTAGAGTGAGGGAAACACGAAATCAAGATCGAGTGATCGCTTCGGGAACCTTGACCGTTACGCGCTCATGCTCGCGAGCGTTGTTGCCGTCCGAGTGCACTCCATTGCACCCGGGAGGGGGGAACTCAGTGTCTTGACCGCAACATCCGGCACGCGGATGCTCCTTCACCACGGGGATAATTTCATCGAGGCCGACGGCTAGATCGCTTCATGCAACCTCGAATGAGCGATCACTTATCATGAGTCAATGCATCGTCCGGATTTCATCGAGCTTTGTTTCGCGCGTTATTGAACGAAGCGTATATGAAGGCGGCGCGTCGATTCTGACGAGCAGAACAATGCTTGCTGAAGAACCCGACCGAGGGATCGCATTTCTGAGTTTAGATCGATGAAAACGAACGAACGACAGACCGCCCTGCAGCGTTAACCGTCACAGAAGCGTCACGAGTCAGCAAAGTGCTCGGAATCGACGTTCCGGAAGGACACGATTCTCGAATGCACACTCTTATCGGGACTGTGTGAGAAACACGATCCTGGAGTTCATGGCGATTCGCGAATCAGTCTGCTCCCGCCGCTTTCGATAACCCGTGTCGAGGAGTACAGAGCGTGAAATCGCTGTGTAGCTAAGTAAGTCAGATAGCTAGCCAGTTCGATGATTTTAACGAACGATTGACGAGAGCAGCACTCCGGTGTCCGTGGCTGTCTGCCTCCGAGACGATTCGGCGATTCTCGTCTTCAGGAGTGCTCGCTCACTGGCTGATGACCGGAATATATCCAATTGGTCTTCGGGGCCTCTCACACGACGCTGAAGATAGCTGTGGCTTCGACCTCTCTCAGCCTCATTCAAACAGCGTGCGAGCGACAAGCAGTCGGCCCGTCAGTCAGCCAGCAAGATCGTCTCGATCCGGAGGGGCACGAAACATGTAATGAAAATCGTCGTCAAGATCTCCTCCTGTGGCTGCGATTCCGACAGCGACCCGCAGAAGATCTTTCATCGAGCTTATCGGTATTATATCGCCAACCTCGCCTCTTGACTGATCTCTTCCCTTCGAGGACATGCATCCGATTGCGGAGCGTTACCCATCTGGAGATAATTCCGACTGCCGGAGATCAGAACTTACGCGATCCTTCGGGAGCTTATCGAGGAGATAATTCGCTGAAAGCCACGCCGAGAGTCCTTCATCTTGACCGGTCAGGATCCCCGCCGAACCAAAGGACATCCCTGAGCCTTTTATGGCTGCTTCCGCGGCCAGAAAATTCAAGTCGGCTTTCTCGGGATCGGTGATGCTAGTGGGGGAAAGATCGACATTTCATTGTGGTCTTCTGATTCGAAGGAAACATCGGATTTCGAACTTTGAATTGAAGCGAATATGAATTTTCCCAGGAGTTCCCGATAATCAGCTTAGTAGACTCACTTGAGAAGCCGCATTCCGGCGGTTGCACTGAGATAAACTTTGGTTCTGTAGAGTTCTTGAGGAGGAATGGCCTTCTTCACTTCTTCCAGCAGATCTTCCAAAACCTTCTGCGTTTCTCGCGGGGTGAGGGCCGAGATCCCAGACGAGTCTGATCCAGCATGGGCGACCTTCGGAAAATTAATGGAGAGTTTAGCCGTTGTGCCGAACGGACAAATAAGGCGTGTCTGCACAAAAATCACTCGTCTCGTATCATAAATTTCGAATTGCACATGGTCTGAACTACTCCGACTCCGAACAGTGATTGGGACATGACTCTTCCTGTCGGTATAATTCGATACCCGCTGAGGTAACCATTATTGATGATTGAGGATTTATCGATTCAAAAAGGGCAAAAAGGAAACACAAACCTGTATCGCTTTTCCGGTTCCGAAAAACTTCGATCCATCCCAATGGTAGAGCGTTGCCTCTGAATGTGAGGAACCCGCATCGATCACCACCCCATACTGGAAGCGAAACGTGAATGAAAACCCGAATCTGACTCCGCTGGGAGGAGGAATATGGTGATGATTTCATCGAGCCCACAGGAAATGTCCCAAGGGATTCAGGGTTAGGGTTCCGAAACGTTTGGCTCGCCCGAATTCCGCCGGGCTGGTTAGTGACTGAAATCTCGGCTCTTGAGTCTCCTGAGCCTAAGACGTATTTTGTGAGCAATCACGGAAGGGTTATCGGGGTTTGTTTGGTTCGACCGTTTGATGGGATCGATGCCGTCGGTGCAACGTTGCCGTGAAGCTATTTCCGCCATCAAGAGTAACAAAAAGGAAAGGCCGATCACGACTCCGCTCCGGCGTAGCGTCGAATGAATCGTGGAGACAACTGTCTTCATTAGCGCACCCGAAACGCGGTTCACAACTTGATTGACCGCGTAGGGGCCGCTCTGCCAGGCTGCTTCCGACCGGAGTTTTGAATTTCTCCGCGGACCAAGAGCAGGCATCGTCATTTCGACACTGCGACAAAAATCTGTCGCGGTCGACCATTCTCGGGATTCCCGATCGCGAGAGCGATCATTGAAAGCTCTCACGCAATCGCTCATTTCGTCTCTCTTGTCGCTCGCACTTCTGATTGTCCGCCTCAGCCTTTCCAGTGGGACCCCGGCTCCTTATTTTCTCGTGATTTCATTCCATGGTGTTTGTAAGTTTTTTTTTCTCTTTGTTTCCCTCGATCAGGACGTTGCTATGCCATCCTTCCACAGCGACATTCACGCAACCCGGATTTCCACCGGGATTTTTAGGAAAGATGACGAGAGCAGTTCTGAGGAATTCCCGATAACGGACCCACATTTCTTAGTTGTCCCGGTGGCTTCTTCGCTCGGTCTCACTGTATCGTGGAGGACCATGGGGGATCGGTTTCGACAGTCTCGAGAAGTCTTGATCCGAACTTTCTCTCACACCTCAGTCGAGTATCTCAAGGAGGAGGACCGCGATCGAGACAATATTAGATGTCGGAAAACTGTTATTCACTAAGCCTGCTCGAGCCGGCACACTGGCTCCGTAGGCCTTCGCGATGCGTGCGAAAGCAGGTTCAGTGAGCATAGCAGCGCTCGATCAGATGCGGCGCTCGACTTACTCAGCCGAATGCTTCCGTGAAGGACAGTCAGCTGTACAGGTATCCACTGACAAGATCGTCAAGTTGTAATTTACATCGCTATTGGACCCTCTCGGCGCCGGTGACGGGAGCGTCTCTGCTCGACACGAAGTCGAACAATCGAATGTGTACAGATTTTCCGTCAGTGTTTCAAAAACTCGCCGTAAGAGAGGCAATCGAGCCTGTGTGTCCAGCACGAAGCTTTGGTCTCAAATATTCTCCGTCTTGTAAATATATCAACATTTCCTCCTTCCCCCCCCTGTCAGCTGTGTGATCAGTCTCGGATAGTCGAGAAAAATGCTACAGATTTCGGATGCACCCTGAGGCGAAGCGTTTTCCATCCCAGGAGCGATCCTGCGGCAGCGCATCACCTACAGTAATCAGTACTTTCTGTGCGCCAAGCTGAACATGACTTCCGACCTGGCAGCTCGTCGGCTAGACTAAGTAATTTGCCGTCTCCAAAAACGCACGCCATGCAGGATCCGTTGGGAAAGCAAAACGAACGTTTTTTGTCGTTGCCGCTAGCCCCGAACACTGCGGTCGCTTCTTCCAACGGCCCGAAAGGAGAGAACGAGCTGTTCAAGGTCGTTCACGAGCAGTACCGTGAGAAGAATCTCTTTGACAGATAGCGTTGAGACAGGGTGACTTTCTGTTTCGTTGAATTGAGCGAATTTATCGGAAAGCTCGAGGCGAGAAGACTTCTAGTGAGAAGGAGTAGACCGCCGGAGCCAAATGGGACGACTGAACGAAAAATCCTTTCTCGGTGCCATCACGAGATCACCGCGCTTCGTTTTCGGGGATGAAACATCTTTGCAACGTGATACTCGAGAATCCTCTATACTATAGTTAGTTTATGGAAGCATTGGAATGAGTACGATCTCCCAGATCCTGCTTTCGGGTATCAAATATACACCGGAGGCAGAATGTGGAAACGCGCTAGACCTGTTTTTAGCGCCGAGCCGGTAAACATGAATAATTCGATTCTCGCCAGATTTCCGCGGTACGTCACCGTAGGAACTCCGGAAGCGATGACGCATTTTTCACTGCGAACGCCCGGGTAGGTACTTTTCTTCGTGGATTGACGATGACCGTGCTCAACAGAACGCTCACGGCTCGAAAGTTCACTTCTGTCGGCGTGACAGAACGCGTCCAGCACACAAAAAGCGCGTCGCGTGGCTTCCTCTCCCATTTTGATACAGAATTTTAACATTCAAGTCCATTCATTGTACGGCTTTTCAATCCATACCGCCTCTAAACGTTGTCAGCGCGTTTCCTAACAACTCTTGAGCGTCGATAATGTCACCCGGGAGTTTATCCCAGCCCGCGTTCTGACCTGGTTTATGAATTCCGCATATCACCAGCCTGGAGCCCGCTCACCACGAATGAGATCGGCACGATCCCCGAACCGATTCTTGGTCAAATTATCCGATGGCAGAGAATACTCGGAGAGAAAAGATTTTTTGGACACTTACCACGAACGGAGCTTTCCCAGATGTCGCGGCGTATATTGAGCCGACGATCACGAGTCCGGTCAGAGCGAGCAGCGATATATATGTTGCCAGCACTCGCCAGTTGATCAAGAATAGGAGATCGTCACCTTCAGCTGGAAACCGAGAATTTTCTCTAAAACACCGTCGAGAATTGAGTGCAATATAGACGGATCAATCACCCCCCAGTGTAAAGTCCACGTTAATCTTCACGGCTTATATTCTGAGACAGCCAAGGGCAGTACACGAGTATTGACCGTGGGGAGTATGAACGTTTTCAGACTTCGAGGCTCGGAGGAGACCAGTTTACGATCTCAGAGCCGGCCTATCCTTTCGAAGTGCTTCGATTATGAACGTTTATTCGAAGGTCTCCACGCACGAATCGAATGCTTTGTTTGACCGAGCGCTTCACTTTCTCGCTACAAACATCTCAGTCATCGTTTCGTCAAAAGCCCCTTTTCCGTCCGTCAATTATTGCACGGGCCTTTTCTCGTCCGTTCCCCGAAATTCCTATATCGTTCGCTCAGCATTCTGAGCGAGCGTCCCTGTGCCTTGATAATTTCTTCAACGAATGTACCCCGCTAGGTATGATTCACCCGGGAAGAAGACTCTCGCGAAGAATTCCGATTGTATGACAGACGCCGCTTTCGTACAAGCGGTCAATGCGGTTGGCATGATGGGAAATAAAGAAGGGAGCTTCCGAGAAACGGATCGTAGATGTGAGCTGTGAATCACGCTGGGTGACTACGTATTTCCAACCAGAATGAGCTCAGTGATGCTATCACCGAACGATCCCGATTGGCGTTTTGAAGCGGCTAATGTCCTCCGTATAGTTTACCTTTCGGCCTCAAATAGACCGTGTCGCCGGTGGTCAGTTTATAGCTGGAGACTTGTTTCCTCTCCGCAAGCATAACATTTTCTTCCGTATATAATCCTGCGGGAGAGAAAACGAATGAAGCGTTTAGAACGACGATCTGGTGTCGTGATTCTTCCCCGAGCTAATTGAGATATACACAGAACGAGCCGTCAACGGGTTTTAATGGGATGAACATAGATTGACGAAGAGGAACGTTCCAACAAATTGTTGCGACAGGAGCCGTGGCTCTATCGAGGAGTGGAGCCTCAGCGATTACATCATCGGAGTCGGCAGAAAAGTAATGAGGGAAACAATCTTGCTGTCAATTCGCTCCGGACGGGAAGCTTCGACCCTCGAGCACTTCCGTTCTTGCTTCCGACGTGAATTTGTCTCATCTTCGGACGGTATGGCTGGATCTATCCGCTTTCAGCGGGTAGTCGATTGGGATGGTTCGATCGTAGTGTCACGGAGAGCTTTTGTCGATCTGCCTCATTTAGATTTACTGCGAGGGAGCCCGGAATTCACTTACCGAGTCGAATGTCCAGGGGTATTTTGAACTCATGACACGCTGCGCCGAGTATCGATGCTGCCGGCGTTTTGGCGCTGGTTGCAACGGTTGCGCTCTCGCCCATCTCCTTCGTCTGGTTGACCACCCGGAGCTCCATCGTATCGATGGCCGAGTAATCCCTGGAAACATAGGTAGAGAAGATGAAGCTTCCGTCGACATCTTTGAATTTGAATTTTCCAACCCGAGGAGAGTCGGTGTTTGCGGAGGCGAGAGCTCTTCAGTGAACATTGAGAACTTGATTATCGATTCTATTGTCTTCATCGAAGCTTCGGTAGGTCCAGCCAGCTTCTTCGAATGGAACACCACGTGAAAGTCGAGCCTATTCAACGGGGAACACTTTCGGAATTTCACTCCGGCAGCGGTCAAAACAAAGAGCCTTTTGAATAGCCGAACGTACGGTTTTCTCGAAACTATTTGCGAGGAATTGTCTTCGAATTAAGCTTGAAAAATCATTCAAAAGCCGACCCGCCGCTTCCTTCTCACGCTGATTAGCCACACTGACGTTTCCCCGAGAGTCGGAGCAGCTACGCTGCGATCCTCGTTGCTCGGTCGGAAATCATTATTTTCCACCGCAAATCGTGAAGGTGTCAACCACGGGTCGGGGTTCACGCAATACTAACGATCAATCTACGAAGGTTTGATTCGGATGTTTGTTTGATTGTTTTTTTGAACCGCGATTAAGTTCCCCAATCGGATTTTCCAACGCGATTCGACGTTGCACGGTACCGTCGAGGTGCTTCCGACTGTGGTTTCATAGGAATTCGAAGTGAGCTCAGCCGCCGGATAAGATTAGTTCGGCATTGTGGCTTCTGTCGAGATTATTAGCTGATATTTAGTCGCCAGGCTACTATCATTGTTTTGCGTTCTTAGATAGCGACCTGACATTGCACTTCAGCCCGTAGACAGGGAGAGTAATAACTCTGTTTCTTTCAGAGACGTTTCTCTCCGACTCGGTCAGCCGTTCGACAACCACACTGATGGGAAACACTGCGGCCGCAGTCGCTCAATCACCACCAGCCCTGGGCAGAATGTAGAGCACCATCGGAATGACGAGGAAACTCCGTTCTCGACTTTCGTCGGAACTCGAAAATCTTCCCTGCCCCGCGCTTCAAGTCGTGAGTTCCGAGCAAATGCTCGTATACCTAATAAATAAATGAATAAAAGCCTCGGAGGGCACGCGAGGGGAATCACGAAGTCCGACGCAAAAAGTACGGTGGTCCGAGACACCGACTCGAGTCTATCTCGTGAACGATCACCTCGCGCTCTCAGGTGGGCGTTGGCGGGTATCGATAACAGCATTGAGCAGGCAACGGGATCGGCAGGCGTCGCTCGCTCACCGAGCCTCAGTCAGAGTTTGTAGTGCTCGCGAGCTTGTATTTTCGGGACACGAGTTGGCTGAGCAATCATTGGGTAAGAAGGCAATTGCTCTGATCACCGGTTCCGCCGGACCGCTCGGGTTCGGCTCAGGCTTCGAGAACGACGAGAGTAGCGATTCTTCCACCCAAAGACCACAAGCAAAATGGACGAGCGGGAAACGACACAGGAAGACGTCCAAACATTTCAGGAAACGGCGGTATGTCCCTAGCGAGGCTACGGCTGTCAAGGGTAGCACGAACGCTGGGCGGTGGTCGAGGTACAAGCGAAACACGGCAACAAGGACGTGTCATCTGGGTTTTAGGACCTTGCTAACGACAACTAGACTTCAAACTAGACCCAAGGACAAGCGAAGTGCGCGCTCTCTGCTAGAATGAGGTCGAGCGCGACTTTTTGAGTTTGAGCCCCGGGAGCACGCTCCGGGGTTTCTAGAGTCGGTGTTGCTCGGAAGTCCGCTGAGAAGTTTGCGAACTTTCGGAGAACGCAGCCATCCTACATTTCGTCTATTGCTCGGTCTTATGGAAACGAGCGAAAAGAGGCTTCTAGGGAAGTCATTCAGAAGTGGGAAAAATTCAACGTACCATCTCGATCGGAAAACTGAAATGCTTGCGAAGAGCCACAGCATAGCGAAGCGTTCAGGAGAGGAGTCCTATCAAAAGGACTCGCGCAGGGTCCCGCTCGGAGTTCAAGCTCGGAGATCGTTGTCCGAGCGAGGAAGGCACACTCCGATGACTCCAATGACAGGTCGCCCTGAGGGCTTGTCGAATTCGAGCTCGAGAGACGTTGACTAGCAGGTCGAGACCCTTTCGCTTGAGAAAGTGAGGTTTGGAACTTTGATAAGACGTCACTTTTTGCGTCGCTTGTGTCAGGATTCATCGAAAGTGAGTAACCTCCTTTCAGATAGAGTTCAGGTATTGAGGGGGGTCGACCGGTCGTATCTACATCGTTTTGAGTACACCCGATTTCGTTCACGATTCCAAAAGATAACGTGGATTCGTCGAAGCTGGTGCTACCGGTGCTGATTCGACGTCAATCTGACCTGTCGGAAGCGGAAACAAGTGACTTACTGATTACGAGGAGAGAGATTCGGCGGTCCAAGGCGCACTGCTTCCTTCGGCTCGCGCCTATCCGAAGCTCGCTCGTTTGAATATTATCCGACGGTACACTGTACTTCAGTCAACGGTCCTCGGAGGAACGATTCCACGAACAAAACAGGTTTCAGTGGCCGTTGCTTGACGCAGAAACTCAATGAAGAGTCGTGGATAAATGCGCGCCACTCTGAACTACCCTTACCGAAAGCAAGAGGAGAAGGGCTCGCTTTGCTCACTGACTGTCAGACTGTCTGAGCCTCTTACCAGAGCCATCATCGCATCGAATGAATGGTTCGATGTCGATCCGATCGATAGATAGAAAACGGTGGTACGCAGAGCGAAAATTGCCTCGCGTTCGGATATATATTCAATTCTTCGATTACCCTGCCTAATCACGGAACAAGCGACCCGCACTCCACGGAGCTAGAACGACAGCTCCGTCTTCGAAACGTCGAAAGAGAGAGCGATCGATGCATCTGTGGGATCGACTCGCGGAAAATACGCCTTGTCGCTGGACTCGACCGCAGTTCTGAGCTTAGGACGCGCATTCTTCTGTCAATCTCCCTTTCATTGTTGCAGCAGTCGGTGGCGTGCGCGCGATCTAGCGAGCAGACTCCTTTGTGCATTCCGACCTTGACGCTGCATGTCAGTTTTTTTCGAGAAAAGTTGAGACATCCTCGCGTGCATGGTTACAGTAATAGGGCTCGCTAAATGATTTTCACGCGGGTACCAACTGAGTCGTCACCATTGATTTTATCCGCTCACACAGGGAATGCCATACGATTCGGCTGCGAAGAAACGAGCGACGTCGAGGTTTCGCGGTTCCTGCATCATTTCACTGCCGCGGCGTCCGTAATTATGGTTGATAAGTTCGTGCGGTGTGGCCTCTGCATTTCTACGGCGTGGATTCGTCCCGGAGGAGCCGATCGTTTGCCTGAAGATTCTCATGTCAGATTCCAAAATCTAATCTTCAATGATCTCACCAGCCTCTGGTCCGACTGCCGAATAGGTGACAGGTTCTCCAGACTCGGGGAGCCGGTGAGCTCCGATGCATCGGAGGACCCTAAGGCGTGTGGAGCCCTTCTGTTGATCTAGCGAGACTGAGATCACTGGGCGCCATCCCTGTGAATCATCTGGCCACGACAGCCAGGCGCCAGACATTCTGCTCTGGCGTGTCGGTGCGTGGTCAGTTCGACCTGCCGTCCCGTAGATATCTAAAGGCTGAGTGAGCATAGACTCTTCCCGGACTGGATCTAAGTAGATCTGCCAAGGAGCGGAGTCTTATGCGAGGAGAGTCACCTCTGTCGTTCTCGAACTCACAATTAGATTCGGGGCGCTAGGCAGCAGCTACGAACTTCCCGGATGAGGAGCCTCGGTCCTGGCGTTCACCGTGCAAGAGCGGATAGGAACGCGCGATCGCGCACAGGGAGTCAGACGCGCAAAATTCTCGATTGGAGGTCGATTCCTCTCTGTTCTCTTCGTCCTTATCGCGAGCTCTGCCTCCGGCGATTGGCGAGTTCGAACCTAAAACGGACTCGGCGCTCCGTCACTGTCTTGAGGAGCGTCTCCGAATGGTGCGAGGTATCGACGAGCTGGGTGAGCCCGCTGCAAAATTCTTCAGAACATCCTCGGAGCTACTTGATTTCGGTTGCACTGCCATGCAGCCCCAATCGATACAGACAGACGCGGAATCGGGCCAGATGTCCGTTGATCTGTCATTGAACGAGTTCATCTATGGTTCGAGCTTGCATGAGGGACAAGGAAAAGATAGAAGAGAGGATGATTGAGAGAATACAGGATGAGGATATGAAATATAGAGCAGAACTCCGAGAAATGCTCATCGTGGGGCTTCGCTAATGGAAAGCTTAGCCGTGACCTGCAATGCGTGAGCCAAAACAAACGGTATCCTTGCCTTCCCCAGAATGACCTCTGGCACTTTTGGTAGAGCAATTATTATTGATGTTGCAAAACTGAATGTTGTACACAATAATTTCCCCATCCCGCATCATTAAGCCTACCACGAATTTCCGCGCGTACCATCTTCGCTTCTCTCCTCATGAACAATTCCAGTGGATACATTTGGCTGAAGAAGAGTGAGAACACTGACTGCCAGAGGGGAGAGGCGAGTTCATGACAGAGAGATAGCCGAGGACGCATCGGAGACTCCGCATGACTCAGAGCATGCGGCAGGGGGAATTTCAGCGTCCTCTCGCCAAGTAGAGATGAACACGGATACCACATCCCTCGATCAACCCATCAACACTAGAACCGATCTCAGAGTATGGATGATGGGCTCCACCTCTTCCAAGGTTGCGATAAGTGCTTTAAAAAATAATAAGTATCGCGATATTTCTTGCTCCACCACGCCCTCCCTCTGCCGGCACTCCCGGCTGCTCATACATTGAAATATTATTGTCATTTCAGTTTGATTGCGAGGCACAAAGTGAGCGCTAATCACCGCCGTGGTCTCACTTCCCGAGATTCGGCTGGACGCCCAGCCGAGAAATCGCTTCTGGCGGGATCATGTCTCGCTCGCAGCGCATGAAATCTTCCGACGAAGTGTGCAATCCGCTTTTCGCTACCCACAAATTCAGGATGAAAAAAAAACATCCCTGAAGTCTTCGTTAGGGTAAGCTCCCGATCCGGTATGGGAAAGACGAATCCGATGAACCGAGTAGACTCTGGCGCTGACGCTCCGCGGAGGAACTCCGAACGGAATCAGTGGACACGATAATCCAAAACTCTCGCGGACAAGCATGATACCCACCGACCATATTTAAGGTCCGGAAAGGTGAGACGCGTGATTGACAGAGACGTCGTTCTCTCCGTTGTGCCGGAAGCACGGATTTCTGTTCATGTTTTTAACATAACAACCAAAGTCGGAACTCCCACACTGAAACATACGAGACGACTACGCCGATCGCTAACATTAAACGAGCGGCTCGCCATTTAATCAATGCGGTGAATGTTGATGCTCTACCACTTGCGGAATGCGAGCCGCAGTGTCTTCAACACATTCCAGAAGGAGCCGCACAGCTCGTACCGACCAACTGATAGAAACATCCATCAAAAATCTTCCACAATACATACGAACAGCTCAAGCTGAGTGAGTCCATCACCGCGGCGGCACACAATGATAGCTATTGGACGCATTACCTCGTTTCTGCCTCTTCGGCGGCGAAAAAACGAAGGAAAAAACTTCGCCATTTTCCATCAAAATGTCAGTGCACCCGCGCGATCGACTATGTGTTAGCCGCTCCGCTGCTGAATCCCTGTGACCGGGAGACTTGATGCTTAGGCGGTTCCTGTCTCGTATGCTCGACTGCTCCACGTACACTTCATGCATGAGATGATTAACATCCGTGCAGCGGTCACGTTCACTTAATGTCGCCGGTCGTAACGTAGGATGGTCGCCTTCAGTAGCCACGGTGAACTTGGAGCACGAAGCCTACGGCAAAAGCACTCCCGGAATCATTTTCGTCTGGAGGTTCCAATGGCGCGAGAAACCCAAAACGTCGTAGTACCTCAGTTCAAAGCTACGATTCCATACGTCGCAACGGATCCTAGAATTATTGCTCGTTCTCATGCTCATCGCGGTCCCCGGGAAAACACCCCGATCTGGTCCTCCGAATCGCGTTGCCTCTGATCGCCGCTCATGTTAATGACAAGTAAAACAAAACTCGAGACGAGAAAGTATAACTGTCGACGCTCACGAGATTCCCTTCCGAAAAAACATTCTCTCTGACCATTGATTCTTTTCCCGACGCGGCCCGTTGAAGCTTCTCACAGCCGTGAGCGGGCTCCGGGCAGATTGGAAGCCGATTTTCCGTTTTCCTCAAGACCGAGCGGAAAATGGGAACCGGTCTCACCGGCGGATCCGGGCGTGCTCAGATCTGTGAGTATGAGTACGTCTGCTCTCGGAGCTGACAGTACGAAAGCGAATTTCCGCGAAAACGAGATATCCAGCTCCCTACAATGGCCGATATGGCACTTGACGCGCACGGCCCCGCTCGTATCCTCAGAAAATGCGATTGTGTAATTCGTAACGGGCAGCTTGTAATGAGGCGCGCATCCGAACTCTTCCTCATCGCTCCACCGACTTTCTGTCATAGCTGAGTCTTCGGGAAGCGGACTCATCCGCCGCGGTGATGTAGCGACTTTGTATCCAGGTGTCACAGCACATCACTGATAAGGCGTGATATTGAGGCAGAAGGTTCATGTTTGCTAACTACTCACCCTTGAGTTTTCATCGTGACGGTCCGGTGTTTGATTTCGTGAACCGTGTTGCTCCAACGGCGCCACACCTCACTTCAGCGCAAAGCCGCCATCGCCGTGGGTGAGAGAGCTGGCCCTCACTCTCCTCCATCGAAGTGCCCCAGCCAGTGAGCGTCGCTATACTCGTGAAAAAAAATGTTCTGAAACATGTCGGGGGTAGCTGTATCAGAGGGGCTCAGCTCGTGGGGCTTCGGATAACGAAAAAAAGAATTGCCACGGCTTAATTGCTCATTGGACAAAGAGCTGAGCAGGGCTAATCCGAAAAGAGGTTCAAACGTGATCGAGAACTGGACTTGGGATCGTAGAGGCCCACTGTCCCGAACGACCGACCCATGCCTGAGTGAGTGCCTGCCTGCCATGGCCAGGGATCAACGACCTCCATCGCTCTCTGGGGGATCATGGGTTAAGATTCTGAACCACAATCATTGGGATGAGGTCGGACTCCCTCGAGCCGAGGGTGCTCAACCGATGTCTGCAAGGTTCCTGTCATCGCGCGTTTTTCCGGGATGCTCCCCGAACCGCGCGTAGCGGTGACTCACGCAAGGCTCCGCCAGTGAAGGTACATGGATGACGGTTGTCTGGCCGGAAGAAAATGGTTCAAGACTCGAGATTCGGGGGGGGGGGGCTGCGACCTCAGCGAGGCTCGAATGGACTCTTCGTTGGGAGGTTTGCCAACAACGATTGCTATTGGCTCCCAGAAAACCCTCCTGAAGACCAGGAATCGATTTGTGCGCGTAAGGTGCGATCGGTGGCCGGGGCTGGGATCCCGAAAATTGAAACAAGTTTGAGTCGAAGCTGGACACCCTTTCCGATGCTCTTCGGGTCATGGCTCATCACCTTTCCTTTCCGTGCGCATGTGAGCGCGAATGTCACGCAGAATCGCGGTACACCAATCGTGTAAGCGAGACTGGTCGAGGCGCGGATCATCGGAGGCATCGAAGCGATTCCTGCATCCAGGCCATGGACTCTTACTGGTAATGGGGCGAACGGCTGTACACTGATTCTTTCAGAAATGTTCCGCGAGAGCGATGCTTTTAATTGCGCAGGAGCGTTCTTCGACGAACGAGCCGTTGTGACAGCTGCGCATTGTCCGACAGAAACGGCACCTGCCGAAATCAAGATCATGTTGGTCGCCGAAGGCCGTGGCTGAAAGCTTGGTGCAGGACGTTTTCTTTCTAATGATTTCCGAAATCCATCCTGAATGGGTCATCACGGATGACTCATCAGCAATTCTGATGACTGATGACCCAATGATATTGGTTAAGTATTGTGTAGCATCGAACAATTCGGGCGATTTATCTACCCTCGGCAACAAAAAATGTCGTGATAGCCGCCGACGATGCCTTCGTGACAGTTCGGGGCATGACGAACCTATTGGACGAGGAGGCTCCATATGTTTCGAAACAAGCTAGGCAGACTTCTGTTGCGTGAGACGTGCGTTCGAAGATGGGGAGAATGGACTCGAATGCGACGATACTCTGTGCCAGCCATGATCTCGGCTCGACTTGCGAGCGAGGCTTTGAGGGATCTTTAGCCCTCCGGATCAATGATACGTGGCCGCTCGACAAAGCTGTCTCAGCGGCACCGGCCGCCTGCCGTTCGAACGCACCCGGATTCACTGCATGCAAGTTTCAGCACACACGACATGGATTCCCGCTTATCAAGTCGGGATTCAGACGAGGAACTCTCTCGTCCCATGATCCAACCAGCTTGTTAAATATCCACATGCATTCTCATGATGACCATGATTCGTAAGGTGCGAATGAATAGACGAGCTGCGGTTTAGCGAGAGATAATTTTTTCTTTACATGCTGCTGCAGCTGATGATGATGTGTTCTCGTCCAGCGAAAATCTTTCTCTACAAAAAAGGCTTTCTTCCGACAGAGTTTACAATAATCCTTTTGTACCGACGCATCACGATTCTTATCTTAATCAACTTTTTGAACATGTTTACATACATCCACATGAATTATGGCAGCCTCTTCAGCGGGGAGACGGGATCTCACTCAAGATCAACCTAGGCGGACTCGTTCCGCGATCAGCGATGGACGAATTGCTTCGAAAATTTCAGAGCGAAGAGGGACGTTTTCGTCTTATTATTTTCCCTCGGCATGATCGGAGAAAGTCAAATCTTTCAGATTGATGATCGAACAGAAAAACGACCGAATCCTCGAAAATTGGGAGTCCCCTGGGAGCTGTTTATCGAGAGGCCGGCGAAAGCAACCCGGAATCGTGCCTCGTTTCGGAGTACCGAGCTTGTGTCTCGTAGAAGCTGCTTAGACATATATGTCAATGTCAATTATATTATGATTGTATGATCAAAGTTCAAGCCTCTTCGCTACTGTACAATGTACATCGTTCAATCCTATAATGTCGTCTACGATGTGCTACCGGGAAAACCCGCAAAGGGGCTCTTCCCATCGAATAGGGTGTACTCAGAAACAATCGGAACACTGTCAACATTAACAATACTATCTACATGATCTGTACAACGAACAAGTCATCTCCGGGGAGTTCTTCGTTTCTCCTCCTCTGGGAGAAGGCTCTCTAGGACTGAGGGAGTAATCAAGAAATTAAGTATTTTCCTTCATGCATGCTTCCGTCTTGAGGTCGTCGGGAGGCAAACTTTTGATCCATTCTTCTTGGCACTCTGTGAGGGCGAAGCCGCGAAATCATCATTCCCATAGGATTAGGGGGGAAGAAATTCCACCTGATCGGTGTCCCGAGGGACGGATCGAGAAATTCAATCGCCTGGCTCAGGTTGTGATGAACGGCTACCGTTCCGCGGGCTCGCCATGAACTCAGCTGATTATGGGACTGGTGAGTTCTGGCAGCATGAGCACACGAAATTTCACCGGTGTCGATGGTCTTGTCGATCAGGAACGATTTTTTCATTTACCATCGTGAGCCATGTACGGCGGGGAAGAAGCCAGAGCGGGACCTCTTGTCTCGTGGTCGAGATCTGCCAATGTCTCGAAAGAAAGAGTATGGGGGTACGTCTATCCGGTGGAGGAGAGTTCTTCTGTAAACAGGGATGATTGCCACTGAGCAATGCGGCATCGATCCATGCGAACATCTTCTGAGTTTGGAATGAACAGGCTCCCAATCACACGGAGAATGAGGGGCGAACGCTGCTCCGGAACTGACGTGGACGGAATGTTTGCACTTCGGCGTGCTCTGATCTTTTCTCGCTGTGATTCGCTGTCGTTAATTTTCCTTAGCGCCTACACAATGCTCTCCCGATCTCCATGGCCACCATTGTTGTTCAAATTAAGTAGCTCTTGTACGGCGCTCTTGATGCGGCTGCCCGTACCGCTCCCGCTCGGCTTGCTTTCGCCCGCCCTATTCTCGCCCGTCCTATTCTCGCCCGGGACCCCGGATGCAAGTTCATTGTCCAACGAATGGCACCGTTGTGCGAGGTTGCCGTCGAGTTTCGCGCGGCGCACGGGACGCGGCAGCAGGGGAGCCATGCTGTCATCGTTGCCCCGACTTAGTGTGCTACCTGTGGATCGGAGGACATAATTAGTCTGCAGCAGCACCGTCACCCGAGATTGGAATATTCAGGAAGCATCTTGACGCAGACACCCTTCGGAGACGCTCTAGATTGGGGACTGATCGAATTACTGACCGTTCCGCCTGATTTTCGTGGGGCCGTTGGTGTCGAAGGAGACGGTGGTCTCCCTGGCGGAAAATACTATGCCGGCGTCGTCCTCTTCGGCACTGGTCCCCGGATGATCTTCGTTCGTGACTTCCCCGATGTTAATGAAGAATGGTGGTGTCGCGGAATGTTTCGGCTGTTGTAATTTCGTTTGCGAAGGCCTGCAAGGTACCGACGTATTTTCAGATTTCCTTCCTGTTTTCACTCACCCGATCGAGAAGGAATAAAACGCAAGAGAGAAACGCTGCGCAGTGGTAGCTTGAACCCGACGTCTGACAAAGTCTGTGGGGAGCGTCTCCCCATTGTTCTGGTATAGGATTCTGATTCCTCCCGTCGAGTACGTTGAGATATCAGACAATCTGATATCCGGCTTACCGTTTGGTGATGAGAGAATTATTATGAGGCAATCTGCTCTTGACTCCCCCATTTGGTAAGAGCTCAGCCGTTCTGGCTCTCGTGGAATCTCCGAGAGGAATCAACGAAGCTCGTCGACTCTCCTGGCCTTCCCGGACGAGGCCGTTGTACAGAGGTTTCACGGGCGGCAATGGTCCTTCTAATCTCTTCGGGGTTCCATCGCGATGTCCCGTCAGCCAGTAGGTCAACTGAGCCCCTTTGCCCTGTAACAATAAATTGGGAGAGTGAGCGATCGTTGATATGGAATGCCTGCAGGGGATCCGCGATCCTTATTTCGATAATCCGGAGATCCGCCGAGGCTCATGAGAACAGCTCGCCGCAGCCATGGACTCTCAACGCGTCCAAGACCCTCCACAAGCCTCCGATCTGACTGTCAGTCACACACCGCGTGTGGGGCTGAGAACGCGAGGCTGCCTCTCGCAGCGCGGGAGATCGCCGACGAACTCACCTTCATCTCCACATAGCCTCGGCAGGCAAGGTCGAATCCTCCGATCGAATCTAAGAGTTCTCTGGTTTTTGAACTGACATGAACTTTGAGGGCTTCTCCGGTAGACTCCATTCGAGAAGCCGTATTGACCGTGTCTCCGAACAAACAATAGCGAGGCATGGTGAGTCCCACCACACCTGCGACGACTGGACCTAAAATTGGAACGGCGCTTCAAAGTTAGATAAACGAACAGCTCTCCGGAGACACAGGATGAGGACACAGGAGGATCAGCTTTTGCGATGGATTTCCAGGAAACATCTCCCGACCCGATATACGAACCTGTGTGGAGACCGATCCTGAGCTTAAGCTGCTGCTCTGGCCGATGGCGGATTTTGAACGTTTTGATTGCGTCCAAGAGCTCGAGCGCCATCAGAGCGATTTCGCTCGCGTGGTCGTCGCCGTTGCGCTCCGGAAGGCCGGACACGACCATGTAGGCATCGCCGATTGTCTCGACTTTATAAACGTTGTAGTTCCGAATGATTGAATCGAACAGAGTGTAGAGGTCGTTCAAGAAATCCACAACTTCCATCGGTGTCGAGGTTGACGACATGTCGGTGAAGCCGACGATGTCGCTGAAATATATTGTCACGGCTTCGAAACTTTCCGGGTCGACATAATTGCCGGCTATGAGTTGGAAAGCGACGCTCTCGGGGAGTATTTGATGAAGCAATCTCTCTGTTCTCTTCTTCTCGTCTTCGAGCTTTTTCGTTCTGTCTTGGACGAGCCCCTCGAGGTTGTTCGCGTACTTTTCCAATCTCGTCACCATATTGTCCACGAGATTGTCGTTCAAGCCTTGTCTTATTCCTTTCAAGTTCGTTGCGATGCTCGTGATATCAGGACGCTCTTCGGGTGATTCATGCCAACTATCGGTGACCACCTTCAAGACGTAATCCTGGCACTGCATATCGTCGATGGGCGGCCTGATAGGATCCTTTCCTTCGGGTAGGATCTGGCAGACTCTGTCTACGATCTCTTCTGGGGTCAAGCCGATCGAGCCCCAAACGCCTTTGCGACTCATGATTTCGTGCATTATTATAGCGAATGAGTAGATGTCGTCTCTCTGAGTAGGGTGCGCAAATCCTTTTGTTCTTCGAGCCCGTAGTATCTGTGGGGAGCGCCACAGTTGACCTGTCGCAAAATGAGCCAGTGAATGGAGTGAATGCATCAGAGACGGGGGATCGTCCAGAAAGAGACGGGGGTGGCGCGACCAGAATCACGCAGCCTGTCAATGACGAAACCGTAAAACGTTCTGACCGGTACCCACCTTTGAAATACTGTATTGTATCAGAAGGATCTTCCGTATTGTAGCGACATGCAACCAAACCGAAGTCGGATAGTTGGAGCGTCCACTTGCTCGTTATCAAGCAGTTCGTTGATTTTAGATTACCGTGGACTTTGAGCGGGCACTGATGAATGTATTCGATTCCTGTGAGTTAATGATATCGGCGCACATGAGTGTGAGTCCACAGGCTGACAACGGACCCTTGAGGTCGGTCGGTCCCAGTCATCAAAGCAATAAATCGAATGCCGCTCTACCTTTGACTAGGTCTGTGACTATCGACGCGATGAACATGTGATCCAGCTTGAAGACTTCTTCGTCTTCGAGGACGTCTTGTAAACTGCCTTTATGCGCGTGCTCGGAGCAGATGCGAATCTGATTCGGTCCAGCCATATATCTGAGGGAGAGAGATAGTGAATCGAAGAAGCAGAGTTATTTTTCTGATTGGGCGAATTTTTCATAGGAATTCGTTAGGAACCTCGACTCAATGATCACTGGGACAATATTCCCATCCGCAGGAACTTACGCTCCAATGAAAGGATTCACGTTAGGATTCCTCATCCTACGCATCATCTTCATCTCTTTCTTCATGTCTCTCGGGATATCTCCGGCAGTTTTCCGCGAGAGTTGCAGCGTTTTCACGACGACCCTAGTTCTTTGATAAAGGCATATCTCCAAATTGTTGGTTGGGGTGAAAGCGAAAGAGTTACCCGATGCCTGACTCACGATGCTGAGCTGCAAAGAGGCAATTGAGCCCTGCTTTAATGCGTTGGCACTCCTATTCCATGGGGAGACAGATGAGAGCGAAAACATTCCCATGAATGACGCCAGAGGTCGGAATCAAAACATCGACCGTATTAGTCAGCCGCGGAAATCGGATTTCTTTTCCTCTCGAATCAGAGCATCGGTGTTCTGATGGAACCGGAGACGTCGGCATAGGCCATGGGAATGTGGGAGCTGCTTGTGCCGCCCGTGGAGCACGCCTTCGTAAACCGACGCCGCCGTTTCGACATGTGCGTCTATCTGCAGGATTGAGCCGCGGGCCGGCGGATTTGGCGACGTCTCCACGGAGTCACCCGATATACAGAGATGAAAACCATTCAGGCTGGATACAGTTCCGTATGTTTGGTCGGACATTCGCCCACCTCCCCGGCACTCCGTGTCGTTCAGGGATTCCATTGCTAATCTTCCGTACGGTCTTCGCGCCCATATTCAAGATAAGAACGATCAGATTGTTAAGCTCACCTTGCTGAAGGCCGATATGTTGCCGCCTTTGTAAGGATTGAGCTCACTCCGGTCTAACTTCCACAGCAGACCGGAGATCTCTTGCTCGTACTCCCAATATCGGTACAAGAGCGATATTCCCGAGCTGAGCGCCGCAAAAACAGCAAGGAGGATGCCGGCAGTTATTTTCCGGATGAATTCTGTCAAATAAGAATAAGCGATTAGAGTTAAAGGTTGCTGGCGGCATGCTTTCTCGACCTGCAGGGAACGACGCGTCCCGCGGGAGCGACGCTTTCCGACCGCCCGCCGCAAGTGCGCTGATTCAGTGATTATTGGCGAAGAGCCGAGACCAGGCCTGTAGCCTCCGGGGGCGCTCGTCGGCCTATCGCATTTCTTCTTCCGTCCCTACTCTTTTTCTCGCAGGCAACGATAGCACGAGCCGCGGGGGCTACTCGGTATTTACTCACGAGTCGGCATTCCGCGGTTCCAATAAGCTCTGACTCGGGTCAGATGTCGGCGACGGGGACGCCGAGGAATGGACGGGGTTCGTCGAGACTCCACAGGCGGATGGCCTCGAGCAAGACTACAATCCGCTCACAAGTGTATCGCAACGAGAGATGGTCTGACTGAGTTGATTTTGCGCATACAGTAAAAGCTCGTTATAACGACCCCCATTACAACGAATTTCTCTGTACAGCGAACAAGGAATTTCTCCTCCTTTGGCCAGCCCGCCATAGGGAAAGTGTTGAGCGGCATTCGTTACAGCGAAAACGCGGTACAACGAACCAGTGTCGTCGGTCCCGTCGTGTTCGTAGTAACGAGCTTTTACTGTATTCCACTCACCCTTTTCGGATGGACATTTAGCTCCGTCGAATCCACAAAGCGGCTCGTCCAGGATCACCGCGCCTCCGAACGGATCGACCTTCAAGGTGAGATTTACGGTCTCATTATGCACGGAGAAGCTGAAAAAACGCGAATTCAATCAAATGCTCGTCGGCGGGGGCGCTCACTCCCGAACCCGGAGGATGCGCAGCGAAACCCCGAAGGACATTCATCCGCAGCAGCTCGTTCTAGGGAACGGAGCAACGGAGATGCATACGACGGAGAAAATGCTCATCGTAGAGCTGCTGCTTGCTCCATTTGCGTCATTTGGTAGAACGGAAACAAGGAATCTCGGTGAGCATCGATCACTGACTGTCTTACGCTCTGACGCGTCAGCGGTCCAGAACAAGAATTCAAGCTCTTTACGTCGTGCGATCCCGGGAAGCCGAGAATCCCTTAGAGAAGAGCCGAGAATAGAAAATGGGTATGACGAGACGCGGAGCCGAATAAAGACGGCGGGGGGTTTCCGAGGATGGGAAACTCCGCTGAAATTAGACCACCGACCGTCTCATCGATTCCAATCTCCCCGGATCTACGCGAAAATTCAACTAAGCTCAAGACCTACCGTCCGATAACGCTGAACCTTCCAACCTTCGATCGAGGATCCTCAGGGTAATCGAGGCTGAGTAGTTCGTATTCCCCAACGACGTGTCCATCCTTCTCCAGAGTCAAATTTATTCCCGTCAAGCCTGGGAGGGGAGGAAATTTTCATCAATAAGCTCCGACAACACTCTGACGAGTTCTCCGAGTCGTCTACCTCCGACTCCCAACGCTCGGTCTCGGCTCCGCGAGTCGGGTCTGCATTCGACGACGAAATCGGAGTCGACGCAATGAGAGCAATGATGAATATGGAATCCATCTCCCTAGGAAGAGAGTAGAGGAGACAAAAAGCTACCAGGAATGTCCGTCTTCCTCGCAAAGAGATCCGGGGGAGGAGGCTAAAGAGATAGACCGGAGAACTCCATCCGAGGGAAGATTCGGAACTCGGAACTTCCGATTCCCCGCGGGACTCAATTGGTTTTTTTCAATGGTGCGTAGCGAGCCCTCATGGAGAAAGGGCTGCCAATCGTCGGTGATAGTTCGCTACTTACTCGGGATGACAGTTGTATTGCGGATGTGCTGAGCGACGACGGCACCGTCGGCCCAATCCTTCTTTTGTTTCCGAATCTCAGTGACGGCTTGAGCCCAAGTCATCAGGGAGTCATAGAGGTAATAGGCGAAAATGGATATTTTCTGCAAGGAGCTTACTTTTAGCGCTCGAGCAGCTCATTGTTAGCACATATCTCTATGAAGAATGTTAATCGTATGGGGGGAGGGGAGATGTTCAGGCTCGAGCGTGTGAATACATCTCCCCAGAAATGCGTAATATTGAGAGAAAGACAGCAAAAGTCGCTCACCTTCTTGCCGAGGTTCGGAGGAGACGACAGCTTGAATGTCGGTGATTGATTGTGCTCCCGCACAATGTTTTCGAACTGATCGTTCTTGATGACTCCCTTGGGTGCGCGGGGAACAATGGCCAGCACATGGTTCATGCCTATGTTCTGTCCGTACCTTAAAGGTTTACACATCCTTCATATTGCACGCCTTCTGCATTCTGCCCGGAGCGCCCAATGGAGCCGAACCGGTAGCGTACGAGCCCAGCCGCCCTTTCAACAATGTATCCCAACAATGGAGCTAATTTACGGAGCCGGCAATCGTCTGACTGTGACAGACGTCCTTTGTACTCCGAATGTCGATCCGATCCTCGCCCGTCACTCAGAAGAGCTGTTCATCCCTCGAAGGCTCACATTTTCGCGACAGGCGAATAAGACAGGGATAGTGAGCGACGTCGAACATTTACGGACAGGAAGGCTCCTGACATGTAACAGATATACTCACTTGTACCACGGAGTGAACGGCGAGGCACCATATTGGAGGAGCTCATTGACGTCGTCGATGAAGAACTCGGTTGAGATATAGATGATTTTATACTCGTTCTTCTGCGTGAGGCCCATGGCCGCGAGCGTGAACCCGAAGCTCGACAAATTCGAAATGTTTCCGATCATGACATAGACTGCAAATGAAAACTGGCAAATGAGTGCGGGATGTCGAACGGGAGATTCCCGCGCTAGTAACGCCACTCCAGGAGGAATGGAACCATTCCTGACGGGTCGCGTCTCGATCGTCAGGTCATCAAATCTTCAACTCGTGCCTGGGAAATCGTCCAGATTTTTGTTCATTGGATTCCTGCTTCCATTTACGTACTTCGTGTCCCATCTTTAGTGCTTCTGATGATCTCAGCCATAACATGATTTCCGCATCGCTTGGTGAGTGGGTCGCAGCCGTGACTTCCAGGGGACGCGTACACTTCTTCCCTCATGACGTACTTCAGCTCTGGATGGGAGTCCACGAAGTGTCGGAGTTGCGTCCGTATCGGTCGCATATTGCCGTCTTCATAGACCAATGTGAACTTGCGCCAATTGAACCTCTCGAACAATTTGATTAACATGTTAACCACCTGTGGAGAACCAGGAAAATAACCATCGGAAGAAATCGTTTCGTCCGGACTTTCCGCATCGTCTCCAGACTTTCCGTCCGGTTTTGAGGCGGCCGGTCTCAAGGTACCCGATTTAATTTCCGGAGCGATATCCGAAGCCCTCCTTCTCTGGAATCTTTGGGAGGGCGGCTGCCGGTTCTGTCGCGTGAGGCCGGCTGAGACACTCTTCACAAGGTCGACCACGAACGGGCGAGAATTGCGCCGACGAGTGAAGAGAAACGTGGATCAATTTTCTCCCCTGTATCTCACCACAAACGAAGCTGAAGGACGCGCGAGCATCCAAGCTTCAATATGGTACAAGAAGCCTCTAAAGACAACAGCTGGTTGCCCTACACGAGTAGAAATTTTCCTCATGCTTTCTTTCCTGCGTCAACATCGCTCCGATCAGTCCTCGAGACGATGAGTTTCCTCTACGCGCCAGACTCGAGACTCCCGAACGATATTATATGACATCGGGTATATGAAAACAAGACTCACATATTTTTCTGACGGCACCAAACTGATAAGATTTGTCTCCTTGAGCCGGATGGTTGGATCGTTGCATTTCTGAAAACGTCAGAGGAATCTTTTCAAAAACCTTGTGATCTCAAATCGAATTGGCATCCGACAGACCGAGAAGAGAGGAAAGCTAGGCTCCATGCGATTTCAACGATGCTTCTGAGGACTACGATTCAGCGCATCTCGGCATCGAAATACCACTGGTATTCTGGAAAAGATCCACGAGGATGTTTCCACCACGGAGGCAGGCCCGCTTGCGCTGAGCTCGAGGCGGGCGGAGTGATGAATGCGTAGCCTGCTATAGGACTGCTATCGATATGACTCGAGGGGAGACTCCGAGACGAAAACAAAACATATAGTAGTCCATATCGTCGAGCTCTAGGTTGGGAGATCCGGTCGTGAAGTCAACTCCGATAGACAGTCGAGTGTTGGTGCCACTCGCCTACAGGCCCAGCTGAGTATATGTGAATATCATGAGAGCTCAGAACGCCATCGTAATCCCCTGGGTGAAACATTAGATCCAAATTTGAAATGACGGCTCAACTACCGGCAGAGACGTACAACAGCGTCATGACGAACAGCCGATGAGTGAGGAGTTTCGTATCGTAGCATCTGATCCGGTTGCACTAAGGTCCCCTATACGAACCTGTGGTTGGTTGGGAATGCATTACCCTACGCTCTTCTTTCGAAGATTCTGCGGAATCAAAACCGCAAAGCCCACCAATAGCTCATCAGCTCATCTCATTACACATTTGGTACCAGGTCGTTTGGTTCTTGGGGCATTTCTCATTGCGGTATATCCGAAGAGGAAAACAGGCGTATTACGCTTTCTGCGGATGTTCGCGAAGATCTGCGCAGCTGTAGCCAGGATCTTATTTGATCCTCGGGAGAACGGAGTTGCCGAGAGATTCGTTCAATAAACGTCTAGAATCAAGCGATCGTGACGTGCCTCGCCGGCAGGAGCATACAGTCGATTCGGAGATGAATAAGATGTCGGAGTGACGACCGTGTGAAGAGGCGAGGTAGAAAGAGAGTCGACCGACGCAGAGGCCCGAGGAGACACTCAAAACATTCGCGGAATCACCAAAAGTTCGGCTGAGAAGTAAAGCTCGAGAGAGAACGAAATGCTCCTACGACTTCCAGCTGACCTACGTGACCGAGAGTTCAATTAGATTCCGCCGACAGTCATGATCATCCGCAATGTATGACCGAGATTTTCACCCGCCCCCCACCCCGCAGACATAGCCGGAGTTCTGAGATCTTACCCAGCTCACAGAAAATAAATTCGTTGACCTCATTCACACAGCTCATCCGATTCCAAGTGATTGCGATCGCGCCTCCGAGGACCGTCCAAGCCTTCGGAGAATCTGGCGTGGATGTCGAAAAGTTCCGATGATTCTCAAGGTCACGCAGTGCGCTGCGCAATGTTTCTCCCAAATCTCTGTCTATCGGACAGGACACTACACTCGAGACTTGCCTCAACTAGAGTTCGCTCGGGCTTATCCGAGTGAATCGGCCGACCTGTTGCAATCCCTCCGATTCGGCATTAGTCGGGAGATGAGCCGGCTCACAGAGCGATTTGAAGGCCAGTTAGTAGCCGGTGAGCTCACCGGGCGGCTAACCAAGCACCTAAACAAGTGAGTGCAGGACAGATCATCATCCATCATAAATGTCCCTATCCTTAATAGCCGGACTTGTATGCGACCGTAGCGTGGCCCGTTTTAATGGAGGCTGTGGAGTGCCAATGGTGGACAACAAGGGCGCGACAGGGACAAACAGTACGCAAAGCGGCCTGAACATTGCCTATTCTTTTGCTCATCGCTCGTTCAGAGCACGAAGCGAACGACCGGTCGTTCGACCGTCCTTCTGACTGACTGACTCGCCCTCTTGCAAGAGATCAAACCGTCGCGTCGTCCTAAACCACCAGCGTACAATCGCCAGCGGAGGATTCACAGGCTGAAAAGGGCTCTTACGGAGGTAAAAAATCGACTGAAGTGTTGCTCGTTATCTCGAGCATCTAGTTGGGCCGCTGTTGACAGACTCAGGAAGGGACCGACAGACAGAGCAAATGGCCGGCTGTCGAGGACGATGCGCCGAGTGAGCGAGTTGAGAGTTACGAGTGCTGCTCGATCTCGAACAACATGCCTGTCCGCTGTATTTGTCTGTGATGGCAGTTTTTCCTCATCAAGAACCGGTTCCGTACAATCTTGATGTCGTTTTTCTCCCGCCGCCGCGCCGTCTTGCCTCTCGAATCGCCGATCCTTTCCCGACGGCTTAGTCCTATAAGCACAGCCTGTAAGCCATCCCGAGGGATGTCAGACTCACGCAGCGAGCTGCCAATTTTCTGACCCCCGGCGAGTTAATTAATCATGGATTCGGGCGCCATTTATTGTTTCTCTTCGATGAACTACTAGGCGATGTGAGCGAGCGATTCTCCCGATTCTCGGGAGGGCCTGAGCAGTGATCTGCGTCTAAAGGTTTCGATAGGCTAGGAGTATCCGCTCCACAGCGCCGAGAGACTTGTTGAGGATGGCAAGGCGCACGAACGACATCGGCAGCATTAAGTTTTATTTGCCGAATCCGCTCGAGCGATTGTTCTCTGGTCTTGGCGGAGAAAAACTTTGGCGAGAGCCTGAAGCAGCAGAAATCTTGCACTTGGCGTGGGAAATATATTGTTCCTTCTGCTTGCTCGCAATAGCAACTGCTGGCGTCCTCGTCGATATCGACGGCTTCATTGAACTCTATGAGCCCGGGACGCCTTTATCGGTCTCTCGTCCTGAACGCGAAGGCCTCAGACGGGTATTCCCGTGCTCTTGAGCGGAATTCTCGCACGCGCTGTATCGTGTCATCCGGTGATAAATTCCATTCTTCGGCGGGATGTGCCGCTCGCTGAAGTTCTCTCGCAGGGAACGTTGCGAAGTCACTCAAGCTGCGTCGCCGTGCTCCGTCTTCTCCGTGGCATATTTGTGCATCTTGATAACGTTCCGATCCATTTTCCATTCAGAGCGATATAACGGAATTTTCTTCCGAAGAATTCGGAAGGGGTTCAAATGAGCTGTTGGAGCTTGTTCCCCGCCATTCGCCGTCCGCTCGGTTTTCCCCGAATAGTTCATCTCCTGCCTTTTGAGAGCTCCGATTTCGCACGCACAACTCAATCGGGGCATGTCACCCTGGTTCGATGCTCTGAACCACATGAATTAGAGCTTCAAAATCATTAAGAGGTCGGGCGATCTAAGAGTTCGCCGCGAGTAGAGCCTAATCCTTAATTCTCCTCGAACGTGAGTATGGGGGATCAGGTTCTCCGCGTGAATCCATGAATGAATACTTCGGAAACTCCGAGTCCTTCTTCTCTCGGTCGGCCTACGGACTCAAGTTCAGATCCTGAGGATAGAACTCGGATGTCAATCGGAGAGGAAAGGACTCCGATCAATTCTTGACCCTCGGAGTGAGCAAAGAGGGGACTCGTTTTGGGAAATCAGAACGGAACGAGGTGTTTAGCGCCGAACTAGAGGCGCGGCGAGGCCGACTCCACCAGCTCCTGTTCTCCTCCTACACGAATTCCCTTCCCAGATGGCGTTCCCAGCAGTCTCTCGAGACCGTGGAATATTCTGACGGAATTCAACGCTTCGATCGTAGCCGGTCCAGTGGCTGTCACCCGTCGTCTATACGGGAGCCTGTGCAAAACTCGGATCTTTTGCCATGAACTATTTCCTCGTATGTCACGACTCCTTCGACATTCCTTGGACGCAGGAATGCTCGCTTTGGACTCAATGCTGATCTGGGCGATTCGTTTGCTCGCCTCAGTTTGTTTTCTCCCGGTTTCGTGGCCTGTCGCGATCGACGTCGCGCCGTTTTCCGCGGCATCGGCGTTCCCGCCTTATATCCTCCCCCGTTTCCAGACCTCGTCATTTTTGGTGATACAATAGCTGGTCGTACGAACGACGCGAGGGGAATGGAATGGCTGATCCGGGGCGACTGGCGTGTCGAAACACCGGCCGGCGACGTTTATCGGTCGCGTACTAACGTCGGCGTCGTGTCCGAACTCCGTCGACCATGAGGAGAGCGCGTCCCCTCGTCCCCCGCCCTGAACAGTCCAAGAGTAGGGCGTCCGGCGTCGGACTCCTATCGAGGTCGATCGCCAAGTCGGAAACCGTCCGTAGCATCGCCTGTGGGAGAGTCGACAGGACCTCTGAAGACAACGAATGAGTTGTCAGGCTCTCCTCTGCTCACCCGCTGACTCCCTCCCCTTCCCTCCTTTCCGATCGTAAACGAGCCAAAGCGAATAAATTATTGTCTATTGTCTCGGTACTCTAAAAATAAAGAGCCCACAGAATTTTTTTTCATGAGTAGCTTCTCAAACAGGTCTTGATGTTGTTTGCGCTCGCCATCGCTGCTCCCGGTGGTCTTGTTGGCGGAAAGGTCGTTAACGCGAAAGCCGGCGTTGCGCCGTAGACGGCAACTTTCGTAAGAAGCTCTAATGCGAAACGGCAATTCTCATGGCACCCACCGTTCCTCTTTGTCAGCACCGCGAAAAAGCCCGAAAAGCGACCATATAGCTCCCCCATAGGGCCCACCAGAGGGCCCGACGGCTTCCTCCTAGTCATCTCCGCGCTCATCTCTCTCACTGAAACATTGTTCGCTTGATCTGCTGCTTTCAATGCGAGTGAATGGATGACGGTGCCCAGACCTTTGGAGGAGGCGCTCACACGAGGAACTAATTAGGAGGAGGGGGTCTCCACTTCTATCGAGGGCAACAACGTCATATTCTAGGAGTTCGTTCCGCGTCGTTGGTCCGGGGGTGCAGCCAAAGGGTCCCTCGAAACTCCTACCACGCGCCATCCGTCCGGGACTTCCTCTACTCACCTCCTACAACTTTAACTTCTGGGCTCCGATCATTCGCGAATTCTGCTCGTCGGCTCGAAGAAAAGAACACCAGAATGTGATCATCACCTCAGGTGACGCGGTGCTCGAGCCCTGCCAAGTTATTCGAGATGGTTATATCAGTTATCTCCGTAAGCAATTTCTGCTCTGAGCGTGACGCCGCGGATTAGCGGGAACGTCGATGCCCTTCGGTTCGCTCGAGCAGTTCATAAATAGCCCCGGAGTGCCTTCGAGAGAATAAAAGTTTCTGCTGCTCCATTCTCCTGCGGTTTCTCATTGCGCCCGAGCTCGCTCGAAATGAATCCACGTCGGACGAGGAAGGAAAGTACGGAAAGCACCGACTAGGCTAGATACGTCTTCGCTCTTGTGAGCCGTGGTAAGTCCACCGTGACCTTTAGAGGCCTTCATTAGAGGGTCCCGTCAAGTGGCGAGCGGCTGACCCGATCAGCGTCAGTGGGTGAAATACAATCTCTCTGCGAGGTGCTCCGAGGCCGCCGGAGCCAATATCACCCTCCTCAGAACGCCGTCACCGTCGAAATTAACAAGCATGGGAAGGATGAATTCCGAAATGATCGCTGCTCTCGAATTGATGGCGGAAGCGAAGTACGTCGCAAGACGAAAACGTCGAGTCGCGAGGTGTAAAACTCACCGCCTCTCGAGCTCTACGACCGGCCACGTGATTGTCTGGCCGGATCGCCAATAAGGTTTACGGGCAGGAAACGGATATTCACACTCCTTCCGTTTGTCTATGAGCCACAGCCTTTAATTAGGATGGAACGACCTTCGGGAATTCATTGAATTCTCCCGCACAAAAGCCCCAACGGAGCGCTCGCAAGTCTCATGAAACGAACACTTTCACACCGTTCCTTGCTACTTGGGACTTCCGCACATTCCCGGACCCTCTCACTGGCGAGATCAGCGTGGGCGTGGGTCGTCGCTGAGTTCGGCCCCGGCTCGCCATTCCAAGTAATGTATCCCAGTCTTTCCGAGGATTCCACCAGAGGATTGCTCGTTGTCTTGCCAAAGTATTTACTGAGGGATTACCGTTTTGAAACATCTGTCTCGAAACCCATCCAAGATTTCCGGAAATAGGCTGTCCCGTGCCTCGTGTAAGGTATTTCGTTCGTGTTCTCTCACTCGACGAGCGGTGCGTTCAATCGGAAAAAGTCGAATTCTAGCTTACCAGCTCAGCTTCACTTGGAGCCCCACCGAGCGGTAAGGGAGAATCGTCGCTCCAAAAGGTTCGCAACTCCCTGCACAGACCTCTCCTCGGACACCGGTATTCATTTCCACACGAGTGCCCCTCGACACCCACTCGAAGAGTTCCGTGTCGAGCATCCCGTCGTAAATCAGATTGGGAGATGTTTCCTTATAATAATAATAACCTGTAGCAGCGTCATCCCGTCCAAGGACGGGAGAAAGAGCGAAGCCAGACTGTCCGAGTCCCGAGCCCGACGACGTTCATCTTGCGACACACCGTGAAGCTCGAGTTCGACTTCAGTGAAATACGTGAGCCGTTGTATATATACCGGAGCCTCAAGGTTGTTTTCGCTATGACGGCGGATGATAAGCAATCAGCCGAAATGTTGACCAGAATTAGAGATACAGCCTATCAGACAACTCGGCGGTCATTTACGCTCGTAGTCATCGTGTACTCGGGCTTAATTTTCTCCTAAGGAGATTGGCCCTCATCCCCGATAACTTCCTTATTGGCACGGTGATCGAATCGCTCCGAAGAGTCCGAAAGACAATCCACTCTCCAGTGCACGAGTCATTAGCAGGTGACGGGAGGTTTCCGTGTTGCCACAATTCATTGAGTAAGCTCGGCGGATGCGGGAGGAGAACCTTGTCAACAGAACTTCACGTGGGCAAACAGATTCTGTGGACGAAATTCCGCCCTCGGGGCCTCGAAAAACAAGAGCCAGAATGTTTGCCACCGAATCGCGAATTCTTGCGAAACAATCCCCAGCTTATGATCGGGTGGGCATTCTTTCCTTAAGGTGTGGAATTCTCACCGGCATGGACCTGTTCTCATCCGCCGTGAGCTCGAGGTGGCATTGATGAATGGGAATCATGATGCGTTCGCTCAGAGTCCTGCCCGACTGCCATACCATGGAAGAGGTGGTGATGGATGTCAATGATTCTTCTCGCAGCTCTCCTCATTACCGTCCGAGGTCGCCTCTCGGGAGGGCAGTCAAGTTTCCGTGATGGAAATCCCTCCAAATCAACTCATCGGGGGCCCTAGGTACATTTCTCGAGCTTGTTCGGATTTCAGATCTCCTCTGCACATGTGAGCTCAAAAGATCGAGTCGGCGCAGACGAAAGCTGCGTATCAATTATTTTCCGGGAACCCGATGAGAGACAGGGCAACCCTCCAGACGTTGAGTGATAACGGGAGGGACTTTGAAATGTCTCGAAATAGAAGTTTCGCTCGGCTTAAACCCAATCGCCCGGTGGCGCCCTTATCATTCGACCGACCGGCCAACCAAGTGAGCGGCGGACCTGTCGACACTCTTTAACAGTTTGACTGAAGCCGGAGACAGCCGTTCGACGTCGGAGGCGGGATAATGCACCATAAAGCATGCTCGTGAATAGATTCCATCAAAATATTCCGAAAACACGGCGGCCCTGCCTCGCACGTCGTATCACTTTGACTGCAGCTTACTTTTCCCATGAAGCTCGCGGGTCCCGGAAACATAGCGTGAGTGCGCTGGCGTGTTTCAAAGCATATAGCTATTACGGAATATCCACTTCCTCCAACAGAGGGTTCCGCACACTTAAATTGATCTGGGTTGCTGAGCTGTCGGTCTCTTCCTCAAGCGAGTTCGACGGATCCCGGAACTTGACCGAGAAAAACAGCTCGTTAAGCTTCATCGAGGTAGCCTCATCCGCGAGCGAAAGGATTCGATTGCCCTTCAGGCAAATGTTAATTTCGTTTCGGGACCCTATGCATCGGAACGCGTTCTTCAAATCCTCTTTTGTGTAGGCCGAAGCACAACGTATTTCTGCGCCGTATTAGGCGTAGTACAGCGGATCGATGGCGGTAAGCATTGCTCCTTTCAGGCAGTAGAGCCTCACCACTAGAATCGCGGGCTCTAGGGAAACTCAGAATCGCATCTGAAGTTGCTATGCTGGGGGAGCCGGCGGCTTGTGGCCCCACAAAGGCACAATAAAACGACTAATGTTGGAGGTCTGTCACTTACATAGGAGAAAATTGGCAGTCTGACCGCGGTTGCGACGTGGGCTTCATATTTGCAGAAATTTTCAGGTCCGACAATCATAGAGACGTTTGCGTTGTACATGTCTACGACAAGGCGCGTCGCTCGAATGGGATCACCCCTCTCGTCCTTATAGATGATTTCTACCTGAACGTCAGGGAAGAGAAAATGGCCCAATGAGCAAATATCGATCCGTTCGGTGAGATGGGAATCTACTCGAGTCGTCAGAGAATACTCACCTTGTCGTCTCCGAGAAGCTCCGTCGAATTATTAATTTTCTCCGCCGCGTAAGAGAGGGCGCCGGATATCTTGAGGCCCAATTTCGTGCCGCCACGTTCACCAATAAACTGAGCTATGTAACCGATTCTGAAAGCCGGAAGAATTCGAATCAGGATACGGGATATAAGCCGAGGGGCTTGGTGACAAAGACTTTCCCCCGGTAGTAAAACCTCTCGAGTTATGATACGAATTTTCGACAATGAGCTCCGCCATTGGCAACCCCAGGAATTTGCATGAGCTGAATGAGGCACGTGCGGCGCTTCATTTTGCGCTCGCAGGCGACGTGTTGGGTCGACCTGGGAAGGCCTGACAACAGCGACACGGCTCCGAACGATAACTTGTTCCGCAAAGGAATGTTATTCGTTATCGAGCCGCCTCTAGATCGAGGGGGCTCGCATGAGCGGGATACTCACTTATAGACGTTGCCGCCATCCACGCTGGTCGGTATGAGAGCGCTTGCGCTGACCAATAGTAGGAAGACCAATGTTCTAGATGGGGGTGGAAAGCACCCCCGAGGCCGGCAGAACATCCCAGAGTTTCACGTGGCCGTAGGCTTCCGCCTTTTCAGGAGACAATTCGACCTCTTCATTCTTCTTCAGCTATCCAACCAGGAAACTGAAATCGGATACCATCGATTAGTGTCAGGATTTTCCGGAAGGCTGCCTAAAACTTTCGATTCATGATAAAGCCACCCGGGAGACGGGGTGGCAGTTTGTGGGTTAGGTAGAAGACTTCATCGGAGGCAGTTGCCGGAAAGCATGAGCATGCGCGAAAAACAAGGATTCGGAGGGACGATCGATGCATCGATGGAGCCTGAGCCAAAGACGGTTCGGGAAGCCTGTCGTCGCCGATGAGGAATCCGACCGAAATATCTCTCGAGAGCGGTGCCATGTTTACGTACTGTTCACGAAAACCGTACATTTGTTTTGGATCGCTCCTTTTTTCTCGTTGTGGAAGATTCAACATTGTCAGCCTCAGAGACGTTCCATGGAATGATTCCAGAACGATGACTCAATTGGGAAACCGTGTGTTCTCCGGTGCTCTCATCAACTTGAACGGGCCACGGGCTCTGTTAAATGCGACCGCAGCCTCCAATCGTACTCTTGTAGGGTCGAACAGACGCTCGAGAAGCATTATGTGAGCTTCTTGAATGACTTCTCTCGTCTTTGCTGCCGAGGGCGAAACAGAGAAAAAAGGTCCTGGTGCGCGAGTTTTTTCTGCTCGGCAGTCGGACTGGGCCATTTGCTTGGCATCGCTCTCACTTTCTGACGGTGAGCCTGCTTGCGGGTCACCGCACTTATTTTTCGCTGGATGAGTTCGCTTTTTTTAGCTCCGTAGATTCCACATATTCAGTCCCTCGGGGAGAAGGCATGAATGGTCGTATGTGGGGATGCTCACGTGACTTGTAGAACGAGATTGCGAGCTCTCATCCGAACAAAGTATATTCTAAAGTGAGAATAGAAGAACGGCGAAAAAATTCCCAGGCGTGAAGTCGCAGCGGTGCCGACGTGCGAGTATTCTCAACAGGCGCTTGTCCCGCTGAGCCTTGACATGCGAGACAGACGGAATTCGCGCTTGTACCCATCAGTCGTGAATTCTCCGTCGCCACTCGCCACTACCGCAAGGAGTAGAACAAATCTGAGCAGTAGGGGGGTCCAGGGGACGATAGGCCCAATGGGGGAACTTTTCTCTTCGAGTTCGCTAATCCACAGCTGGTGCCTACCGGTCGAAGAAATCACATAGAAGAGAGATCGAAACACGGAGAGCTCTGACGTTCGATGCAGTCACCGAGCGTAATTCCATGAATTGAGCCACGGTTGCTGTCGTTGCTCTCTTGAACTCAGGCTGTTTTCGTTCCGGAAGCTGTGATCTCTACAGCGAGGAATCACGACGATATAAACAAAAGAAAACGAGGCTTCTACTCGAGCCGTCCTCGAGCTAACTCTCGAAGCTCTTTTGGGGCGCCGCGATCTCAGCTGTTGACACTTCCAAGCGGGAATGGGCGCAACCCACGGAGACATGAACTTATGAAATTCGTCATGGAATCTCTCGCGGTTGACGTGATCGTCGATGAATCAATTCGACACGAGTGAATCGGCAAGCAACATCTCTACTTGGAGGCGGGAGCCCGACTGATATCTACGGAGAAAATAACAGTAGTGAGTCTTCCCGTAGACAGTCGATGAGGAATTTCCAAAAATACGATTCGGAATCGACTCCTCTATTCTCGAATGCCGAATCTGAGGGACACAAATAATCGGAGTTTTTAGGATTCCCAGACCAATCGGGAAGTCCAATGTTCGCTCGGACGGAATGAGACACCGCCAGAAGGTTTTTCGAGCTCGTTGGAATCCGAGATTGAACCGGACGCGCGGTCAGAAGGAATAAACGATTCTTCTTTCAGACTGCTCGACCGAACCTTTCGACCGTCGTTTCCGACTGCACAATGCTCTCCCAGGCGATATCTGATAAGAAAATCGACACCTCCAAGCCCTTACGCGAGGCCGCCTCCGCGCACTCTTATAGGGAGAAAATTCGGTGCTTGAAGCCTGCTGCACCGATGATTTGGCACCATTTCAACGATAGAGTGAGCCGGACGGAGAGTCCAAACGCTCAGATGCCGAATCGATTGGCCGGAATCCGACACGAAGTCGTACCCAGAGTGCCAGGTATCTGTCTCCACGATTCGCCGCCGCCCCAGCCCGCCGTGCAGGGTTTCGAGAAAGCGGCTGCCAGCCGCAGACAATGACGTAGGCTCATTCGAGGGGGTCGCCCCAATATCTGAACGGTCGGACCGAATCATCGCCTTCGAATATTCGGTTGGAATATTGTGTATCATCGCTCAACTTGAAGCGATGACAGCGTATCTTAAAGTTCTCCGACTCACGGTTGTCGGGCAGAGACTCGGTCCTAGCCAGTCAGGCATCGTATCCCATCTATACTGGTCCTCAATAGACTTAATCCTCGCTTGCCTCCTTACATTGCGAAACATGCGGTTGATGAGAATTCCGAAGTAGGTATCAGACCAATGATTACTTTATGGGTCTCCGGTCCGGAAATCGGGATCACTCGTCGCGAGTCCCCCTTGTGTAGGCTGCCTCCGGAAAAAAGTTCGCCAATGAATTCCCGTCGGGGATTGGCCTCTGGATCACTCTAGGCACTTCGGGCGTAGTCGCGCTGCTCCGTCACCTGTGGTTCACGTGAAGCGTTTCGCACATGAGGCTCGATTTTCTCCTCCACTGAGACGCAGCAAACAAAGAGCACTTCTCGTCAGATGTATCCGTCCACAGTTTTGACACCTAGCGCACTTCCGATTCAAAAGATGGATGTTGTGGCTAAACGACAGTGAATCAATGCGAAAGGACCTGAGTACAGTCTCAGAGTACGAATGACTGGACGATCTCGTTCTTGCTTAGCTTCGGAATCGAGATCGGATTGGGAGAGGGGACGAACAGGTGAGTCTATGCGATGTACTTTTCCGGAAAGTCCGATCGGAATTGGACCTCAGAGAGATCGCTCATCGGCAGATCGGAGAGGGCTTATCGAACAGAGAGCTGTGTGTCCGCTGTTGCTTTCCCTGAATCCGGAATCACGAGAATCCGAAGTTTAGCTAAAAGGTTCCTCAGAAGGCGAGGACGAAGAACGATTCGCCCAATCATAAGTGAGAGTGCGTAAGCAAAAAGCGAACGAGGAGGGCTCTTCAGAAAATCATACATACATCGAAAGCTCCGGAATCAGACGAGGAGAGGTCATTCAAGAGCATCTGAGATTTTCTCGGTTGTTCTCGCGGCCGGCCGCTGACGCTGAAGCGTGATGAGAATTTCTGAGTCTGAATGCTGATAGACCCACTGATAATGTAGTTGGTTTCGGTGGTCATCATCAGTCTTCATTATCATAGCGGTCACGTCGGAAACTGAGGCCGGCGATCGGAACGGCTCATTCGAAAAAAGGACGCATCCGCCATTCCATGGAATCGCGTCATAGTGACGGTCACTCGAATCGAAGGGGACATCATCTCGGCCTCCTTGAGGGAACCGGCTGTCAATATGACAATCAGTCCGTCAGTCAGTCTGGTCACTCGTTCAGATCCTTCCCTCATACCGGACCACTACGATTCACGCAGGGACATTCCATTGAAGCCCGCGGAGTTAACATGACTCGGGAGGTCAATAGAGGCCGTTAACCCTCGTTCCCTCTGACCTACGGGAAGACCAGTATGATGATGATTGAGTCCGAAATCAAGACTTGACCCCTGAGTTCCGCCGCCTGATATCTTGAGAAACAATCGCGATCAAGAACGTGTTAAACGCACATCACTAGATTGGCTCGGTCAAACGATGTCTGGGGGCAGAGATTCGAACTCGGACGCCGGAGAAATCCCAACGGGTATCGCGAGAGCTCTATTAGGTCGAAACTCAAATCCGAGATGTCTGCTCTCGGGGCCGAAACTTAATTATCGAAGTTTGACGGCGGACTCCATCGCTTTGAGAGGAAAGCAATTGGCGACCCGAGAAACGGAAAATCGAATCACTCACATATTCAAACGCCCGAGACCGCGAAACGAGCGGAGAGTAGTGTGAGTGTTCGATAACGACTACCATCTGTTCAGAACCGGAGGAGCGAGTATAGCGACGCCTCATGGAGCTAACAGAAGCGATCTTTTCTCCTGCATTCCCTTAGTTTGCTTCTCCATAGTGTTTAAGAGTCGAAGGAAGTTCGGAGCAACAGCTTAATTCGAATTTGACGTCTCCCGTGGGGTTCGACGTCTTGCTTTGATTCAATTCCCTCGTCTCGGCGACAAACGGTTTCTCGTTTCCGAAGTTCTGAAACCGTCGTCTCCGGAACGACATTCGGAAGGCAGGAAAACAAGCATTAATTTGGGCCTGATTCTAAATTCGATTCCGCGGTCCCGAGTCAGCCATGAATCCACAGGATCGCAGCAAACCCTGGCTCAACGCTCCCCGACGGGTAGAGCAAGAGGGCGGAATCCGACAAAGCATATCTTTGGAAACTTCGTCTCTTCGTCAGAGCGCCATATTATAGTTTTACTTTATTCCGAGAGCGGAAGGACAGAGTATACTGAGCGA